ACATGCTTAGAGGCATTGCTTTTAGTGTATAATCAAATCACATTCCTTAACACACTCATATCCTTTTTCATAAGATTCAGGTGGACAACTCGAAACACACAAGCCGTTAACGAAATCTTGAAATCGTAATTATAGTGGACATTGCACAACGCAAGAACCACTAAATAAAAAATATGGGTTTTCGCATTTTGAGCATTCATATTCACTCTTACAAATTAAACATCTTTCAGAACATGAAACGCATGCATTATTTACTTAAACTGTTAGAGTTGGACATACCAAAAGACAATCATTTTTATACTAATAAGTACTCACTGGGCATTCTGAATAACAATGATCTATATATATTGTCTAACTTATTAAGATTTCTAGTTCATAATTTAGATATTTATATGATTCGCAAATCTCAAAAAATATAAAACATTATATTCCAAATAATAAGGTTAGATGACTTAATTTTAAAATTTTATAAGATTATTAATTAATTCATCCTTTTAAATTTGTGCTCAAGATAATTTTGCATTAAATGGAAAGAAAGAAATGTTGAAAAATTAGTTAGATTAAATTCAATATTTATGATTTCAAAATCACCATGAATTCTATTTAAATTCTATGGAAGCTTAAGACTTTCATTATTTTATTTATTTATTAATTATGAAAAACAAAAATATATTATTTAAGATGATTTTTTTTAAAACCAAATAGGTTGCATTTTGTAAATGCTGCCAAAAAGATTTTGATTATGAAGGAGATTAGAATAACTTTATTTAAGATCATTCAATATCTCTCACTCATGTCTAGATTTTAACTAAACATTATTTGAAAAGTAATTTTGATGAATTAACAGAAAAATCAAGGAAAGGAATGGAGTATTTTGAATTAGAGAGAGCTTTAAGTTTACAATAGCAATCTAAATCATGTATAATTTATACACTACATATATTAGAATTCAATCTTTATTTATCTTAGATGGTTGATTAATTATTAAGTACTTTTAGCAATCTTGCGTTGAACACAATTGATTGTTATAAAAGTAGGCTTTTATCTTTATTTCAGTTTTTAGTCAAAGAAGGATTTAATAATCTAAATACATGACTTTGATGAATAAATGCAAATTCATTAATATAGTTTTAACAACAATAGTAATAAAGGCAAACCCATACATACATCTTTATGTTCTTTGTTTAGAGAGGTATATTTATTTTATAATTGTAAAAGAATAATATTGAAGTTAAGTAGGAGGAGGTTAAATAAGATATTTCTTTAATAAAATATTTGGAGACTATTTAATAACAAATGTAACAATTAGAAACTAGTGTTGATTCATTGGAAAGGAAAATAAACATGAACAAGTCAAAATCTTAGAAACAAACAAAATAATCAAATGATCATTAGTTAGTTTATATCAATTAGAATATATCAGGATTAGTGGGAAGATTGCAAGATATTCTAATGCAAAAAAATTTATTATAAGTACAAACTTAACCGAATGGTGAAGAGGAAGAGAAATAGACAATTTATACCTTCAATAAGAATTTAAATAAGTTTTCTAAAGGATACAAGTGTCGATTTTGTGATAGTAAATTTGTAAAAGCTTGCTCTTTGGGGTAATGATTTTACTAAGTATACTTAGGGGTCACATTTCAAGAACTCATAAGGAGGAATCGAAATTATTGAAATAAAATATTCTTGTTAAGAAAAATAAACATATAAAAAAGGAAAAAATTAATATTACAAAAATGAAATGATTAAACTTTATGATTGTTAAATATATATACATAATTTAAATTTAAATTTAATGGATTATCAGAAATTATTTAGTGTCATTCCTAAAGAACCTCGAAGATGGAATTAATGTGATGTTGAATCATGGTTGGAATTTATTGGATTACATGATTTATCAAATGTTTTTTGTAAAGATTTGATAATAATAATTAATAGAAAGAAATGCCATAGATGGGGCTTGTTTAGAAGTATTGAATGAAGATGATTTGAATGAATTGGGCATTAATTCTAATGTTAAAAAGAAGAAAATTTTATAATGGATTCAAAATGGATTTATAGAATATAAATAATTTGTTAGAGATAATGTAGGCTAAAGTGAATGGTCAATTGCAAGCAAATAAATAATCAATAAAGAAAATCTTGATTACACACCAATTTAGAGATTAAATGATTTCAAGCCAAGAAGAGATAGCTTTTAAGATAATCATAAAGTTGAATTGGTTGAATCAATGAAAGTAGTTGAAGCTCCTCAAATCTTGAAACAACCAAAATAAAATTTAGAAGCTACAAAGATTCCATCATATCCAAATTCAATTAAGCAGACAGAAATAAAGCATACAATGGAAATTGTTTGCATAGGTGATAATTAGAAGATGATTGTTACAGAGAAAGGATTGAGTATTGGAAGAAATCCTGAAAATACTTTAGTATTAGTGGAAGATTATGTAAGTAGAAATCATTGTTTAATCGAATTCGATTAGAAAACAAAAAATTTTTACTTGAAAGATACAGGAAGTACTTCTGGAACTTTTGTATTATTGATGCAACCTTCTTTAATGAGATTGGGATTAATTCTACATATGGGAAGCATGTAATATAAAATAGAATAGATGGTTTGTAATAATTAATAATGTGATGTTGTATTAAGAGTGGTTGAAGGGCAATAAATAAATTAAAAGTTTTCATTTTAGTTAATAAAGAATTAGAATTGCGTTAAATTTGGTAGATAGTTAGATTAATTTAGAATGGATACAGTAATAATAAATATTAATAAGAATAGCATTTATCAGGAATTCATGCTTAATTTAGTTACACAAATGATGNCTAACACAATTATTAATATATTGGTAAGCACCACATATTTTTACACATTTACCTTAATCTTCAAAGAGATTTGTAGGACAAGTGAGAACACATTTTTTATTGACTTCATCATATAAAGACGAACATAAATTTGTGCAAATTTAATTATCCAAATAAAATCCATCTTAACAAGTTATGCAATTTCTATCTGTAGGTCCTATGCATGTCAAACAGGATGCATCGCAATCTACACATTCTCTTTCATTTTAATATGTATTATTTGGACAAGAAAGAGAACATATCTTTTTATTGTTATACAAAATTGGATTTGTTGGACAATTTTCCAAGCATTCATTTTTATATACAAACAAAGAAGAATCACACTCATCGACACAATTAACATTTTTTCTATCAGTCTTACCATTTATACAACTTAGTAAGCATGATCCATTTTCTAAATAATATCCATATAAACATTTTGTGCATTTTGTAGCTGTCTCACATTCTTCACAATATTAAGGACATTTTGTACATACTTTATCTTTTGAATACATTCCTTTTGGACATTTTAATACACATTAATCATAAAGTTTGTAAGCGCAATCAGCTACACAAAATCTTTTTCCATATGATTCTAAATGATATAATATGTAAGGACATTTTGTTACACAGGATCTTGAAAGGGGATCCATGTACAAATAAGAATTCGAGCAAGAATTGACACAAGATTAAACTTCAAGATAGAAATTTAAAGCACAAGATTAACAAGCTGTTGAGGAAGTGCATTTGGAACATTTAGGATCACATTTTTAACAAACATTGCCATCCTAATAATATCCATCTTCTAGCACTAAAACACATTTAGATTTGCAAGTTATATAATTTAGTGGACATGAAGAAACACACTCTTTATTTTCGGTGATTTCATACAGGTCAGTGCAATCTTTCAAACATTCTTTAGTTTCTTTATTATAAAATAAAGGACATACTGATTTACAACTTTATCCATCTAAGAAATAATTATCGATACAAGAAAAACATTCATTAGCTGTTGATCCAAAACAAGTACTACAAAATAAATTACAATCATAGCAGTAGTTATCTACTTAATACGCAAAAGATGGACAATCATTAACACAAACTTAATTATAAATTAAATATCCAGTATCACATTTATTTTAACAGTTAACACCTTAAATTACTAAATTAACAGGACATGCATCTTTACATTGATGATCTGTTATGTCATAAAATTAAGGACAGGTGACTCCACATGTCTATTAATTCAAAAAGTAAGGTAGTTCACATTCAAGACAATTTCCATTATTAGGGCCAAAACATTCTTTGCAAATTGAATTACATTCATAACATTTACCAAGCGATAAGTAAGATTTTGAATAGCATTGATCAACACATTCTTTTTTACCATTTAATTCATAATAGTATAAGAATGCAGGACAATCATAAAAACATATATTTTAAGGAGAATATAAATATTATGGGCAATTAGAGACACAGGTTTAATCAGCTAAATTTCCAAAAGGTTTTGTATTAGGACATGTTTCTACGCAAGTGGTATCAATCAAATAATATCCAGTATCACATTGATAACATTAGTTAACTGTAATACCAAAACAAATCTAGCAAGGACCTGCACAACTTATACAAAAATTTCCTTCAATATATGTCTAGCTTGGACAAGAAGATACACAAATGTTTGAATAGTAATATTGTGGGCATGTTATTTTACATGCAAGTACTCCTACAGATAAAGATTATAAATATGTTCCAAAAGGACATTATTATACACAATTATAGTTCACCCAATTCTAAATAATATCTGGATGGGTTGAACAGGATTATGAGCATGATCCATCTCTATTGAAAAAGTAGTTTTATTTACAACTTAAGCATTAAGTTATTCCACCTCCGCTGCAAGTTAAACAACCAATATTACAAGGTTAACAAAAATTACTAAATAGTTATTGATAAGTTCCCTCTGGGCATCCCATTTAATAGCATTTCATTTCTTGTGTGAATATATACGAAGTTGGTTTGCAAGAATTTACACAAAACCCATCTTCAAGATAATTAGTACAAGTTGCGATGCACTTATTATTAATTGAATCTTTTTGAGGAGCAACATCGGGACAATCGGTGTAACAAGTTGTTCCAAATAAATATGCTCCTGTAGAACACTAAGAACAAGATGTAGAGTAGGACGTTGTACAAATTTTACAAACATCTGCACAAGTGTCACAAAATATGTAATTAGATCTTGTTTGACAAAATGTTCCTGCTGGTTAACTATTATAACATTTATCTCTAAATTAATATTAATTGTATAAACAAGTTAAGGAGCAGAAATAATTGAGGTTATTGTTTGTTTGATAAGTAGAAGCAGGACATTAATCTACGCATTGCCAATTAATCATGTCATAAATTTATGATCCACAATTACTCACACAATAATTGTTTTTTAAATAAGTTTTACGGTAGCAAGAAAGACACTAATTCTCTTCTGGTCCTGAACAAGTTTTACAGTTGTAGTAGCATTCAAAACAATCCCTTCCTATACAATAAGCTCCTTCTTAAGGAATAGTTTCATAGCACTAATTAGAATAAGAATAGATATATGTGGCATATATCTAACCACATTATTCAACACAAGCATATATACTTTAATCTTTATTTATAATAGTGTAACCAGAGGAACAAGATCCTTCACATTTCCAATTCACATAGTTCTAATATTTAGTGTTACATGAATCAAAACAATCACTATCTTATAAAAACTACATGAAATTGCAAGAAGTACAAAAACTTGCAAAATTTTAACAAGTATAACAATTACTGTTACAAGGAGTACATTCTAAAGTTGCAGGGTGCCCATAGTATCCATCATCACAAGGCTACATACATCGATGACTATCAGATTAATGAAGGTAAGTTTGGTAAATCTTGTTTGCTTTAATATATCCACATTTCTTGGAAAAACACTAATTGATTGAATAACCGTTGAAATTGTTGTTCTAATAAATTAGATCATCTGGATTACAATTAGATACACAGTAACTTTCAGTTTCATCTATTATTTAAAGGAATTTAGGAGAACATGATACCACGCACATATTTTAATCCATTGGGTATGTGTTTAAGCAACTAGTACAAAAAGTTGAACTGGTGCAAGTTTTGCATAATTATGGACAATCAAGTAATACATCAATTATTATTGAAGATTAGATTATTGAAGTTGTAAGGTAATTTTCTGTAATGTTTTAGTTTGGCAAGCATGTTTTATAATATAAAGCATATCCTACACTACATTCAGGAACACAATCAAAATTTTATGTGTATAGATTAGAAGGGCACTCTAATTCACAAATTTTTTTCAATTAGTTGTTATATTTGAAAGGACCTTTACTGTTACAACTAATAACACAACTAGTTAGATAAGGATTAAAATATCTATTAGAATAGCAAGCTAAGCAATTTAAATCACTTGGCCCAAAACAATATTTACAATTATCATGGCAATAAATTGTATCATATCGTATAAAGCCTCTTCCATATATTATACAGCCTTTTGTTTTTCCTTCTTTTTATTATTCAGATTTTAAACAATAATATCCAAGATCTATTTCACCATCTTAACAATAATTATTAGGATTGCAATAATAAGAGATATAAGAACTATAACTTGTGCAATTGTAAGTAAAAATATATTTAGAATCGCATTTTTTCTAGCAAATTTAATTATTATTAAATCTAGAGTTACTATTACATTGCGATCGACATGTTTTTGATTCAGTTAAAGCATAATTACTATTACATTTATAACATTAAGATAGATATTAAGCTTGATTGCATTAATTTATTATTTAAGCAGAACAAGTAAAAGAAGAAGAATGATACGTATATACGTTCTATTTACATAATTTACTTATCTCTTATTTCTATGTTACTGTCATTGTTTATAAAATTGTTTTTTAACAAAATATTGCCCATGAATCTTAACAATTAAATGGAGATTTAGGTGAAGTGTTCATAAAATTGCATCTTCCAGTAATATTATCTAATTAATAATTGATTGCACATATTTAACAATAGTTATCTTATTATCTTAAACAATTAGCAATAGCTATTTATACACATGTATTAGATTCTTCTTTGTATCCTGCAGGACAATTATAAATCTAGTTATCATCATTAGGATCTTGCTCTTTACAATAATGAGTTCCTGATTTACAAAAAGCACAGTAAGGTCCAACAAATAGCTAGCAATCATCTTAAGATTATAGAATTCCATATCCCTTAAAAATCCTTATATCTTAAATATCTAAAAAATCAGATCCACGAGAATCTTTAAAAACAGGCCCAATTACTAATCTTTTATAAGTTTTGATATTTTAAACCATAATCAAAGAAGATTATGTAGCACCAATAAAAGTTCTCATTATCTTTTTTAAATTTTATGGAATAAAGTCTTCATTTATACTTAAGTCTAATAATCCAATTGTTATATGGTTCCAGTTAGATGAAGTCAAGGTACCCAATTAATTTTATTCTGTATAATATTAATAGAATACGAGTTTAGATTATTTATTAACTCCAAAACCTATAATAGTTTCTTAAATCATATCATCAGTGAATGATAAGAATTAGAAAGACTTATTTATATTATTTTGTTTCACCCAAAACATAATAGTAAAAGAGCTCATCTGTTCCTCAAATGTATATACAATTTATTTATCTCTATAGAGTAATAAGCCAATTGTTCCACTATAGGATGCTTAATTTTAACTAACTCGTAATTTAATATCTTAAAATTAACTATCTACATTTAGGTTCTTAATTTAAAAAGGTTTTAAAAAGAATTTTAATTCTACATCATAATCAACATAGACTTCTGAATCCATAGTAGTCCATCCATTTATAAAATCAAAATTTGCAATATCAACACAAGCTTTATAATCAGAAACCATATCGTATAGTTGTTCGTTGGTTATTCTTGAATGAAATCCAAATCGATATATTAACCTATTATATAACTTAATTTTACTTCTAAGAGACCAATGTTTCAAGTTTTTATGATAATTAATAATTATAGGTTGAGAAAAACTTAAGATTAAGAAATGCATTCTAATTACTTTAATCAATTGACAATAATATATGATTCCAAAAGCCAATGTAAAGATCATTTACTCTATTATTAAATATTATTAATACTAATCAATTTTTAACTTTAAAATTTCAGGTACAAATCTTGAATTTACCAAATACATATAATAATCTCCATATTCTAATTAATAATATAACATCAAGTTCATATACTAAATACAAAGATTTCTTACTGGATTTTATGAGTAGCCATCAACGAATGCAAATATTATTTATCTTCCATCCAATTTCATCTTGGAATTAACCATAATCCAAAAACTAAATGTTATTTTATCTAAATTCAAATTTTTTCCTTATTAGGAAAGCTAGTCATAAAAGTATTATAATCCAATGAATCCATTATCAGCTTTTAATAACGCTTTAAACATTTACTCTCGGCTATGTTTTGGCAATCCATATGTAATGGTAGTGGTCCATGTAAATTTAACTTTGTCTGACAATTAACAGAGCTGAGAAAAATAAATATAGCTTAGAATAAATGAATCATTTAATTTAATTATCAACATTATATATTTTTTCATACTAATAATAAAATATATCCAAACATGCTTTAAAGTAAAAATTCTATAATTTCTTGATCCTTTATTAAAAGTTCCTATTTTTATTTTAGATGTTAAATTATTTAAACTCTCCAATGTTCCATTTTAATTTTAATAAAGAAATGTAAATTTATTAAAGATGTCTTATAATATATGTGATTTTTAAATTTAATAATTTAGGCTTTATAAAAATTTTCCCTCTATTAAATAGCTAAAAAAGATAGATAAATTTTTATAATCTAAATTATTTTTAAAACTTTATATGATTTCTTCAATTTTCAAGATAAACATTTACTTTTAGTTAATGATGAATATATGATGTCGATATTAAAAAAATTTAATAACACTAATTTTTATTTTTAAATTAAAAGGGGATTTAGAATAATTGTTAATTTTATGACATAGGTACGAACTTAAAGCTTGAGTGAATTTATAACAAATGATTTAGAAAAGGCTTTTGCTATTTTAATTTTGATGATGAATACAATTTTGATATGTTGGCAAGCCTTAAATTTCCATAAACTTATTAGATTCTATATTAAAATGATGGATCCTACTTTGTTAAAAATAAATAGTTTATTGTTTATTTTATGCTTATGTAATAATATACTTATTGATAAGTCAGGATTCAAGCCTACTCTTATGCAGTTTTTGGGTGTTTTCTAAGGGAAAATGGATAAAAACTATTTCAACCTTCTGTCTTTAGAACATTACAATCTTCTAGTTTTATTTTTTATGATCTTGTTTTAGGAATAATAGGAGCTAAATGGTTAATACTTTATCTATAAAAGGATTTCAATATTGCAGAAATTTTTTAATTATTTTCAAAGTATACCTAGCATTGAAATGATTCTAAATATATTCCTATTTAGTTTTTGGTTTGCTAGTCAAATATTTTTAATTGTAGCAGAATCTTACCACATTTAAACATGGGATGAAAAGATTGACAAAATGTAAAATAAATATAATGGTTAGCTATTCAATTATCTATTTTATTTTCTCATTAATGACTTTGATTATATTTGTATTAGGATGTTCATAGTTTAGAAAGCATGTTAAACTTATTAATAATATAAAAGAAAAATATAAAAAATACGTAAAGTTTAAAAATAATTTTAGCTTGATTATTCAATAATTTTGTTATTAATAGGGTAGGTATTGAGATTATTATTTTCTTTATTAAGAATTTGTTATGCAAGCTTTTTGATTGAGTTTAAATATGGATTTAATAAAGAAAGTAAGGAAGACACTATATCATGGTATTCATTTATTTATAGAGAAAAAGGTCATTAATATCATTTACATTATATCTTTTAAGCGATTATATACCTACTGCAATACTTTTGTTGATATTTTATCCAAATAAATAAAGATTAAAACAAAGTCTTGCAGTAGAATCTGCAGTGGAAATAGAATGATTGATTAATAAATAACAAATATTTATATTTATTTATATTCACTTTACATATTTAACTTTAGGTTTGTTTTCTTTTTTCTTTTTATCTTTTTTATCTTCTTCAGCATATTAAGGTTTTTATAACCAACCCCAAATGATTTATGAACCTTTATACAACAATATTAATGGAATAATCCAATAACCATACCAAAAAAAGTCAAATATTGTACTTCCAAGCTAAATTAGATTAAAAAATTACTTAAATGACAGCATTTAAAGCTAAAATATCTAAATATATAGAATAAGAATCTGCATTTAAACCTAAATCCAATGATTTACTAATCTAATTATAACAAAAGTATTATATTAATGTAATGATTGCAATAACTATTGCTCCCCAAATTGTTAAAGCATAGCCATAATATAAATTAGCAATTAGAAACAATAAGCAAATAGCAGTTGTAGGATAAAAGTAATATCCAATGACTTTTTATTTAAATTAAGCTATTTTTTTTTCACTTTAGTTTCCCATTAATAAAATTAATGCATTACGTGTATTTTATTCTTTTAGTTGTTCTAGCTTCTTGTAAAATGACTAATATCACAAATTTAGATAAATGGGTATAAAAATAGAACTACACCTTAATCTTTTTTACTCGTGATGATTGTAATCATTGTTAAAGATTGGAAGAAGAATTAGAAAAAGCATCTGAAATGATAAATGTTGGTACACCTGGAAGTATTGGTATACCAGTAGCTAAAATAAAGAATTATGAACTTAATAGATATCCTATTCTAAGATTATATGTAAAAGGACTCTATACAGAACATTCAGGTGAATGGGAATAAAAAAAATTAGAATAATGGGCAGATTTAAGAGCATTATCATATATTACAGAATCTGATTCAGAACCAACAATAAGATGGATTCATGAATCTCATAATATTAGTGTTTTAGTTTTCAATAACTCTTTTAAGTAAGAATTAAAATGGCTTAAAACTTTAAAACATCACATACATTTTACATATACTACTTTACCTAATGCTAGATCATTACTAAATGTTGATGAAGATACAACACTTGTAATGTTTACAGAAAAAGGTATCAATAGATATGATTATGATGGAGAAATTACTTATGAAAAAGTATTTAAATTTGTGGAAGATCATGAAGATAAATATTATTAAGAATTCACTCAAGATTCTATTGAAACTGCTTTTTATGAACCTAAAAAACCAGTCTTATTTATTTTTGATGAAAAAGATTATAGAGATTTAGCTAAAACACATCAAAAAGAGTAATTATAATACTAATTTTTATAGAATTAATACAATATTAGTCAAATTAGATTAAGTTACAGAAAGACTTTTAAATTACTTAGGAGTTAAGGGTATTTAACGTCCTTTAGCAGTTATTTATGATTAAAATCACTCCCAAAAAAAATATAGAACATAATTTTCAGATTTAAGTGATCTGAGAAAATTTGTAAATAATTTCCTTAATAATAAATTATAACCATATTACAAAAGCTAAACACCTATTAAAAATGAAAATTGGGAAAAATAAATATTAACAGTTGTTGGTGAAGATTTACCTAAACATGATAATATATTTATTTATTTTTATTCCAGTTGGTGTAAAGTATGTTAAAAATTTACTCCTATTTTTGAACAACTATTTAATAAATATAGAGGTTAAAAAGCTTTTGGTATGTTTGATGCTAGTGAAAATGAAGTATTATTATTATTTTATTTTAGATTAAAGATTAATTTATCAAAGAAGTTCCAATGATTAGATGGTACAATTCTTAAACAAGATAAGTTGTAACATTTGATGGACCATTAACATTAGAAGCTCTTAGTGAATTTATTGATTAATAAGGAAAAAAATAAGTTTCTGATGATTTATGATGTGTAAAATATCTATTGTATTATAATTGCCTTTTATTAATAATTTATTAAATACTGCTAAATTAAAATCATTCTTACAAAACAAAGTATTATTCTAATAATTTTTAAATTTATTTAAAAAATATAATGATATATAATTTCTTATACACAGCAAGGATTATTTTCATTAAAATTTATTTTTTTGAATAATCTAAATATATAAATCTGAATTATTATCCTAGCGTTTATACATTTAAATTATAAGATCTTCTAAAAGTATTTTGAGAGAATTACATTTCTAGAGTTTTAAAGATATATATAATAAAATATCATAATTTTATTTTTATGTATTTAATATTATAATTTGGAAAAATTCTGAAAGTGTTGAGATTAAATTTATTTATAAATTAAACATGTTTAATAAAAGGTTGTCATAAAAATTCTTTTTAATCAAATGCATAAAACTTAAAAAAAATAAAAAACTATAGGTATTCTCTTTAGATCAAGATGATTTTCTAAGAGATCATTTTTCGTAGTGAAAACTGAATAAAACAATTTATAATTAATCAAACTTTTTTCTTTTATTATAGGAATCTAAATACAGAAAAACCTAAATTCTCACTTTGACTGCGTATTCTAATATTCTATTAATTTAAATTAGTTTTACATGCTCAATTAAAGCTTTTTGGCATGGAACTCTTTAATTTTAATTTGATCGTTGTCTTTCATCAGTTTCAGATTCCTCTAAAATGACCTCATCAGGCGTGTAAATAGCTAATTTTTATTAATGAATTTTAGGTCCTTTAGGAGGTTCAAGTGTTAAGGGTTCAACAATTTGTGGAGATTATTTAGGTCTTAAAATAATTCATAAATAGTACATTAATTTAGGAGTTGGTGGTGGTTAATCATGAGTATCTAAATATTCTTAATATGTCATTGAAGAATGATATCTCTGTCTTATTTAGGTTTAATAAATATCATCCATAACAATTTTATATTAATGATTGATTATTCAATTTATTAATATTCTTCTATAAAATTATATTGAAGTATAAAACATTCAAAAAATAATTTAGCAGATGACTTTTTATTATCAAATATGTAAAAATTAGAATGGCAATCAATGAAATATTAATTGTTAAAGTTATGGATTAGATTTTTTTTTTTGATAATATTCAGCTTTTATTTTCTACTAAATTCTTAAATTATTAGGCTATAATTTAGAGATGTAATCATCGATAACTAAGCTAAATACAAAAAAAATAACAATTTAATTGTTTATTCCATAAATAAATTTAATTCTAAATGAACTTAGATTTATGAAATTTTGAGATGGAGTTAAGTCTTTAAGTCTTCACATCTATTTATTAAAACAATAAAGCTAAAATCATGTGATATTTATAGTTAGAGAATTAAGAATAAAAACAATATGATTAAATATTTGTAAGATGATGAAACTAAAGAATTTGAATTATGATATCATTTTTTTTTAAGATTATTAATATCATAAACCAAATATTTTGATTGCCAGTAAAAGTAATTATTGTGTTTGCGTAAGTCTATTTAGATAATTTAATGGAAAAATTCTAAGATAAAAAAAAAACAATAAAAGATTCTTAAGCATAATTTATACTTTATTTGCTTAAACTATAAGAATCCTTAAAGATTATGTAATCATAATTAACATATAAATAATTTCATGCTACTTTATTTTAAGAATAAACTTCAGTGCTTTAGCTATGATTTTTCTAAGTTTTCATTTCTTCAACTTTGGATTATCCTTTCGATTCATTTTATTATCTATTCAAGTACATTTCTATCTTATTTAAAGAAGATAATAAAGGAAATTCTGTGATATATGAATGGATTAGATATTTTTTCAATTCTGGTGATTATGTAACATTCTAAAAAGAGCTAGATAAAAGACTTACAAAAATATTATTTTTCTAGTTTTCCTCATCCAAATTAGCTTGAAGGAATTTTATATCCGAAGGCTTCGTGCTATCATTAGGAATTTCAAATTTTTAAGGAAGCATCTATTTTTTAAAATCAAGGTAAGCCGATTTATTAATTTTAATGTCAAGACGATAACCTTTCATTTTATGAGTATTTTTCATTGTTTAATTATAAGTATTAAATATTAAGGCTAACTTATTAATATTGATCGATTTATATACTAAAGCATACAAGTAATTAATATAAAATAATGATAGGTTGAAAAAGCAATATTTGTTTTAGAAATAATTTTAAATAACTGAGATGTAATACTAGATAAATTGATACATCAAATATGAGTTTAAACATTTAACTTTTATATTTGTTTGGATATTATAAAAAATTTGAAATAAATTTATATTTATTTTAAATTATTTAATCAAAATTGCAAATAAAGTTTGTTAAAAATATCTACTATTAACAATGTTGTTGAATATTCCTAAATATTTTAAATAGCGTTGCCTAACTAGAACTGTTGTTCTTAGTTTCTTTATAATTCAATAAAAATTAAAAATTACTTAATTAGTTGCAATTTATTTATTTATATAAGTTTAAATTTGAATTTAAGGATGTTATAAGTTTGTATAAGAGTTCGTCCTCTTTTAAAACAAGAAAAAAAGTCATAATGGTTTGTCAATAAGAATAATATAAACTCATAAAATAAATCATTTACGTTTGATTAAGTAGAATGTGAAACAAGGACTTAAACTCTATATAATAAAATAGCTAAAGAAAATGTTAAGAAAGCATTAAATGGATTTCATACAACAATAATGTGTTATGGTTAAACAACATCTGGAAAAACATTCACAACTTTAGGTACTCATGATAACCCTGGAATATTACCATGCGCTTTAAGAGATGTATTTTTGGATTAAAATGTTAAATGTTCAATTTAGTATGTGTAAATATATAACGAAATAATTGATGATCTTTTAGATCCAAAATGTACATCTTTATAAGTAATAAATGATTAAAAATGGGGTACAACTTTATAACTAAAGTAAATTGGAGTTAAAAGTTTTGATTAAGCTATAGAACTATTAAATGAAGGTGAAGAAAGAAGAATATACAGAGAAACTTAAATTCATGATAAAAGTTCACGATCACATACAATTTTTCGTATTTTTATTGAAAATGGATCACGATATTCTTGTTTAAATATAGTAGATTTAGCAGGAAGTGAGAGAGTTTCATCAGAAAATGATATTAATCATGAGACAGGTTATATAAATAAGAGTTTATTAGCATTAACAAATGTTATTAATTAATTAACAGAATAAAAATAGCAACATATTTCTTATAGAGATTCAAAATTAACAAGATTATTATAAAATTCATTAGGAGGTAATTCTATTACAGTTCTTATTTGTTGTATATCTCCAGGAAATATTACATAAACTTTATCTACATTATAATTTGCATAAAGAGCAAAGACTGTTAAAAATTCTCCTATTATAAATGGTGAGAAATAGATATAAGAAAATTTTGATTAATAATATTAAAGTACTTGCAATTAAAATTTCAATATCTTTACTTATGTTTAATGTTTAGAAAAATCAAACAAGTCTTATTTTTAAGATCTAGTTAGATTAGAACAATAGTATTAAAAGAAATATGGTGATCTTCTTTAATAATATCGTAAAGATTTAAATAAATTAACAGTAAATTAATAAAATTTATAAGAAGTAATATAAATTTTAGAAAAAAATATTTTAATAAGTTTAGAAGAGATGAAATAAAATATTAGATTAATTAATGAAGATTAATAATATAAATTATTAATATGGGGATCTGGATAAGATGGGAGATTAGGATTAGGTGATGAAAAAAGTTGTAAAATACCAAAAGAAATAAATAATTATAAATTTTCATAAGTAAGTTGTGGATTTCATCATACATTAGCTATATGTAATGGAAATATATATGCTTGGGGAAGAGGTTTAAAAGGATAATTAGGATTAGGAAACTTTGAAACAATTTTATAACCAACAAAAATAGAGAATTTAAAAAATGCAACATAAATAGCTTGTGGATGGTAACATAGTTTAGCTATCTGTGATGGTAATTTATATTCTTGGGGTTATGGAGAAGAGGGATAATTAGGAAATGGAGATTGTTAAACAATTAATTAACCAATTTAAATTTAAGAAGAAGTTGATAGTATATATGCTGGTCATTCTTAAAGTGGATTTATGAAAGAAGGAATGTTATATACTTTTGGAAATAATTAAGATGGTAGATGTATGATAGATTCTATAGGAATTCTTTCAGAACCAGAATAAGTACCTTTGAATGATATAAAATCAGTAAGTTTAGGAGTTTCACATATGGGAGTAGTAACTAATGATGGTTGTGTATATATGGCTGGAACTTCTGTTGATGGTTAATTAGGAACTTTTAGTACAGATGATGAAGTAGCTACTTGGTTTACATAATTAGATAAATTTAATCATACTAACAGAGCATCTTAAATTTAATGTGGAGATTCTTTTACATTAGTTTTAAATACTAAAGGAATTATTTATGCTTTTGGTAAAGGTTCATTTAAAAGATTAGGATTATCAACTACTGATAATATTTATGAACCTACTCCTTTACCTATTGAAGGTCACTAAATTGTAGCTGGATGTAGACATGCTTGTTCTATTACTCAAAATGGATAAGTATATATGTGGGGATTTAATTTTCATAATTAACTGGGGCTAGGATAAGATGATTTAGATTAAGAACCCATTTTAATTTAAATTAATAATATTAAATAAATTTCACTTGGTTATTTCCATTCAGCAGCTTTAGTTTAAAATTGATTTCTAAAATTATAATCATTATTTATTCATTTCAAATTTTAGATATCTTACTTTTAATTTATTTTTAAAGTTTTATCATAATAAATTTAATTTTGGTATCATATTTTTTATTCAAATTGATTTGTATTTTTGGATATCTCTTTTTACCAAATTTTTAATTTAGAATATATAGTAATCATTCAATTTTATTAAAATTTAAATTTCTCATCTCAAAAAAAAAAAAAAAAATATTTTTGTTTGTTATTATTGATATTATTAGTGTATTTCATTTATTGTTATAAACTTTAATCATTTCTTTTTTTCAATGATTATTGGCTTTTGATAATCAATATTAGAACTATTTTAGTTAATTCTTTGTTTTTCTATCGATTTTATACCAAATCTTTTGATCTATAATTAATTGCAGTAAAAGTTACATCTTCTTAACATGTCTTTTTTCTGAAATTAATTATATCATTTACTCTAAGTGACTTTAATAATTTTCATCAAAAAATAAAGATTCATGTCAAACAAAAAAATTATTTTTTTTATTTATATAATGTGATCATTTAAAAATAATAATGAAGCAATTCCAAATTATTTTATTTTTTATTTCCTAAGTATTAAATGAATAATAAAAAATATATCAATCAATTATTTTCAGGTATTATTATATAATCTAAGCATATAGGACAAAATCCTTTTTTAATTTATATAGATTTATTCGATTTATCCCAAAAACAAAAAAAATAACAACGATCACATTTCTCTAACTTAAGATGGGGCTTTAATTAAACGTTAGCTATTATTTACTAAAGATCTAAAGTTAATTTTAATTAATCGTATTATTATCCCATAATTATTTTTATATACATAGATTTAGGTATGTTTTTATTACAGTTTTAACATTTAGCAAATTATTTTTGTAGAAATGCCATTTATAAATTATCTCTTAATTATTAACTATTGTATGAGTGCCCACATTCACATCTAATATCTCTGAAAGTCATTATAGATTCATTTATTTCGGATGATTATTGTTAAATTTGCTGTTATTGATAATTGAATATTTTTCCCAAATCTTTACCAATAAAATGACTTTCTAAAAAAATTTCATAATTTTCTTTCGCTTCTACTTCTTTCTGTTAATTTTTTGGGTCTTATAATTTTTTTCCCCATTCTGATGAATCTCTTTCTTTTAATTTAGTACTTAAATTAGCAGATTCGTCATCAGTACCAGTTTAACCCGAATCTGTATCATTTTCATGTATTTTATAATCTAATTATTAAGTCTTGAGTTTCGATAAATATGGTAGTAAGTAAGTATTTTTATCTACATCTATTTTTTTATTTTAATAATATAGTGTGATTTTGTGATGGTTTGAATAAGCTTTTTCTAAAAACAAAATGACATCTAAAATTAAAGTATCATCTTTTGCCCTCATTGATTTTTAAGTATTTTCATTAGTATTGAGATTTTTCAAGACTATCAATTTACACATTGGGCTTACACTTCTCTATAACTTATTATGATTTAGTTTCTTTTATTATTCTTCACACATACGTCCATTATATTAATTCATTTTATCAAGAATTTAATGATTATTTTTTTTAACATTATAGAATTCTAAAAAATCATTTATAATCACTGATTATATATAATAATTATATCAACATATATAGTGTAATAAAATATAGGCATGTTGTATGTTGAAATTCTTTTATTTTTTTTCTAATTTCTCTTCTTTTCTTTTCATATCTAAATAATTTGTGATGCCTATCAAGATATTGGAAATATATTTATCATAAAATCTACAAGTTATTATTATCTAAGAATAGCAGTAAACAAATATGAATATTTTAATATTTAATTATAATTATTAATACGAACTCTATGGCTACAAGACAAAATACAAATCCAAATGATTCGAAAAAGAAACTTAAAGATAAAGATAAAAATAAAAACTCAGATAAAAATTCAAAAAAAAAAGGATAATCAAAATCAATAGTTAATTAGGAACAAGTCTTGAATTTAAGATAGAGTTTTGAAACTTTGGTAAAAAACAAGTAATAGTTTACTAAAATTAGAGAGGATCTTGAAAAGATAATCTAAAATTAAGAATGTAAAATAAAGGATCTGAAATTAAATGAAAAAAATTTAGTGGAAGAATTGAAAAGACAAGGTGATATTGCAAGAGAAGCACTCAATAAATTATATTAAAATTAATAAGAGAATAATATAGAAAGAGAAAAGTTAAGAAAATATTATGAAGGTATACAACCGTTAATTTAATAGATTATTATAAAACAAAGGAATAAGAAGTAATTTAAAAATATGAAGGATTGATGCAGTAATCGAATATAACAATTTCTGATTATCAAAAAAAAATAAAAGATTTTACATTAAAAGAATAATATTACTAAGAAGAAATTGAATTATTAAAGAAAGCATAGAAAAATATTTAAACTCCTAGAGAGAGAGTAAAATAAAATAAAATATTTTTTATTAGATTTATTAGTAATAATTGAATGAAATGGAATAAAAACTTTATTAAACAAATAAAAATAATGAACAATTAAAATTGTTGTAAAATGAAAATTCTAATTTGTATATGAAGATTGGTCAAATAGAAAAATAATTGTCAATAAAAAATGAAAAAGAAAAGACTTTAAAAGAATAATTTAGTAAACAAATAAAAGAATTGTAATAAGAAATAAATGTAATTATTTTAATTAATTAATGATTCTTTAGTATTGGAAGAGTGAAATGGATAAAGTGATAAGATAGAATAATGCTGTAATTTCTAAATTAACACCATAAAAGTTAAGATATTGATTAAAATAGAATTGATAATATATAATTTCTAAAATGAATAAAATATATTCTTTTATTAATTTAATAATAAATAATATGAGTTAATTTTAAAGAATGAATAGAAAACTTGATGAAGGATGGAAATTAACCACAATGGTTTGTGAATGTAAGGGAACATTATTAATATTTTTGGAAAACAGAAATTTATATTGTCCCAAATGTGATATAATTACTTAAGATTAAGTGATTTTAGATTAAGACCATTAAGATACTTAAATAAAGGTAAATCAAAGTGGATCAGAATCAAAACCAGAGATTATTCAATAAAAGAATAGCAAAGATTATGATTCAGATGATTTCTATATTGATGATTAGGTAGAAGATATTAATTAAAGATTATTTTTAAATAAAGCAGCAGCTGATGAAGCATCTAAAAAAATAGGTTAATTACTTTTATAAGGATGGGCAATGCTTAGTGAGTCTTGTATTGTTTGTTTATAACCAATCATGAAAAGTAAGTAAGGTGTAAGATTATGTGTGTAATGTAATCGAGAAGAAAAACCACATTAAACTAAAGTATAAGAAGTTAAATCTTCAGTTCCATAAGAAAAAGATATTTCTACATTACCAATCTAAACATCCTAATTATAAAGTGGCTAAATCAAATAAGAAAAATAAACATAAGAAATTATAAATTAACCATAATTAGAATTGAAAATTGAAACAAAACCGATTGAAATTAGCAACTTAGAATAACTTAAGGAACATGCTTAAATATTAGTTTCATCATAGTTAAGAAATTATTATGATAAATTATAATAATCTGTCAATGATGTTAATTTTTATAACTTAAATTTCATATCTGAAGAAATTTTAAAAATTGAATAATAAGTAGGTTCAACTTTAAATAAAAATGCAGAATTAATGAATGTCAGAATTTAAACCTTGAAAATTTTAACAGATATCCATGATAAATTAATTTAATAAAATTCGTTTGAAAGAGCTTCAAAATTTATGGGAATTATTTTAATGATATATAATATTGTATAAAAATAATGATGAATTAATTGAAAATATATTTATATTAATTTAATAAAGAAATTATGTATTAATGTTTATATATATTCTTAATATTAATATTTATTCTTTATATTAATATGGAAATAAATATATATTTTAATAAAGTTTTCTTCTGCTATTTTAATAATACAGATAATGATAATCATTATTCCTTTTATTAAAAGTTTTCTCTTGGCTCATTCAATCTTGATTTTCTCTCTCTTTTTTCAGAAACTTCTTATTTTTATGAAATAAAATCCTTATTCTATCTTAGTTAGGTCGTTGATTCAATATTTTATTAATTAGATTCATATTATTAGCTAGAATTATCCTTAAGTAAAACATATTAATATTATTATTTTTATTCTTAAAAATCTCCTCTGTATTCTTCTCTTCCTTTCAATTATTTAGAATCTCCATTCTAATTATTATATTTATTGTTATTTTATCTAAAATTATTATTTTCAGTATATGTTTTAAAATTATTATTTTAATTTTTAGAATAACCTTAATTTCCATTATAATTGTTATTTTAAGTTTTATATTAACCATAATTAGATTATTGTTTATAATTTCTTTATTATTAAGTTTTATAATCAATCTAATTATGTTAATCTCTTTTATCCTGATAATAATTGTTTCCATTTTAATAATTTTATTCCAATCGTTATTCTGTAAAAGGATTATGAACTTGATTGTGCTATTTTTAATATTAAAACTAATCAAAACCTCTTTTATTATCACCATTATTATTAGATTAATACCAATTTTTCCTATTATTATTATTATAATTATTAAAATTATTATTATGATTATTATTATGATTATGATTATTATTATGATTATGATTATTATTATTATAATTATTATTATAATTATTATTAAAATTTCTCTAATTTTATTCTTAATACCTATTGTAGTTATTCCTAGATTAATAATTTGCATATGTCTAAGAATCTTAATTATTTTATATCTAATTAAAGCCATTATTTTGATTTTTACGATAACCAAAATTATTTTTAGACATATTTTATTCGGGTCTAGTTTCATCCATGTCTTGATTATATTGATATCTTGGATCTCTACGATAGTCTTCACTTTAAACTCTCTATTTTTGTTAGTCAGTTTAATATCCCTTGAAATAATTTCTTTATTAATAGGAATTCTAATGTAATTAGATATTTTTATCTTAAACTAACTTTTAAAAAATTTATTAATGTTCTCTTAAACTTCCTTAAGTTTAATTAAATCTAACATTTGAAGTTTAATCATCATATTTCGAATTTTATTAAGGATTTTCAAAATCTTAGTTTGAACTTTTTTAGTATGATTTTTAGTCCTGATATTATTTCATTTCTTCTTTATATTTTTGCTCTTAAATGATTGTCTAAGGGTAGTATTTGTTTTAAGCAATTATAACTTATTCTTAATTCATATCAAATCTAATAAACTCATTCTTCATTACAAAAACCCATCCAGCAGGTTCACAATTTTTATCATAATAGCATCCATCATAATCAGCCCATCCTTCAGCATCATCTAAAAGATAAATTTAGTTAGAATTCTCCAAATAAAATCCATTCTAAGTTTCGTTATATGTTTTAAATTTTGAAGGGTTATGCTTAGGAAATTGATAAAAATCTAATTAATTATTCATTAAAATTAATGTAATAAGTTTGTAGTAACTTTCTTGCAGATCCATCCGATACAAGTTTTGGATTCTAAATAAAATGTAAAAATTGCTAGTTTACTAGAAAATAGCATATTTAAAGTAATATTAGTATTCTAATATAGATAATAATGTTAAGCCTAAATAAGATGTAAATGAAATTAAGACAATAACATCAAATTCTAAATTATAAGACAAATTAGTTAATGTAGTTGGAAATGCTTTCTAAAATCCTAAAATGTAAGAGTCTATGAAAGAACCTTAAAATTAATAAAAAGCCGTCACAACCATAGAATAAATTGTTTTTTAGAAAGCAACTAGCATAAATGAAAAATAAAATGAAAAAAATGAAACAGATATGTCTATTGATAATTAAATATAGTTTGAAAGATAAAATGTTAGAATTTACAATTCAGATAAAGCTTTAATAAATTAGAGTCCAAAAAATTAAGAAAAAAATCAAAATGAAAAAGTGCTTGAAGAAGAGAATTAAAAGGGATTATCATAAAAGCCTTCCTTTTAATAAGATTCAAATTTTAATCAAAAGGTGGAATAAATATAGAATAATAAAAATGAATTGGAAGAAGTAAAACCTAACAAATTGTAATCAAATCAGTTTATTAAATAAGATTAGAATACTTCTTAAAAAGTGGAATAATAATCAAATTCAGATACCATAAAAACAAAAATTACTGAAGTATAACAACCTAAAAAATTACAATCTAATCCATTTATTCAAAAAAATTAAGAATAATAATAAAATTAGACAGCTGTTTAAGGAAATCCAATTGAAGAATAAAAAATAAAAAAGTTATCATAAAATCAATTTATGAAAATAGATTAAAATTTTCCTTTAAAAGTTGAATAAAAATGTTTTAATAATTAAGTAACTACATTTAAACCTTAAGTTTAAGTAGTAGTAAATGATTAAAAAGACCCATAATAAACAGAAAAATAATAAAAGCAGCATTAAATCTAAAATTAATAATAAATAAATCCTTAAAATAATTTAAAGCTCCCATAAGATAATTCTAATAGTAACTAATTATCAAATCCTTAAGTAAAATTTTAATTTATTTAAGTCTGTAAAAGAAAAAGCAAAATCTATGTAATTCTTTGGATTTGGAGTACCTCCACCAAATAAACCACCTTAAGATCCATATTAAGAGAAACCTTAAATACAATTTTTATTAGATAGACCTATATTACTCTAAAAAAAACATAATAGAAGTTAATAAAATTTTTAGGATACATAAAATTGATTTCTTCAAATAAATTTATTGATATTTAACAAAATTAACTTTAATTATTTTATTTTTATAATTTTAGCATAATTTTTATTTCAAATATAGTTTTATTTTTTAATAAGATACATTATGATATAAAATTTTATTTAAAAAATAAAAGAATTTAAATGAAAATAATACAACTCAATTTTGAAGTTACATTTTAACAGGATTTTAAATATAAATTCAAGATTTACAAATATAATTTATAAATATTTTATTTTGGAATTAATCATTATTATCTATTCCTTAGATTTGATGTTAAAATACTTTGATTTTGATCTTGATTTTTATTTTTATTTTATAATGTCTGTCTTCCTATAATTTAGGCAAGTGATATTGCTTAAGTTAAACACTTTTGACTCTCTTAATATGTAACTTATTATCCTTAATAGTTCTCTTCTGAATAGATTGTCATTTAGTATCCCTCAGGCAAATAAATGGACTTTATATCATATTAAAAATCCCTAAAATTTCGCTTAATTATACTCAACTTCCTTCAAAGACTCACATATAGGTAAACTATCTCCTTAGAAATCACATTTTGAATAAATCACAATACAATCTTCTTATTTAGCTTATAGATTTATGTTTGCTTAATTATCATCTTATTCTGCTGTATCTAGAGCTCTATATTTATGAAATTAATTACAAGTATGTTCTCATACCATCATATGAATCTATTTAATTTCCTAATGAATCATAAACTTGGTTTTCATTTCGAATTGGTCTAAATTTTAATAATTAGTTATTACAATTCTAAACTAGCAGACAAATAATGATTATCATCATTTTAATCTTTCTATTCTTCTTAAACCTATGTATCTTCAGGGAATTCATAAGGAATGGAATTTTCCATATCTAATATTGGATCTAATTCTGCTTTAGTTGAAACTAATTATTATTATTATTCTTCTAATGTTGTAGCTTACAAATTGTTAGAATTATCGCTTATATTCATTTAGCTATTTTTATTTTATTCTTTGTTTGTTTAGCCAACAGTTTCAGATATTATATTTTAAGTATTCTCAACTTAGTTTGATACAAAATGACCATCTATATCTATATATCCTTATAATTATTAATGTTATTGGATTTATTATGATTCTTCATTTGTTGTTTCATAAACTAATGTTGGTATTGGATTCTCTTATATTTCACTTAATTCTTAATTTTAAGAAAATACTAAGCCAATTAGTAATGCTATTAGAACTATTTTCATTAAAAATTAAAAAAAAATATATTATAAATATAAAACGGATATCATTTACTTAATTTAATTATCTCTTCTTCTATATCATTAAAGCATTCCTATATCTATTATTTCATTAATCTTAATCGTTATAATTTATCACCATCAATATTGTTTTATAATTAATTTTGCATGTTGTTTCTTAAAGTTTAGATTATATCCAAGTCTTAATTCAATTTTTACATGGATCTTTAACTATTTTGATAACTTAAATCTTAAACACTACTTGTTAATTTATCTTTTGCTGTTTAAATTCTTTTTAAAAATCTGTAAACATATTTTCTTAATATTTTTACTTTTGCATTTCTTAAATTTCATGCTATATATTTGATATTTCATCAATCACATATTCTTAATAATATTGATCGAATGTCTTGTTTTCATTTTGACAACTTTTTTAAAACTCCTATTTTTAAATTTATTATATTCTTTTATCTATTTAACATAATGATGTTTTTATAGAAATTTCTTAATAATCTTCAAATTTTTTTATACTCTGTTCAATATTGAAGCAAACATTGTCACTATTATTTATTCCACTTTATTATTTTTACTTAATAGATTCATAAAAATCGTTATTAGAAAAAAACTATTATTAAGACATCGATTAATCTGTTAAAGATAATTTAAATATATCATCAAAAGTATCAGAATCTTGTTTACCAGAAAATTCTTATAATATTGGTTTTTTAATAGATCTTTAATTCTAAATTTGATAAGTATCGTAATAGTTATTTTTACTACTAAAATATCTGTAATCTTAGTCATCAGATTAATGGCCATTTTAAATAAAACTATGTTATTTTTTTTCTTCATATACTGATTCAGCAGTCTGACAATCTGGATTCATCTTAGAAGATGAAACAGATTTTAATGTTTATACTTTTTGATTACTCATCATCATATCTAACTTTTAATCAAATTTTAAATGAATTATACTTTTATTTATTCTATTGTATTTAAATGTTTCTTCAGTTCTAACTTTATACATTTGCATCTGTTCAACCAGTTTAAAATTTCTCTGTTTGTTTTCATATTTTTAACGTAACAATTATTAAATAATTATTTATATTATTATATAATCTAGATGTAAAAAAGATTAATTAGAATATAATACTGTTATCCTTATTGAAAGAGGACAAAATTTGAACCAGTGAAGAAGTCAGATTTTAACATTGTATTAACTAACATATTTATTTTTCCAGTTTATTAAAATATTACACTCTTATTATCATTTTATAATTTTATAAAGATATCGCTCTTTTATCTATCAAAACAATAAACATTTTACAAAATTTAAAAATCAGTCTATTTTTTTTTTACAAATATTATTATCTTTATATATTTTTCATCTTAGATATTTAATGCTTATCCAAATTTAGTTTGCAAAATAATTTATTTTTAGTTTTTATTTATTATCTAATCTAATCCACAAATTATGCTTAAATTTTTGATGGCTTATTCTACTATGATAAATGTTTAAAATTTATAAGTTAAAGATTTCTAAAATTTATTAATTGAATAAGTGAAATGATAGGTTCTTTGAAAGGAATGTAAAAAATAAGAAGATTAATGATCTCTAACTATTTCTTCACTCATAATTCATATATTATAAATCCGTTTTTATTAATATGTAAAAATTATATATTTTAGCACTCTTTTTGGTTATCGTAACAGCTCAAGACAGTTTTCTTGAAAAGCAAAAGCATGTCAAATAATAGAAGGATTTATCAACTGAAATATATACAATTAAAAAAAAAGGATTACCAACCTTTTTAGGAAGAAGCTCAGATGAATCAATTAAAGAGTAATTGTCATCACTTTTGAATTATGAAGAGGCAATGTTATTAACACCAACTGAAGAGACTGATCATACAATAAAATTCGTTGAATCAATGTTTATAATTGATCAACCAAATCCAAATGCAGTAAGAGCAACAGAAAAACCTAATTATTCATTTGAAGACTCTAAACCATAAAAGAAAGTTTATAGCTAAGAAAAAGTTACATCATTTAAAGAAGGTTGTATTTATGTTTTTAGTGAATGCAATTTTAAGGGAGAACATGCTAGATCATGTCCTGAAGATAATGTTACATTTTTTGGATTCCCATTTGAGGTTTTATCTATTCATGTACCAGAAGGAGGATCATTGAGTCTTATTTAAGAAAATGGAACAACTGCTTATACAGTTTCTAATAAATGCATGAGAAGTAGACCAATTGAATTCCTATTTGTTGAAGGAGCAATCAAATAATCATTTGGAAATGGCGAAACATACATTGACTAATGAAAATCAATATATTCATTAAAAAAATGATTTTATTTTTGAAAAATAATTCTTCCCTTCAATCTTCAAGTCTTTATTTACTATCAATATTAATAAGGTGTGAGCTTTTTACTTCGTTTATTATTCAATTTATGAATAACAAAATAACTACAGATTTATTTCAATAAATTGAGAAATTAATAAATTACTTTTTGTAATGTGTTTTTTGTTACTTTATCTCCTAAATTTAACTCTTACTATAAAAAATTATTAATATTTATCTAATCGATCGAAATTTATGATTCTTATTAATATTTTCACTTACATTTTTTAATAATACTCAAGATTGTATAAACTAATCTTTAAATACATAATTTTAAGAAAAACATATGTTTGTATGAAGAATAAAATATTCTGTAACAATTTTGCAGGGTTCTAAAAGATTAATTTTAAAATAATAGTAGTAATTCTATTCAATATTATGTAAGCAGATTGTGAAAACACTAATTGGTTAAAGTAAAAAGGTGCAAAAACAGGAATGTTAATAAGTTAAAGCTAATATATTGATAGTAAATGATTTATTATGATTGAATGATGATTGTTTTTATATTATTAATAATTTAACAGGTTTAAATAATTCAAATTAAAAATGTAAAAATCTACATCCCTTGCAGATTTCACGATTCTTTAGAAATTAGGAGAAGGTTCTTTTGGATAAGTATTCAGAGTATATTAAATAAATATAAATAAGGTTAAAAGAGTGAATGATTAATGTGAGTATGCTATGAAGAAGGTGAGAATAAATAATTTAAAGTAAAAAGAAAGAGAAAATGCTTTGAATGAGATTAGGATATTGGCTTCAATAAATGATGCTCATATTATAGGATATAAAGAGGCATTTTTTGATGAAATGTCTAATTAGTTATGTGTAATAATGGAATTTGCAGCAGGAGGAGATATTTCAAAATAAATAGGATAGTGCATAAAGAAATAGAATTAGATTGAAGAGAAAGAAATTTGGAAGGCATTAGCACACATGACTTTAGGTTTAAGAGTGTTACACAAGTCTGGCATTTTACATCGTGATTTAAAGAGTGCCAACGTTTTTAAATCTATAGATGGATAATATAAGATAGGTGATTTAAATGTTAGTAAAGTTTCACATGGAGCATTAGCAAAAACTTAGACAGGAACACCTTGTAAAATAAATAAATAAATTAGATTATGCAAGTCCAGAAGTTTGGAGAGATTAACCTTATTCATCACCTTCAGATATTTGGTCTTTAGGGTGTGTTATTTATGAAATGGCTACTTTAAAACCTCCTTTTAGAGCTTAAGATCTTTAAGCTTTATTCAAAAAGGTTTCATCTGGAGTATATGAAAAAATCCCAAAATCATATTCAAACTCTTTGAGTGCTATGATAAGTTAATTATTAAAAGTACCTGCTCATTTACGTCCAACTTGTGATTAAATCTTATCTGATCCAAATGTAAAACCATATGTTGAATAATATTGTTAAACATAATAAGCAAATAGTAGTCAAGCAGAACTGCTTTAAACGATTTTATTACCAAAAAATCTAAAATAGTTATAAGCAAAGTTACCAAAACCAACTTATGAAACAAATAAAAATGAATATGATTCAATAAAATAACCTCCTAAATCTACAAGATCAGCATCTGTAAATGAAAGGAAGGGATCTCCAATCTAAACACCTTAAATTCCTAAGAAAGATATCTCTAAACCTGTATCAGTTATATTCTAATTTTAGCTTATACCCCCTGGATTAAGGAATAATTAATAATCCATTAATCCACCTATTCGCTAATCTAGTTTAAATAGACCTAGTTCTTCTGTAAAAAATTTGAGTCCTGCTCCAATTAGAAAATCAGTTGAGAAACAAAATCAAAATACTTTGAAAAACAAGAGTCCTTCTACAAAAAGAATTTATGATAATAATGAGAATATCGATAGAAGTAATCTAGGTTAAAGAAGGTCGTATTAAAATATAAAAAATTGATATTTCGATTAATATTATATTATACTTCATAAGAAGTATCAAAATATATTTGATATATATATACTTCATAAGAAGTATGGCAATACACTTTTAGGATTAACACTCTTGGCACTTTCAGGGACTTCTTTAAAAGTTTTCCATGTCTGATTCAAGTTTTCATCCAAACATAAGATTGAGGCAATATTACCACATCTGTAACAGTAATTTGGTGCTGACCATACAGTAACTAAATTTTAATCCTAATAATATTTAATAAATAATACTGGGAACCAATATTTGTATCCTTCCATAACCAATTGATGTGCTCTACATATTAAAGTAAGATCATTAAGTCTACAAAACTCTTTTGTAACTTTGGCTCCAAATAGATAACCAGCTCCTCTAGAATTAACTGCCCAATATTCAACTTCTTCAGGATCAGACCACATTAAATCACAAAAAGGTCCTTCATGTGGAATCTCTATCTATAATGGGAGAAATTATAATTATTTATAATTACTTTTCTATCTATCGTTCGTATCTGATCTATTGTTCTCATATCAGGTGATAAACCACCATGTACACATAATATTTAACCTTCAATTAATGCTCCCAAAGGTAAACAATCAAAAACATCCATAAATAATCTCCATGGACTACAATTACCATATTTACGAAGTAATTCTTCATAAAAACCATACACTTAAGTACATTAACGAGATTCATGATTTCCTCTTAATAACATAATGTTCCCAGGATATTTTACTGAAAATTATCTACTTCATTACCTTTTAAGCATAATAGATATTCCATTGTTTCAACTGAATTAAAGCCTCTATCAACAAAATCTCCAATAAAAATATAGTTTGATGAAGGAATATCTCCTCCTTCTTTCATTAAAGCTTACAAGTCATAAAATTGTCCTAAAATACTTAATCACTTCTTACCATGAATGTCCCCACAAACATTTACAGGAGCTCGAACTGGCTATACATTTGATTCTTCAAGAAAGATTTCCTTAGCTCTATCACATATCAATTTTAAATCTCTCTCTGGTAAACATCCACCTCCCAAAAGTGTTGCTATATGTCGATCTATGTCCATTTTTCAAATATTATAATTAAAATATTCAGCTATACATTAGTTCTAATTTCCTTAAATAATTCAAAATTAAAATTAGAATCCTATTAATTCTTATATCATCTTTATACAAAACTATCCTCTTCTCACATGATTACCATTTCTCTTAAATCTTTTACATTAATGGACTATTCAAATGTATTATTTAAAGTTTATCGAATAAGTTATACAAAAACTAAAAAATCTGCATTAATAAATATCACTATCTTATACTAAAATTAATTTATATAAATTTCATTTAAAAATGGAAGATAACAGGGATCTTAAAATAATAGTTGTTGGAAATTCTAGTGTTGGTAAAACAAGCTTGATTGTAAAATATAAAACTAATCAATTCTCACTATAAACTACTGGTACTGTGGGAGTAGATATGTCAATTGATAAGAATGTGAATATTAATAATAATATGTATGATGTTGCTATTTGGGACACAGCTGGTCAAGAAAAATATTAATCAATTGTGAAAATTTCATCTCAAGTATTTTTATGCATTTTCATTTATAGAATGCTCATGCTTCTTTGATATGTTTTGATTTAAGTGATCCTTTATCATTAGATAGTGTTGCTTCTTGGATTTAATTCTTAAAATCTGAGGGACCTTAAAATATATAAATAATTATAGTAGGTACTAAAAAAGATCTTAATGTCTAATATACATAAGAATAATTAAAATAAATCTCAATCGCTTGGAAAGCAAATTTTTAAGATGAATTTCCAATCCATTTAACTTCCTCAAAAACTGGAGAAGGAATTTAAGATGCTTTTCTATAAGCTTATGATTTAGGAGCTAGAGCAAAGTATGACTTAAATACCTAATAATAATAATTATAATAAAACAATAAGAGTTTTAAAATAAGTACTTCATAATTGTTAAGAAGTTAATAACCTTAAAATTAAAAAACAGAAGTAATAATTTCGAATACAACTTCTCTTAGAGAGAGTTCAATGAATTATTAAGAAAAACCTTCAAGTTGCTGTTGATTTTATTTATATCATAATTAATAATGAATGAAACATTGAAATTAGTTTTAGTGGGTTAATTAGGAGCAGGAAAAACAAGTCTCTTGTAATCTCATAGACAATAAGAGTTCCGAGTTCATAATGCACCAACTATAGGAATTGACTTTTAAGGAATTAAGGATGTTGAAATAAATGGTAAACTTTATGACATTTCAATATGGGATACCGCTGGTTAAGAAAGGTATAGATCCATGACAAGGATGTCCTTGTAAGTATAAATTTGAATGAATGTAACTAGAATACTAATGTAGCAATTCTTTGTTTTGATTTGAGTAATCCTGATTCATTTAGACACATTTAAGGTTGGATAGATTTTCTTTAGATTAATTGTTAATCTGATATAGGAATTATTATTGTTGGAACTAAAAATGATTTACCAACTTTTTATAATAAGGAAGATCTATAAAAATTTCTCTAGACTCTAAATTCATTATCTTAATTGAAATTATTTCTTACTTCTGCCAAAACTTAAGAAGGTATTGAATAGACTTTTTAATATGCATATGAATTAGGAGCAACAATAAAAATGAAATCTTTATAAATGGATAGATCTATATTGTTCGTTCCACCTGAAAAACTAAATAAATTGAAATGTAAAATATCAAAAAATAATAATTATCATTGTTGTTGATATTAATTCATTGATTTTTATATTTAAATTGAAATTAAAATTCGATTGTAGTGATTAGAAATTATGTTAGAATATTATTAGATCTACTTGAATATTTAAAATATATTGTTTCTTCTTAATTATTAATAGAATTATAATGAATGAAATGATTATTTGAATTAATTAATAAATTTATAAATGACTGATCGAAAAGCTTGGAATTAAAAAGTAATAACAATCAAATAAATCTTTAGGAAGATACAGCTATCTTATAATTAGTAAAGTAGTATGGAATTAAGAAGTGGACCATCGTAGCTGAAAAGATGAAAGAACTCTATGGTTTATTTGGTCGATCAGGTAAATAATGTAGAGAACGTTATCATAATCATCTTGACCCTACAATTAATAAAGAGCCATGGAGTGAAAATGAAGAAAGAGTAATATTTATAGCACACAAAGAACATGGTAATAAATGGGTAAAAAATATTTAAACAATTTATAGGCTGAAATTGCGAAACTGTTACCAGGAAGAACTGATAATGCAATAAAAAATCATTTTTATTCAACTTTAAGAAGAAGTTTAAGAAGAATAAACAAACTTATTGGAGATAAGAACAGTAAATCATATAGATCTATATATAGTAAAGAAAAGGGTACTCAACAGATCAAGGATATTAAACCTGGAGTATTATCTAAAATATTTATTCTGGCTGAGAAAAGTCCATCAGAATTAAAAGATGATCATATGAAAAAGCTTTGTTAAGCTTGTAAAGGACTTTAGGATTCTATTTTAGAATTTGCTTAATCTAAGCAAAAATCTTAAATCAATTAATTTAATGAGGATAAATTTAAATAATTGATAGATAAGATTATGGACTTCAAGTATATATTATTATTAATACAATAGTTCTTTATACACTAAACAAAGAGAAAGTAGATTGAAATTAAAAAAGAAGAATCATAAAAAAAGAAAGAGTAGAATAGATGATGATGATGATGATGATGATGATTATACAAGTGATTATAAATATGAAGTAATAAGCAATAAGTTCCCCTTAAAGAGATCTTCAAGATTAAATGCTAAAAAGAGAGTGGTATTATATAGTAATTTATCTAAAAGCACATAGATAAAGAAGATTATATTGATATATGTATAAGAACCAAAAAAGGACCATTATATAACATATTAAGAGATGAATTGATAGTATAACATGATGAAAAAGAAGTAGTTAAATTATATTAAATAAATTTAGGAATAATGTTCAAATTATTAGTAGTAATGTGCTTATGAATTTTAAGGAACCAATAGTCCAAATAATCATTAATTTACTCCAGCTTTTAATGTTTTAACTCCTAGATAGATATTCTTTTAAAAACATACAAATCAATATTAAGAAGATGGAATATAGAATAATGATGATGCTATGTTAAGTAAATCTAATTTGGTTCCAATCTTGATCACTAAATAATATACTTAATGCAAAGATAAACTACTTGATAATTTAGCTTAACAACTCTAATAAAAAATAAGTAATATTAATTATATTGATGTTTAGATGCAAATGCTGAAAAGTATATTTATAATCACCAGAATAATCAGGATTCTGATTTAGAGATAAATATTGGTGATGCTTTCGAAATTCCTAAAGACTATAAATCACCATCAAGTAAATTCGGAATCAGTGGATATAGTCCAAGTGTATTCAGAAAGTATAAGAAAAACTAAGAATCAGGTTTAGTTAACTTTATGATAACACCTCAACATTATAAATGAAATTAATTACGATATTTTTAAAAGATTATTTATTTCTTCTTTATAGAGTATTATATAAAAATGGAGGATTAGGATTAAATGTTATTAAAGAGTTTGTAATTTCAAGGAATATAGATTACAGCATCATCTCTCCCTTAAGTAAGAGTTATTGATATATTTTATAGTTTACATGTGATGATTTGATATCTATTTTATTATAATTTTTTTAATTGAGTGGAACTTAAGCACTTGAAATCAGCTCAATTAAATCAATTAAAAGTACATTTAGAAAAGCCGGTAAAATTTAAGAAATGCTTTATCCTATTGGAATTAGAATTGATATTCAATCAATTGTCAATCCTAATCCATAAGAATCAAGAAAGATTATTGTAAGTTTGCTTTCCAAATTGAGTTAATAAAATAAAAAAGAAACTGGAGCCAAAAATCTAACATTTGAAGAAAGATTACAAGAAGAGAAAGTTAATTATAGAACAAATCAAATATAGAATTTTTTTTAAGAATGGGTTAATCCATCATTGTGTGCTTTTCCAGAAATTGGATAAAGATTTTTAAGATTGCATGTTCTTAATATTATAAATAAAGAACCTTTAATAAAGTAAGTAGCTAATAAAGGAGTAAGAAAATATTTATATTAATCAATTGTTCGAGTGATGGATCATCATATATAAAAGAAAGAGGTAGATTAACCACTCTAAGAAAGATTATAATTAATTAAGAAAATGAGAAGATCTGATGATCCTGAAGCTGTTTTAGGATAATTTAAGGGTTAATTCTAAGCTGAATCAGAAAAGAATGATTGGGAGGACATTTAAAAGGGAAATAGATAATTAAAAAGAGCAATTAAGTTATTAAAAGAAGAAGATAAAGAAGAAGAATAAGCAAGAAAATAAAAAGAGGAAGAAAATCAGGGCTTATTTAATCTGGAAATATAATTCTAAGAAGAAGTAAAAGAGATTTAATAAGAAATTTAAGTTACTTAAGATGCTAAATCAGAGATTACTACATTACTTGATGATATCTAAGCTAAATTGGTTGAACAATAAAAAATTTATGATAAATTATAAAAAAAAAAATTAAAATTAGAAGATGTCAATTAGAAATAGTAAGATGTTTATTCTTAAATTCAATAAGATAATAAAGAAAAGTAATAAGAATTAGAAAATACTCATTCTATTTTATAATAAATTGAGTCTAAAAAAGGTAATGATCCAGAAATTTAATAACTTGAATAAGAAATTGAAAATATTAAGATAGAATGGGAAAAAGAAAAAATAATATAACAAAATGAGGCAGATGAATTGGCACAATAAGTTTAAGATAGAAGATTAAAACTTGAGTAGATATAAGATAAAATGAGAAGGTTATAAGAAGAAAACTAAATGATCAGAAATTAGGGAAGAGTTAATTTAGAATATAAGGAAAAATTATTAGTTGAATTACAAAATTAGCCGAAAGAAATTGCAAGAAATCAATATATCAAAAAAATTGTGGATTTGAAAAGTCAATTAGAAAAATAAAAAGCAGAATATTTAAAATAAGCCAAAGAGCTATCTTAATTAGAAGATTCACTATAATTTTAAGATAATATGATAAATAGATATTGTGTTGAAATAGAGAATCTTATTAATTAAGATCCAAAGAGAACTGAAACAGTTGTTAAATAAATCTAAAAACAATATTAAGATTATAAAATTATCTATAAATAATGTGCTGAAACTATGCGTAATATTGGAGAAAAGAGAATTCAAATATATGATACTGAGTTAAAAATGGAAGATATTTTACTTAAGGGATACAAAAAGAATGTTGAAAAATTAAGATAAGATTTAACAGACATTTAAGCTGAAAATAAAAATCTAGAAAAATAGAGAAGATGATTATTTATTTATTAATTATAGAACATTATTAAATTTTATATTAAATGACTGAAAAATATTGGTAAAGATATAAAGAAACTCATGATAAAGATCCTCTCAATACAAATGAATTATGGGTTAGAGTCAAATAAGATTTAAAAAGAAGAGAAAAGCCTAAACATCATCTTGAATTATATTCCTATTGTAGAACTGAGAATCCTTATATTAAATAAATAAAAAGCTCCCCAAATATTACGATGGATACTGTTGCAGAACTAATTTGTAGATAATCAGCATGTGAATTATAATATTGTATGAGTTTACAAAAATTGGCAGTGGAAAATAGCAGATCTAAAATAGAGTAACAGTAAAATATAATCAAATAGTTTATAGGGATGTCGTGATTAATACAAAACAATGACTACTTGCATTAAGAATGAGAAAAACAGAATTAAATAAAAAGAAGAAGAATTAAGAAATCTTGTATTAGGTTTAGAATAACCAGAAATTAAATAAGAAATCTAAAAATAGCCTATTCTTAAAGAAGAACCTGTTATGTGATTTATAATTATTAAATTTATTTTATTATATATAATAAAATATTTTTAGCCATTTACCTTCAATTTTTTGATTAATTAAATTTTAATACTAAATTAGAATCAAAAATTTAACTGCTATTACTATAATGGCAAACAATATAAAATAGTTACTACGTCCCTTTAAAAAGTATTTATTTACTTTTGCTTTTAAAATTTAATAAAAAACGAGAAATCTTAATAATAAATATATAAATACTAATTCAACTTTTATTCTACTCAATTAGGATCAATAATTTAATATTTTAAATGTTTTTGATTTGAAACTAATTAAGATATTGAATTATTCTCTATTTGAATTGTAAAAAAGTTATAATAGATGAACTAACATTATAATATTAAATATTATGATAGAATGTTTAATATTTGCTCATATTATTTTTTCATTTTATGCCTACTTTCTTTCTTTTTCTTTTTCCATCAGTTCTTATTTGTCTTAAATAATTCTCTTCATTGGACCTTCTACAAAATCTTATAATTATTGTATTGACATCTTAAATTTTTGATAAATGATTACTTTATCTAATGTTGAATGTTCATTTATATAACTTTCAAAACCTTTAAAATATAATTCAAATCCATCATTAGAAAGTGTATCTCTTAAAACTTAACATGATTATTGATTATTAAGACTACCTACATTATTAGTATCTCTTTTAAGAAAATATCTCTTAACAATAGATTTACAAATTTCTACTCCTTAGTCTAACTATAAGTAATTAAACCATTCCTAAAATGATTTTTAATTAAATTACTTTTAAGGAAATGCTTCCACTTTTATCTTTATCTAATTATCCAAATCTTTTTCTGACATCTTTAATAATGATTCCTTCAAATCCATAAATTAAATAGGGCAATTCTCTAACAGATATAGTTCCATCATTATTGATATCAGTGGCCTTAAAAGCAGACCATGCATAATTAATTTCATCTTTAACTCTATCTGAAACCAGCTTTTTTCTTTGTATAAGTTGACTATAACTTTCTTCAGCATTTTAAATGTAATCCTAAATCCATTCATCTTAATTATGCTTGAATAAATTTTTAGAATTGAAAATATCTTAAGTTCTTCTTTTTGCATTTTAAAAAGTCTATGTTTAAGCATATTTTAATAAAAAATCTTAAAGTTGATAATTATTGTCTAACCATGAATATAATTCTTCATAAGAAATAGTTCGATCTAGATTTTTATCCATTTCTGTAAATATTGCTTCAACATAGTACTCTATATCAGTAAAACCAGGAGGTTTCATATTTACAATTTTACACAGAGATCTAATTGCAGTTTAAAAAATCATGATAAGTTCAATCTTTTCAAGCTTTTGAGACTTATCCAAATCAAATACTTAACTTATATATTTAACTTTAGTTGCAAAATCTGTATCAGAAAAAATTATCTAATTCTAATTAAAAAATATACTAAAACTGCTTGACTCTCATAAATATCAGTTAAACCGTCCGTACTATGATTGTTTTCAATAGTCTCAAACATTTCACCGCAATGTTATTTTAGAATGGCATGATAAACATCAAAAAATTCACCTAAAGATAAAACATTTGTTGCAGGATAGTTTTATTGTACATATTTGGCAACTTTTTGTATCTCAGGTAAATGAAGTTATCTTAGAAATTGTAATAATCCTTAATTTGGATTTGCTGGTTGATTAAAGTAATTACCCATTTTAATTATTAAAATAAATACTTTTAAGCTAATTATTAATGTTTCAATATTAACATGATTTAACAATAGTAGCTAATAACCTAATTATAAAAATATCTATATTCAATAATTGCTATATCTATTATAGTAATTAATTTAAATGTAGTTCTTGAATTTAGATAAATATCTATCCAATAATGAAAGAAATATGAATGTTAAGTGTAATAAGACTAAATTATTTAGTTAATACTTCATAAAATTTAATTAAAATAGAACTGGAGAGAATGAATGAAAAAGAATTTTTGAAATATTTAAATATCAATATTTAAATCCTTATCGTATGATTATTCAAATTATAAATTTTAATTTGATGTCATCGCTATATCATTATGTTAACATAAAATCATTGAAATTAATGAATACTTTATTTAAATAGAATAAATAAAACAAAAAATATTCAAAAGAAAAACCGAACATATCTATTAATTAAAATTTTGTCTATGTAATTCTTAACTAAATTCTTGAAATTTAAGAAGAAGAAAAATCACTTGATATGTAAAGAAAAAGTATTTCACAATGATGTTAGCCATTAATATAGAGGAATAAAAATAGCATAGCTCAATATTGATAAATAAATTCATAGAGATAAAACAGATAGAATTCAGAATAAATATAATTTTCAACTCATATTTATAATCATAATGGACTTCCATTAAATTTTTTAGGAGAGTAAATTTATGTTACTCCTTTATAAATTTTGTTTTAGGTTTTTAATTGTTAATCCATTTAACTCATTTAATAAAATAATGATCAATTAAATTAATTAATAGCTAGAAAGGCTATTTTGGGAAGTGGAATATATGGGTAATTATTTAAGTTGAGATAATAGTAAAGTATACAAAATGTAAAGCAAATATGATAAATAATATTATGCCGTAAAATGCATAAAAAAACAAAACGAAAAAGAGGGAGTATAAAATTTTATAATATTTATTAGTTTCCAACAACTTCATTAAGAGAAATAAAATTTTTGACAACACTAGATTAAGAAAATGTAATAAAAATAAAGTAAATTTATACTTGAGTAAAAAAAAATAAAAACAAAATTAAGACTATAAAAACATATTGTGCAATGGATAATGGATTTAATGGCAAATGATTTTTGGAAATTGTTATTAAAAAATGAAGAATAAAAATATTATTTTAATACGAATTAAATTCGTTGCATTCTTTATTAATGTTTTAAAGGACTTTAATACATACATTCATAAAATATAATTCATAGAGATATAAAAAGTGCCAATATTTTGGTAAATGAAATAGGAGTAGTCAAAATAGCTGATTTTGGTTTAGCAAAGTTTTGTCCAAAAAAAGAGGGAGTAAAGAAAACTCCAACAGTTGTTACATTAGGTTATAGAGCACCAGAAGTNTCATAAAATTTAATTAAAATAGAACTGGAGAGAATGAATGAAAAAGAATTTTTGAAATATTTAAATATCAATATTTAAATCCTTATCGTATGATTATTCAAATTATAAATTTTAATTTGATGTCATCGCTATATCATTATGTTAACATAAAATCATTGAAATTAATGAATACTTTATTTAAATAGAATAAATAAAACAAAAAATATTCAAAAGAAAAACCGAACATATCTATTAATTAAAATTTTGTCTATGTAATTCTTAACTAAATTCTTGAAATTTAAGAAGAAGAAAAATCACTTGATATGTAAAGAAAAAGTATTTCACAATGATGTTAGCCATTAATATAGAGGAATAAAAATAGCATAGCTCAATATTGATAAATAAATTCATAGAGATAAAACAGATAGAATTCAGAATAAATATAATTTTCAACTCATATTTATAATCATAATGGACTTCCATTAAATTTTTTAGGAGAGTAAATTTATGTTACTCCTTTATAAATTTTGTTTTAGGTTTTTAATTGTTAATCCATTTAACTCATTTAATAAAATAATGATCAATTAAATTAATTAATAGCTAGAAAGGCTATTTTGGGAAGTGGAATATATGGGTAATTATTTAAGTTGAGATAATAGTAAAGTATACAAAATGTAAAGCAAATATGATAAATAATATTATGCCGTAAAATGCATAAAAAAACAAAACGAAAAAGAGGGAGTATAAAATTTTATAATATTTATTAGTTTCCAACAACTTCATTAAGAGAAATAAAATTTTTGACAACACTAGATTAAGAAAATGTAATAAAAATAAAGTAAATTTATACTTGAGTAAAAAAAAATAAAAACAAAATTAAGACTATAAAAACATATTGTGCAATGGATAATGGATTTAATGGCAAATGATTTTTGGAAATTGTTATTAAAAAATGAAGAATAAAAATATTATTTTAATACGAATTAAATTCGTTGCATTCTTTATTAATGTTTTAAAGGACTTTAATACATACATTCATAAAATATAATTCATAGAGATATAAAAAGTGCCAATATTTTGGTAAATGAAATAGGAGTAGTCAAAATAGCTGATTTTGGTTTAGCAAAGTTTTGTCCAAAAAAAGAGGGAGTAAAGAAAACTCCAACAGTTGTTACATTAGGTTATAGAGCACCAGAAGTTTTATTAACAAGAGGATAATATAACTTTTAAATAGATGTTTGGAGTATGGGTTGTTTTGCAGTAGAATTAAATTTTAATAGACCATTATTTAAAGCTAAAGATGAAGCTTAGCAAATATAATAAATTTTTGAAAAATGTGGAACACCTACAGCAGAAACATGGCCAGAAATAATGAAATCTGATTATTTTATAAAGTTAAACCCTTAGAGATATGATAGAAAGTTTATATCATCAATAAGAAATATGAAAAATTAATTTGATGATGAATTATTAGATTTGTTAGATAAGATATTTGTATTGAATCCCAATGTTCGTTTGACAGTTGAATAAGTATTATAACATCCATTCTTTACAAACCATTATTTAAATTTGTGTTTTGAATAATTTAAAGAATATTTAATAAAACGAAATGTAAATTTAGAAAAAGTATTTACTTTTGTGTAGAAACCTGTACAAAAAGATTTAGAAATTTATTATTTGATAACTTTATATGCTATTATATATTATGATCAAATCAATATAAATTATTTACTCCAAGGTTTATCATAAGGTATTTCTGACTTTGATGTAAATTGATTTCTTATGCTTATGCATTCTATTCAAAGTATTTCCTGGCTTCTTTATATATATAATAATCTTCTGAATATGTTTTCTATATCAATTAATAATAAATAAGAAAGTAATTACTCTATGAAAATTGATTTAAATTATTTTTTTAAACAATTTCTAAATAGTAATAAAATGGATTCTCAAGACTATTGAAATCTAAAATAACAATGATTCAGAGAGTCTCAAGATTAATGAATAAAACTTTTTTGATTTAAGTGAAAAAAATTATTATTTTAATCTTATAATTTATTTTAAATTCTTATTAAATTTGAATTTCTTTATCTTTTAATATAAAAGTTGTCTAATTTAAAATATCTTCCTTGAAATAAATTTGAAATAATTTTATGAATATTGGTAAAGCCTAAAATATTTTTTTCTTATTTAAATATCATTTTGATAAGCCAAAAAAAATAAAATGAATTTAATAAAGAATCAAATTTAGTTATTAAATTGAACTTAAAGGTAAAGTGGAAGTAAGCAATTTTAAGTTCTTGCTTATAAATTATTAGAATAAATGTGAATATTAAACATTAAATCATAATTAATCAATAAAAATTAAAGAAACTAGTAAATCGAATTAATTTATTTTAATTTAAAATATGATATTTTAAGATATGTAATATAAAAATAATTATATTTTTTGGTTTGAAAAAGTCTCTATTTTTAATGATAAGGGAGTTTAGTTAGAATTATCGTATAAATAAAATTAAATAATTAAATGCTTCCAAAAATATAAGGATAAGCTGTTGGAAGAAAAGAGAATTTGGCTTCATAATAGATTGTAGAAGATCATCTAAAGAACATATTGAAAAAACAAGAAAACTAAGTAAGACAGTTGTTGAATTTTATACAGAATTATAAAGCATGGAAAACCCCATATGCTCCAAAGAATCCTCATACACCATTTGGAGATTTTCCAAAAGAATATATGCCAAAAGAAAAGGCAAATAAATAAAAAGTAATTGAACCTGTTCATGAGACTTCTTAAAATGCTTTAATAACAAGTAAAAGAGTTGTTTGAGATTTATTAGATAAATATTAAGGGACTCATTAAGGAACAGGAGGAAGAACAAGTTCATAATTATAGAAGAAAGAAGAATATAGACCTGCACCACCAAAAGCAGGAGCATTTGATTAAAGAACAATATCAGTTTCAGATTTTAGGAGATATTATGATCGAGGAGATTTACCTATAAAAGTTTTGAATATAGAAATATATTTAGGTTGATCATTAAGGCAGTGTAAATAGAATTATATGGAAAATATCTCCAGAATAATTAGATTATCATCATTATTTACCAATATTTTTTGATGGATTAAGAGTATATGATAATTTTAAAATAAGGAAAAAATGGATCCTTATAGATTCTTAGCTATATTGGGAACATATGGATTACTTGAGAGTGGAGGTAATAAAATATTACCAGTTATTCCTTAATTGATTATTCCAATAAAAAGTATTATTGACAATAATAAAAATAGCAAATTTAAATACTAGAGATCCAAGCATAATAGAAGTTTAATTGAAAGTTCTTCAAAAATTAGTTTTAAGTGGAGAAATGGTTGGAGAAGCATTAGGTAATTAAATAAATCTATTTCATAGTACCATATTATAGATAATTATTGCCTATCATGAATTTATATAAAAATAAAAATTCAAATTTAGGTGATTTTATAGAGTACAATTAAAGAAAAAGAGTGAATATTGGTGATTTAATATAAGAAACATTAGAATTATTTGAACAAACAGGAGGAGAAGTAAAAATTAAATAATAATAATTAGGATGCTTACATAAATATTAAATACATGATTCCAACCTATGAGAGTTGCATTTTAAATTGATAAAGAATAATAATATATATATCTATTGATTATTAAATAAGTAATTCTCATTTTTGTTATTTTTTGGTCTAAAATCAAGCACAAAAACTAACATTTAATATATACTATAAATATTAACGTTATAATTTGTCGATAAAAACAATTATAAAATAAATAAATAAGTGAATTTTATTAATCATTCAATATTTTAATTTTGTTTATCATTCAATATTTTACTAATGATTTAAAAGAAGGAAAATATTTAAGCAAAAGAAGCAAGAAGAAAATTTATTAATAATAAAAAAGAGACAGAAATTGATTCAATTTCATATATTAAGCAAAGATATATTTTTAATCAAATTTCAATTATCTTCCAAAGACATTAATTTTCATTCGGTTTACCAGAATCTATTTTTAATAATGAAAGCTTTGACTAACTTTCAACATTAGATTAGTTTACATTACTTTGTAAATAGTACCCAGTGTTTTAATGTTTAATTTCTAGACAGGTTATGAATTTTAAATTTATTTACTTATATTGTCACCTATTTTTTCAATATACCAATAATCCCCTTCATCACTTCCTCCTACTTCAATCTATCCATTACTACTTCTTTATTGAGCTTTTAAATAACATTTTGTTAATGGATGATATAACTAAAAGTTAAAATCAATATTTAAATACTTTAACTACATTTTCATCAATATTTTCAAATACCCAATTATCATATTCATTATGGCATTCTTAACAACATAAAACTTCATTCAATCGAGAATTTTGATATCTTATTCGATGAGAATGAAGAAATCTCTCAGTACTTATATTCATTAATTAAATTGTGTTATTATTAATACAACTTTCCCTCAGGTTTTAATTAGATGTACATTAAGTAAAATGACTAATCTTATGACTACTTTCTTCTATTTTTTAATCTTCATTCTCATAACCCAATTCTTCTTTGATGATCAATCTACTTACATTAGGAACTAATAGAGATTGCTATTAGTTCAATAAATATTTGCTGATTAAGTTTTCTTTTATGCATATACCTTTTCTTGGCTCATAGTATATCGATGATTGATCAAAGTACATTTTATTTTATTCTTTCTAACATAAATTGCCCATCAATTTTTACTTTATTTAATTAATAGTCTTTTCTTAAATATCTAGATCATAAAAATTAATCTAAGAATAATGTAATTGATTCCATGAAATTATTTTCCATTTATCTTATTATTTACTGTTTAAATAACTCTTAAAAGGTGAAATTAAATTTACAAAAACAACTTACCAGAATGATTAATGGCTTTTTTAAAGTAAAAACATTATTAGATTTAATTTATAATATAAGGAAATTCAATTCATAATTGTTTCAAATTTCCTAATATAATTTTCTTTTTATAAAGGAAAATAAATTATTAAAATAAAAAATATAAGAAAAATGATTATTTAAAAATAATGACAATCAAAATGAATCAGAATTTATTTAATAAACATTTTAAAATATTAGATTTACATTACTATCAAAAAAAAAATTGTTATTTAATATCATTTAATCCTTCACTAATAACATTTAATTATTATCTTAATGATTTATATTGAGGATCAATTTATAATATCTCCTTATAAGATTTTATTAGTATAAAAATATCATCGCCTTATTTTTTTATCTAAAAATAAAAAATAAAGGATTAAATACATGATTTTAAACTTCATTTATATTTTCTTCTATATTTTTTTATTATTTCTAAAAATAGTTGATTTAATTCTCAAGAAAATTAAATCTATCATTTAATATAAGATCTAATTATTATGGAAAGGTTTCAAAGTATTTTTCAATTGTTTATTGTTAATAACCTTTTGAAACCTTCTCAATTAATTCTTCTTGAAGAGGTATTAAAACTTATGCTATTCGATTAATTAGTTATTCTAAAGCAATAAGCTTATTTTCAAATTCATTAAATTTTTTGAAGTAAATAAAAATTCTATCTAGATCATCTTGTTTAATTTATATGTCTCTTAATACTGACTATAATTCAGTAAAAAATAAATCTAAAACTTCATAAGTAACAAACGATTTTGGGTTCAAAGATTTTAATTTAGTAACTATTTCTTAATTTAATTACGATTATCCACTAGATATATCAACTCTCAGACTTTTGCTTCTTGACTAATTCATTGTCTGTATTTTAATAATAAAAAATTTTATTATCTTAAATTTTTAATTAGTTCAATTAATCTAGTTAAATTTTAGTATTAGTTTTTATGTATTTATATTGCCTAATTATAAAAATTAAAAGAGATATCTGAATAAAAATCATAAATCTATACATAATTTTAACATTTTATATTAATTATATTTTCTAACATAAAAATTTAAAATAATGTACTAATTGTTAAATATTATAATACATTTGAGATTAAAAAGATCTTTTTAGTAATGAATACAAATTTATGAATTCTAATCTAAAATTTTTTTTAGTTCCCTTTTATTAGATTTAGAATATAAAATATTAAATTTTGAATGGGTACAAGTTGTTCCACTGAAAAATTTAAGATTTCCCCAACTGCTTCTACTTGTGAACTCTTAAGTTGTGATCATCCTCTCATTTTAGTGGCTCATCAATACAATTAAAATATAAATTTAATAGGAGAGTTAGAAGCTGCACCAACTATTGTAGAATAATATTGCAAAAAACTTAAAGATTTAAGTTAAGTACTTGAACCTGCATTAGAAAGATTAGAGAATGAAGAACAGAATTTTCTTAAGATCTGGAATTTGATTTCTTCTATATTAAAGAATGTTTCTTCTTTGATAAAAGTGGCTTTGTAGGACCCTGTATTTATTGAATATCTTCCAATTATCTCTTATAACCTTTAAGAGTAGTAAAAAGATTTAGAGATGCTAATTAATTAGAAGAAAGGATAATAGTAGATCAAAAGAGCTTAATCACATATTATATAGAGCAAAGTTATTAGAATTAACAAAAGACATTAAACTGATAAGATTTGAATATTACATAATCATTATATCCTCAATTATCATTATTATTATGATTATTTTTGATTTACCTAATTTTTTTTTGGTTGATAAAATCTCAAAGCACCAGAATTAATTGAATATCTTAAAAATGTTGGTGGTGGTCCGTCTTTTGATATTTATCCAATATAAGATTAACAATTCATACACTAAATAGCTGAGTACCTCTTTATTGTTATAAAATTACATATTTTTCTTTTGTTTCAATAATTTTCACACTATTTTTGTAATGCTAATAAAATGATGCATAACCTGTTTATGCTTAATATTTGGTATCACTTTCAAATAAAGAATTTTAGCAATGAAAACATTAGTATACCCCTTATTTATTTTGCTTGCATTAATAATAAATTTTACATCCCAAAATTCTCCTGTAAAAGGTCTTTCCATTCCTTTTCCTATAGCAATCCAATAATGATGAGGATCCATGGATAATCTATCTAGTCTTATTTCAACTTTTTTATTGGGTTTGATTAAGTTCTTATTTATTGCTTCAAGAATTTTTGAGTATTAAAACTTGATTTTCATTGTTTTTAATTTTACGCATATAAATAATATAATTGCCAAATCAAATTATTAAACATTAATCAAATAAATTAAAAACATTAAAAATTCAATAATATTAAAACTATGAAAATTTATTCTCTACCTACTCTTATTGAGTAAAAATTTTAATAATTTCTTATTTTTCTTTAAAATGATTTAATTTTTTTTCCCCAATCTTTCATAATAATTTACTTTCTAAATAAATTTCTTTATTTTCTATTGCTTCTCCTTTTTTATACTTTTTATTCGGATCTAGTAATTTTTTTCCCCATTCCGTTGAATCTCTTTCTTTTAATTTAATACTTAAATTAGTAGCTTCGTCATCAGTACCAGTTTAACTTGAATCTATATAATTTTCATGTATTTTATAATCCAATTATTAAGTCTTGAGTTTCCATAAATATGGTAATAAGCAAGTATATAGTGATTTTGTGATGGTTTGAATATTTTTTTTCTAAATACAAAATGACATCTAAAATTAAAGTATCATCTTTTGCTCTCATTGATTTTGAAGTATTTTCATTAGTATTGAGATTTTTCAAGACCATCAATTTACACGTTGGGCTTACACTTCTCTATAACTTATTATGATTTAGTTTCTTCTATTATTCTTCGTACATACGTCCATTATATTAATTAATTTTATCAAGAATTTAATGATTATTTTTATTTTAAATTTATAATCACTGAATATATATAATTTAATAATAGTTTATTAAGATTTAATAATCTAAATGACATTTTAATGTAATAAATATAAAGGCATATTCGATATATTAAAATAATTTATGAAACATTAATCATTATTGATTACAATTTTAAGCCGAAGTAGTAATGAAAATTTTTTGTTTTTTTGCTTTTAACCAATTCAGATAATTTTTGTTGCTAAATAATATTATGTCAAAGAGGGATGAATCCAAAAAAAGATTACCAAACTATAAGGAAGGAACTCAAATAAATCAATTAAAGAGTAATTGTTATCACTTTTTTAATAAATATAATAATTTTAATGTAAAAATAAAAATATAAAGACTCAAGAAGTTCACTATATTTATATCAAATTTGGTAAACATAGAACAAAATTTTCTGTAATGGAAAATTATTTACTGGGTATATAAATGTATTAAATAAATTATAGATCTGAAAATCATAAATTATTAGCTAGTGTTAGTTTTATAACAATTCCTTCAATTCTATTTTATATATTTATGTCACCTGTAAACGATATGAAAATATTAGGAATTTGTGAAAACTGGATAAAATGGATATACAGTTGTATTTGTGTTAATCTAAATAACTATTTATGTTTTTCTTTCAATCACAGTTTGTATGGATCCGGGAATAATTCCAAAAATAGTAATAATTATAGAGATAAAAGAGACCTGAATATGAAATGAATGAGGAACTACTTAATGTACCATAAAAATATTCAAAGATAGATTATAGGTTTATAATGGATTCAAAAATGTTTACAATATAAGCTCACTAATTTAAATTAAAGTATTGTTCAACTTGTATATATATAATACAATTTAGGCGCAATCTATAGACCAGCTAGAGCATCTCATTGCCCTTAATGTGATAATTGTGTTGTTAGATTTGATCATCATTGTCCTTGGATTGGATAATGTATAGGAAGAAGAAACTACATTTATTTTTATTTTTTTATCATGTCGGTCTCTTTTAAGTTGATTTTTGTATTTGGAGTATGCCTCTCTTATATTGTTGAAGAATCTAAAAAAAGATCAACAACTATGGATACATCAGAAGCTATATCACAAACATTATCTAATAATCCTGTAAGTATTATACTTGTAATTTATTCTTTTGGAGTAACTATTTTTATTTTAATTAATAGTTTTCTTGTTTTGTTGTGGGTCTTTGGTTCTTTCATACCTATTTAGTTCTCACTAATATGACAACTAACGAATATTTAAAAAAACATTGGATTGTGGTAAGTAAAAATCCATTCAGAAGGTACTTAATTTAATAATAGATAGATAAAATATTTTCAAAAATATTGTTAATGTACTTACTTGTATAACTTAACTAAAATTTTTAGAATTAAAATAGTGCATATTTGACCCAAAGGAAAATGTACAGGTAAATTAATTTTCTTTATTTATTAAAAGAGTCCTATTAACACTTAAAATCATCTAAATGAAGTAAATGATTCTTCAAAATACAAAGAAGAAGATAAGATTCAGCAACAATAAAATATACAAATTCTAACAGAATTAAAACCCTGATTAATATTATTTATTCAATTCATTAAAATTTTATCTCTATAAATACTTAATATTTCATTATCCAAAATTTTATTAATCTGATGGTTAAATATTTTTTTTTTCAATTAAATCTTAAATTCTTTTTACTTAGTCGCTTGTTTTGATATTATTGAGTTATAATGATATTGATTTCAACAGGATAGCTGGCATTCTAGCTAAGTGATGTTAAAGTGCATTTTCAATCCAATCAAGAGTTCTTAATTTATGTAATAAAAATTCAACTTAAGTAGAATCAAGTCTTTCTGTACATGGACCTGTTTTCATCATTGTTGATATTATAATTTGATCATCTAAAGAAGTTAAAGCTGTACAATAAGCTTCATTGATATTATCTTTCTAAAATTATAAAATAAATTAACTTTTAATTATTCCTCTACTTTTAACATTATTTTTTATTATTCTTAAATTTTTGGATCTTTGACTTAAATTGGTGGAGAATTCTATTCCTTTATTAATTTGCTATCATTTGTTAAAATTGATTAATCTCTATTTCTTAATGGCGATGCTTCAGAAGTAGATTTTTAATTATGTTCTCTTTCTTTACCTTCAGTTTCACTTATTTTTCTTGAATTTAATTCAAAATTTGATTCCCCTAATTTAGATTCTGAATTTTATTCACATTTTTAACAAAAAAAAAAGGAATCTTTAATTTTTGAATTTTGTTATTATTAATCTTATGAAGCCACATCTAATGAATCAGATACAAGTTATTAATTTTACTTAATTTCTTAATGAAGTAAACATGGAATCATTTAATCTTCATATGTGGCAACTAGTTGTACTTTCTATTTCTAATTAAGTAATTATTATTATTATTATTATTATTATTATTATGATTATTGTTATTCTTATTGATTCAATTTTCTATTGATTGTATCATTCATTTTCTCTAATAATAATTCTATTCTATCAATTCTCTAATTAATTTTAGAAAATTCCTGTTTGGTTACTAATTAAGATTCTTAAATTCTATTATTAATTAATTATTCATAATAAACCTATTGTTTAGCTTTAGCAGAATCACACAATTTAATTAAATCTGTTTATTATTATTATTTTTTAGGTGTTGAAGAATTTAAAACTTATTAGGAAGTCTAAATTTCTTAGCTTAAATTGATTTATTTTTTTTTAGAACTGGAACAAGCACTATTAATTTTATAAGGAGACTATATTAATTAAATTTATTCTTAATGAGGTGATACTAATAAGTTATTTTCTGTAAAAATTTATATCTGAGATTATTTTTTTTCATTACTAAATTATTGATAATTTTATTTAGGAAAATAAACCTCACTTTTTAAATGATATTCCTATCTAGGAGCTTGTTATTTTTGTAAATCAAAATCTCTTGGTTTATTTTCAACGATTTAAATGTCATCAGGTTTTTTTTCAAAAAAACTTTTATTTGCATTTTATTTAAATACTGACTTATGTTCTCTAAAAGATGGTTATTAAAATATATGAGACTCTTTCAGTTAAGTAATAGCATTAGTAGCAGCATCTCTTACATGTTTAATTTTATCAAATCTTAATTCATTAATCTTATTTTAATATTAGTCATTAGCTCTAAAATAATGTGGAAAAATAACACTTAATGTATACAATATGTCGACTGCAATTTTACTAATCATAACAAAAATGATACCGTGAATTCCATTCAGATGATTATAAACAATTACAAATTGTATTTAAACAATCTTCCAAATTAGGTTCAAATATTTCCTCAACAGTTAAAATTATACTTAGAAGACTTTCTAATAATCCTTATTATGTTTAACAATGAGGTGATCTTAGATAAATATAATGAGTTTACTTCAAAATCTCTAAGGTTTTTTGAGTGTATTATTTACATACAAGTTCTAATAATTGAGATTCACTAGTTTTAATAATTCTACATAAAGAAGCTGCACTTATTAATTAAGCTACTTTATTATGATGCACAAAATTAGATTACAATAATTCGGTTATTTAAAAGAATAAATCATATTTATTTAGAGAAGTTTGAATAGTAAATTCATTTATATTAGCAAATATATCTGAGATTACCTGTAAGAAAGATGAATCTCCTATAATAAAATATTACATATGTCTATACCTTCTTGAATTCTTTTATTAATAATTTGAACAATTCTTGGTATTTATTCTTCAATATCATTGCCTCTTATTTCAGCTAAGAGACCAAATACTTTTATATAATCCTTCTTTGCTTATTTAGATAAATCATTGGAATCAAGTAGATTAGTTAAAATGACAAATTAATTTAATGACAATTAGGCAATCAATGATCTCAATTCACTAAATCCAGTCTATGCTGTACTTTGAGAACTAAAGTAGTAGTTTACAATTATACTGTAGTTTTGCTAATGAAGCCAAGAGTATAGTTCTTAATTATTAATTAGAATCATAGGAACTTTATTGTCTTCTTGATTTATTTAAAGCACTACTATTCATTTTAAATTTATTTATAATATAACTGCTCAATAATAAAAAAGCTTTCATAAAATGTATTTTGTTGTAATCAATTTTACGAAGTCTTCATACCTTATTTCCAAATCTTTATCTGGATTTGCTTCTTTAATTAATTAATTTGCTTCTTCTTCAGTTAATCTTTCCCCCATAGACTTTACCATATGTCTTAATTCATTAGCATTTATTGTTCCTTTATTAGACTTATCTAATATTCTAAATGCATCCATTAATTCTTCTTCTGGATCTACATCTCTATGTTTTCTTGCCATTAAACTAAGAAATTCAGGAAAATCAACCATTCCTGTAGAATCAGGATCTACATCATTTTTCATTTCACTTAATTCAGCCTCTGTTGGATTTTAATTCAATGATCTAATTAATAATCCCAAATCATCAACCTTTATAACTAAAATTATATTGATTTACTTTTATTTTATTATCACCATCTTTATCAAAGAGAGAGAATGCTTCTTTATAATTTGCAATTTAATCTTCTGTTAATTATTGGTCCATTAATTTAAATAATATAATGCTTAAATCGTGGGATTCATTTATGACAGCAGCTTTAGATTTGATTATGGAATCACCTTAAGCTAGAGCCAAAGTTAAATACTACAAAATCAAGTAAATAGCTCTACTCACAGTCACAGATGATAAAAAGCATTGCATCTTTAAATCAAGAAACGTGGATGAGATTGAACAATTTATTAAATTGACAAGCAAACTTATGTTGAATGTAGATCCAAATGAAGTTAAAGAAGATCCTCAAGAACAAAAAACAGATAAAAAATAAGGCAAGAAAAAAGGAAAAGGAAACAAAAAATGAGCTTTATATATCTATATAATTTTATTTTATATTTTCTTCTTAATTCATCTTAAAAACTATAAAATAGAATTAGATTTTAATCTATTCAATTGCTAATACTATGAAGGAAGTAGTGTTTTTAATTTTAATGTATTTATCAACTAATAAACTTGTTTTATAATTAGGAAATTTTTTAATTTAAAATTGTTCTATAAATAAATTATTAGTAGGAATTAAAGAATTCCAAAATTCAGAATTTATCAATTCTAGTAATATAAAGCTTTATGAAATATTCTTAAAGCCATAAATAAATTTAGTTGAATGACAGATAAACTTTAGTCAATAGGTAATATCATTTAAGATAATTGTAGTGAACAGAGAAGAACAACTTGTAAATACAGATAATAGAGCTGAATTTTCACTCGGTAAATTTACACCAATTGAACTAGCTTGGGATAAACTTATTATAAATGCTACAATAAAAGTGGGAAAGGTAGCGTTAATATATTAATATAGAATACAACAGAAAAATGTTTACTTAATAATCTTAAAGGAGTAATGAAACCTGCACATTTTACTGCAATTTTAGGTCCATCTGGATCAGGAAAAACTACATTACTAAACTTTTTATCAGGACGTTTAATATCTGATAATTTAAAAATATCAGGAGAACTATCATTAAATGGGAAAAGAATAGATGATATTGATAAATTTAATGATTAAATGGCTTATGTTATGTAAGATGATATCTTATTAGCCACATTTTCACCAAGAGGTATTAAATAGAGAAATTATAATAGAGGCATTTTATTTTTCAGCTAATATGAGATTGACAATCAGTCCAGAAGAAAAAGCTTAAAGAGTTGAATCTTTAATAAGAGAATTAGGAATAACAAAATGTGCAGATACTAGAGTAGGAAATACATAAATTAGAGGTGTATCAGGAGGTGAAAGAAAGAGGGCAAGTATAGGAGTGGAATTATTAACAAATCCAAGTCTTATATTTTTAGATGAACCAACTACTGGTTTGGATTCATCTACTGCATTATAAGTAATAGATCTATTGAAGAGATTGGCAAAAAATGGTCGAACTATTGTTAGTACTATACATTAACCATCATCTGAAATTTTTAATAATTTTGATAGACTAATGTTATTAGTTAGAGGAAATATTATATATTAAGGAGATGCAGAATAAGCTATTAATTATTTTGCTAATATGGGTTATTCATGTCCTAACTTTTCAAATCCTTCTGATTATTTTATGAAGTTAATGAATGAAGAAGGACTTTTAGTAGAAAAAATATAAGCAGGAGAATCTGAAGATTTTGATGAAGCTCAAATTAAATAAGAATTTGAATAAAGATTAGAAGGATTTATTAATAATTACAAAAATTCTAATATGATTAAAGATTTAGAAACCAATGAAACTGCGTTAATTAAAGAAAATGATCTAGGATTTCATATTGGATTTATTTAATAATTTGTACTTATTTATTAAAGATCATTTTTAAATGAAATTAGAAATCCTATGGATGTTAAATTGAAAATATTTTAATCTATTGTAAATGCTATTATGTTAATGCTTGTTTATTCAGATGTAAATTTATATTCTATATTATTAGTTAGGTAAATATAACGAAGGATTATAAAATAGATTTGGAGCTTTATTTTTTATTTGTACAGCAAATGCATTTGGAGGAATTTAAGGTGCTTTACACACCTTTTCTATGGAAAGACCTTTATTTTTAAGAGAAAGAATTAATAAAACTTACAGTGTTCATTCTTTCTTTTGGGCTAGATCATTAGCTGAATTTCCATTTTAAATAATATATCCTTCTCTTTGTGTTATTATTGTTTATTATGTTATTGGATTGAGTGATGAAAATGTAGGTAAATTCTTTATGCTCATTTTCGTTTAATTCTTAACTTATCAATATGCTGTATCATATGGATTACTTTTATCAACTGTTATTCCTAAAATTGAAGTAGCAACTGCATTAGTTCCAGCCTTAGTTATTCCATTCATGATTTTAGGAGGATTCTTTGTCAATTAAGATAATATTCCTTATATATTCTATCCTTTCACTTATTTATCAATGTTTAAATATGGATTTGAAGCAGCTGTCATTGTAATTATTTTCAATTTATTTTTAGAATGAATTTGATGATGTTGATTATGAATGTATGCCAGACTAGTTATGCAATCCAGTTAAGATGTTATCAATTAATTTGACTAAATGGGAATGCTGTTATATTTTAATAGGATTAGCTGTAGGAATCAGAATGTTAGCCTATTTAGCACTTCATTTAATATCCAGTCCAGAAAAACCAAAATTATAATCACCTGAAAACATGCAAATAAATAACAAATCTAAATGACTTTTTGTTTATTATTATATTATTAATTCTAAGATAATTAAAAAAAATATATTTACAAAAATTAATAGTATTTTTCCTAATTTTTAAGGTTAACTTTATTAGAACCTCAAATACTATATAATACCTCAATAAAATAATATAATTGATACTCAAAGAAAAATCTCTAGAAAATTTTGTCGATGCAGATCTTTAAAGTTAAATTGGCAGGTTTAAATTCTAATTTAAATCTCACACATTTTCATAAGAGAATTTCATTAGGATTTGTAAATTATTAAACAATAAATAAAAAATTAGGTTTAAATATAAAAAACTACCTATTCTATTTTAATTCTTCTAAAAAATAGATATTTTATAACTTACTTAATTTAATAAGAAGCATTGTTTTTAATAAAACTCAGTTTCTAGTTAATTTTTTATATTGTAATGAAAACTTAAAATTACAAATTTTTAATATTTTTATCAAAAAGTAAATTTGAAAAATCTATCATTTTTACATAAAAATTATTGTTTATATCAATTTGAAAATATCAGTCTGAAACATACATAACATACTTTCGAATTATTATTCTTTCTGAATAATTTATTTATAAATTTATAGTTATTATTTTCACGAGAAAAAATATAGTTATTTTTGAAATATAAAAATTACGATTAAGGACTCAAAAATCTCAAGATTAATAGCTTAAATACTTATAAATTATTTAAATTGCTTTATTTTATAATTAAAATTAATTATGTAATCTTCAGTTACTTACTTTGAACTTTAGACTCTTATTTTCTTGATCATTTTCGGAATGATTATGATTTCATTGAAATACTTTCAAGATCCAAAACAAAAAGAATCGAAAGTAATTCTTCTTTAATTAATTGATAGTTAAAGCTTTGGAATCGTATGATCACTAATTATGAAGGTATTTAACTAACCCTGGATGAAGAACAACTTTTAAAATAAACATTTAAGAACACCTTAAGAAATCGCACAGTGGCAATAAGTCCATCAATACCAAGATAAGTAAAATCTACAAAAAGGGTTAGCTTTTAATAATTTGATAATTAACTTTGAGAATCTATCCTTTATTGATTTTCTTAAATTAGAATATTTACAATAATATACATCATTGTTTTTATTATTTTAAAAATTAATAAGTCATAAAATATATTGTCAAGCCTTCATACAGACTATCTCTATAATCAGATTCTAATAATTATTATAAGCTAACTAATTTTATAAAACAACAAAATACATTATCTTCTTTTATTATTTCCATTAGAATTATGTAAAATATTTTTTTATTAATCAAAATTAAGTTGCAATACTTTCACCAAATCATAACTTTTTAACTATAATTCAATAATTTAAAGCTTATAATATTTCTTACTCATGTCATAGAGTTTAAAATTAGATAGCATAAAGAATAAAGTCATCAACTCTATATATTTATATCTACCTTAATAAGAATTATCACTTTTTAAATTAATTTATTTTTCAGATTTTCTTAACTTAACAAGATTTGAAACCTTTTTTCAATGAATACTATTGTAATAAGATAATAATTATCAAATAATAAATTACTGAATAATAAATGAATAGATTAATTTCTTAATAAAAAAAATTAAGAATGTTAAGGGTACTATAACTTATAATATTAATCTAATTAATTCAAAATTGATTAAATAGGTATCATTAAAATGATATATAAATATTAATAATTATAATATTATCAAGTAGTTATTAATCAATATTTATTTTATTGTTTATACTGAAGAAAACCTAAATTATAGATTAGTTTTTACTTATTGCTGGTCGTATAGATAATTTTTAAACATTTGTAATTTTGATTGGTAATTCATCTTTTACTTTTAAAAATTCAGTAAAACTTGCAGTTCTTTATTTTAAACTTTCATTTGATCTTATACTTTCAAGTATTCTGTTAGTCTACTCAGTACTTTATTATATCGATATAGATTATTTTTAAAAGGAAGATGCCTATTATTATGTTAAACTAGATTTTTGTAATAATTATTAGATTGATCTTTAATCATATTGTGATTAATTAGAATAAAGTGATTTTTATTCAAGTTCTTATTCAAAATTTAAGACTTGTTGCTTAACTAAAAAAGAAGTTGGAGATTGTACGCATTCATCTTAACTATTATTTACTTCTTGAAATGTAATCAATTTAGTTTGACATAATGCAATGCTTTCTCTTTGACTACCCATAATGGCAAAATCACTAATATGATTTAAATCATTCATTTAAACAGATTTTTTTGTTTCTATTACAAAACTAGGTTCTCTACTTAATTTTCGTAAACTTTAAAAATTTTACATTAATTAATCATATCTATTAGATTTATTAGAGAAAGCTGAAAGTGGAGGAACTTAATCAATAATTTCTTATTATTTAACTACTTCTTAATCATCATTACTATATCTTTTAGCTGATGAAACCTTTCCTTAACTGTTATCTAATTATACATATTTAACTGTTTCTTTCATAACCTATTATTCACTAAATAGTTCTGGTTCTACATATGTTGGTGATTTTATCAAAGATTCCAATTAAGATGGACCAAATGTTGTTCTACAATCATTTCCTTATACTATTTCGAATTATAGATTAATTGGATTGTGTTCTAAACTGCTTTCAAAAGATACAGTATTCTTTTTATTTTGATTTGTAGATATTTCTATTGGTATAATAGATGATAAATTGCTTATTGTGAATTAAGATTTACCATAAATATCTTCAATACTCTCATTCTATTATTTTCGCATTTAGTTATAAAAACAATTTAAATTAGATTTGCTATTTAAAACTGATATTTATTATTATCTTAAAGCTTCTTATTACTACTTAATAATTTCCAACTGTTATTATAAAATCTAAGACTGTTATTCTAGAAATAATGATTTATTTTAAGAGTTCTCATCATTATTGAATATTTCAGGTTATTTTAAACTTTTTTAACTGGAATAGTCAAAATAAGGCACTTTTATTTATGGTTCCTTATAATCTAATAAATGTTTGATTTTCTCATTCTATTTTTAGAGCATTTCTATAGGTTTTGGATTGTTAGACTAATATCTTTTAGTTACTTCTTATAAATCTCTTAAAATATTTTATTTTAGATTATCTACCATATCGATAATTTAAGGATCTTCAGGCTATTTAAATGCTGATTTATTTTAGCTTTTAGATGTCTGATTTTATTAAATACATCTTAATGGACTAACAGACCCTCTTCCTCTAGTGTTGATTGCGATTGGATTCTTTTAAGCTATTGGAGTTTGTGATCGATTTTCTTAATAAATATGTTTTTTAATTGGTAAATTTTCTTTATTGTTTTTGCAAGTTGAATTATCGAAATAATTTCTAATAGATTATTATGAATTATTCTCTCTTGTAGTATGTATAACTTTTTCTTATTTATCAATTTTGTCACATTTTTATACTTCTGCAATTCTTTTAGTAGATGGATGAAGTGTGCTTTTTGTTCGACTAGCTTAAGTAACTAATTATGTTAACTATTAAATTGCATTTATTTAAGGATTTCTAACAAGCTTTACAAAATGTTGACGATCGTTGGATAACATATTAATTTTTATTAATAAATTAAATGAAACTAATCTAATAAGAGTATTACTTCAGCAGACCAAAAATTAATAGTCTTTACTCACCGGATAGTAGATTTAAATCTATATCTCATTATTCTGATAAATCATTAATCCAAAATATAGATACATAAATCTAAATCAATTAGATCATCCAAAACATTCAATATTTGAAGGGCAAAATCAATTATGAAAAAAATTAACTCCAATAATTGTCCTTACTTAATAGTGATGCTAATTTCTCATTTACTTCTGTTCCTCTAAGTAAATTAGACCCTGAATCTTATACGATGAAATAGAAGATTGTATAACTTAAAGAACAAGTATTAATGTAAAATATTAGTTAAAACAATTAGAGAATTAAGAAAAGCAAATTCAAATGATGAACTATTAAAAAATTGATTAAAATGAAGAATATGCCTTTAAAAATTATACTATGATCGTAATGTAGAATAAGTCTAAATAATAACTCATCTAACATAAAACTAAACTTATTGATTAGATCAAACAATTAAAACATGAAATCTATATTGATCAAATGGAAATTAATATTTAAGAAAATCAAATTTGTGTTTTAGATAAGAAAAACAGAATTTATAAAACCTAATTATCCAAAGTTTCAGAATAGCTCAAGTAAATCAAACAAAATGTCAGTGCTTATTAATAATTTGATATGAAAAAGTCTAGGCATATCAAAGATTTTATGAGTAAATTGGGAGCAGGTGATTCAAAAACAGATGACATGGATGAAGTACTTGATAATTACAATAGAAAAATATCAAATAATTAAAAAACAATAGATGAGTTTCTATTAATAGCTTAATAAAGATCATACTATACATTATCATAAATGTAAGATCTAGAATATTAAATTAAATAATAAAAAGAAATCAAATCATAGATATATTCATAAATTAGTGAATTAAAATTAAGGATATCTAAATTCTCAAAGACAAAAAGAACTTCTCTAGAAAATAATTACAACAAAGATAATATCTATGATGATGAAAAAGTTGATTGGATTTTAAATAGCAAAGATTTAGATGAATTCCCTCTAGTATAATCAAAGAATATGGATGAATTTGAAGATGATAATTGATAATTAATTTACATTAAAAAATTAATTCATTATATCGATATGAATATAAAATATTAAGAATTCAATAAGCAAATAATATTTTGGATCTTAATCATTGTGAATACTTATATAAATTCTCATAAATCTACTTTTTTATAGGATTTTTTTTTAAATTGTTTAAATCTTCTTTTAAAAAATTTATACTAAAACTAAAAACCTTATTTTTCATTTTAAATAAAAAATATTTAGAATAAGATAAATTATGGCTATATCATTGATCTTTCAATAATTTAATTTTTTTCAATCTTAAATCGATTCTTATATTCTCATTCTGATTCTCAAATACTAGAAACTCTAATTAAAATTCATTTCAATTAATTATTCTTTTACATTTTTCTTCTTGATTACCTAAATTTATTTTATTATTTTTAATGAATAGCGAAGAAGAAATTCTAAAATAATTTGATACTTTGCTTAAATAAGTTAATATTTATGAAGAGTAAAATCCTGGTGATGATAAATTGTTGGAGTTAATTGAGAAATTTTAATAAGCTCAATAAGCAATAATTAAACAGCATATTTTTTCTCCAAATGAGGAATTCAATGAAATTAAAACAGAACATTTGAAATTTTTTTTATTGCCATTTTATGTTGGTTGGGCATTAAGTTAAGTTCAAAATGAAGTTATAAGATAAAAGAATGTGGAAACATCAAATTATTATGTTAAGGAATTTCTAAAATTATTAAAACATTATGAAATATTAAAAGGAAATCAATTAAGATTATTTAAATAAATGATGGAAAATAATGTTTTATAAATAAATAGAGATGATAAGATAACAAATTATAAAGAACAACAAAATTTGAATAAATAGATATAGGTATATTTAGAAATAACAAGTTTAGAATTTATAAAAATTAGATGATGATAAATTATCTAGAGAAATAATAACATTATAATTAAATTAGAAAATAATATCTTCTTTAGATATTTTGAATACTAATTAATAGGAATTAGAAATATTGAAATTTAAATCAGAAATGAAAAAAGATAAATAACTTCAATAGTAATATTAAGAATAATAAGAAAAACCAATACCAAAAATGAAAGTTTGGAATATTCCAGTAAATATCAATAATAAGAATGTTTTAGAAACCAACAATGCAACCTTAATTTTTTGATCCTCATTGTTAGCATTGTTAAACAGAATCAGAACTTAGATAAAAACATGTAGCTGAAGTTTGGTAACCAAATGCAGCTAGACTTCCAAATATGACATTAGAAGAATTTGCTGATTCAGAAATGAAAGTAAATTAATATATAAATATTAGTTTGCTAAAGATTAAGAAACAAAGATGAAAAAAGCTTAAGAAGAATAATAAAAATTAGAAGCAGATAAGGATGATGATAAAGATTATTGGGCAGATTAATAAACATTAAAAGATAGAAATTGGGATGATTGGAAAGATGATAATGAAAAAGGAGCTGGTAATAAAATGGGTAGATGATTTATTATTATTTTAAATATATCATTATTATTTTGATTTAATGAAATTATATGAATCTTAACACATTTCTTATAATCCTCTTTTAGCAATCCATCCTAATTTATCTTTTGTTTTATTTGGATTGGCAACTAATATTGCAACATCTCCACCTCTTTTGTTTGTAAATTAATATTTTATAGGTACTAATTTAGAATATTCATTAACAATATCTAAAACACTGAAACCTTTACCTGTTCCTATATTAAAATAATCATAGTAATTTTCATTCATTTAATCTTTTTTAATTAATTCTTATAATGCTACAACATGAGCTTCTGCTAAATCTAAAACATGAATATAATCTCTAATTCCTGTACCATCAGGAGTATTATAATCATTACCAAAAACATATAATTATTAAAGATTTCCAATGGCAACTTATTCTATATAAGGAAATAAATTATTAGGTTTATTAGGCATTTCACCAAGTTTACCATCTTTAGTTGCTCCAACTGGATTAAAATATCTTAAACATAGATATCTTCCTCCTTTTTTTGATAATGATCTGATCAAATATTCAATTGCTACTTTAGTTTCTCCATATGGATTTGATGGTTTAAATGAAGCTTCCTCATCTACAAATTCACCAGGAGCATAAACAGTGGCTGAAGAACTGAATAAAAAGTTTTAACATTTATATTCTTCAGCACATTTTAATAGGTTCAATGTACCTACAACATTATTTTAATAATATTTTATTGGATTTTCAACAGATTCACCGACAGCCTTTAATGCAGCAAAATGTATTATATAATTAATTGGATATTATTCTTTATATTTCTTAAACACTTCTACCAATTCATTATAATTCTAAATATCTACTATGTGCAAATCTAATTTCTCACCTATTATACTACTAATTGTATCCAAAACTTAAATATTACTATTACTTAAATTATCCAATATTATTATCTAATCATAAATTATATAATACTTTGTACTATTTTCCAATTGCTTTGTACAATTCTGTTATTGTTATTGATCCTATGTATCCTAAACCTCCTGTTATTAATATTGATTACATAATATATAGAACNTTTTAAATATATCATTATTATTTTGATTTAATGAAATTATATGAATCTTAACACATTTCTTATAATCCTCTTTTAGCAATCCATCCTAATTTATCTTTTGTTTTATTTGGATTGGCAACTAATATTGCAACATCTCCACCTCTTTTGTTTGTAAATTAATATTTTATAGGTACTAATTTAGAATATTCATTAACAATATCTAAAACACTGAAACCTTTACCTGTTCCTATATTAAAATAATCATAGTAATTTTCATTCATTTAATCTTTCTTAATTAATTCTTATAATGCTACAACATGAGCTTCTGCTAAATCTAAAACATGAATATAATCTCTAATTCCTGTACCATCAGGAGTATTATAATCATTACCAAAAACATATAATTATTAAAGATTTCCAATGGCAACTTATTCTATATAAGGAAATAAATTATTAGGTTTATTAGGCATTTCACCAAGTTTACCATCTTTAGTTGCTCCAACTGGATTAAAATATCTTAAACATAGATATCTTCCTCCTTTTTTTGATAATGATCTGATCAAATATTCAATTGCTACTTTAGTTTCTCCATATGGATTTGATGGTTTAAATGAAGCTTCCTCATCTACAAATTCACCAGGAGCATAAACAGTGGCTGAAGAACTGAATAAAAAGTTTTAACATTTATATTCTTCAGCACATTTTAATAGGTTCAATGTACCTACAACATTATTTTAATAATATTTTATTGGATTTTCAACAGATTCACCGACAGCCTTTAATGCAGCAAAATGTATTATATAATTAATTGGATATTATTCTTTATATTTCTTAAACACTTCTACCAATTCATTATAATTCTAAATATCTACTATGTGCAAATCTAATTTCTCACCTATTATACTACTAATTGTATCCAAAACTTAAATATTACTATTACTTAAATTATCCAATATTATTATCTAATCATAAATTATATAATACTTTGTACTATTTTCCAATTGCTTTGTACAATTCTGTTATTGTTATTGATCCTATGTATCCTAAACCTCCTGTTATTAATATTGATTACATAATATATAGAACAAAAATTTATTAATATCATTTTTATTAAGAGTTATTATTAAAGTTGTGTTACAATGCTTTCACTTACCAATTAATTAGATTATTTATTCTGCATCTCACTGTCAATGGTTTTGGAGTCAATAGTTGAGTAGGACTTGTTTAATTTCTAAATGTTAAACTTGTTTAAAGATTATTAAATGTATTTATTGTTTATAGATTTAATTTTGGAATACTTTTTTAAGTTTTCTCATCTTTATCTTTTATGTGTTTTTCAGATTTGTAAATCATCAACTTTTTAAGATCATTTGCCTTCAATTTTGATGGATGTTTATCATTAAATCTTTTCTAATTATAAGGATTATTTTAATAAGAGATAGGATTCAAAACACTATTGAAATTTTTAGAAATTTTATAACAATCTAATTAATGAGTTATTTTTATAGATCGACTAGAAGAACTTTTTAATTAAGAATTTCTATTCACATCCTTTTAATAATCTAGCTTACTTACTTTACTTAATATTTAATGTAATCCTTTATTATTTTAAATTAATTTATTTTTGTTAGCTTTTGGAGTATTTTTTTCCATATCTTTAATAGATTTCATTATTTTAAGTTCGAGTTATTTCATTTCTGGTATTGAATTTTTGCTTTCTTTATTTTAATCAATCTTATTTTCTATTCTTAGTTTACTTAATTTAGAATATTTATTAAACAATTAAATTAAGCTTTCTTTTTAAACATTAATTTCTTTTGTTCTCTCTTAAGATGTTTTTAATACTTTACTAACAGAATCAGTTGTAAATCTAGTTGATAATGGAACTTTAATATCATTGCAACATTTACTCTAGGTTCTTGATGTTTAAGATAAAGCAAATTCATCCAATTTAAGAGATTTTTTAAAAGTAGGTTTTGATTTCTTAAATACTTGATATTTTTAAATATTTTTATGATTATTTGCTTGATCTGGATTAAATGCTTTCAACATTAGCATTATTTCACTTTATTGATCATCCTAGATTTTTGAAATTTTACTAATTTCTTCTTAGCTCATTTAATTTTAATCTCCTTTTATATCTTAAAGAATGTTGTCGACATTATTGTTTATTGATGAATCATTACTACTTTCAGATTCAGGAGTAGTTTGAGATTCTATAGGTTTATCTCCTACTATTCCTTTTTGAGGTTGATTTGGATTGTTTCGATTTTCATATTCTATTTGTCTTTGTATTTTATAGTATTCAAGTTTTCGCTTTTTATCATAATACAAATTCAAAATTTGGATCAAATTCTTATGAACAGTAAACCGAGGTAAATCATTATGAAATTTGTAGAACTCTGTTAGTAATTTAATTTTAGCAAATTATTCATTAATATAGTAAAATCTCTTCATTCTTTCTCCTAATTCATTAAATTGTGTATCATCCTTAATTTATCACGAATTGCTTACATAAAATTATATAGTTGCTGGTGTTCTGTTCTTACCCAAAATATCGTTGATTTCTTTTGTGAAATAATAATTTTAAGAAGCAGAATATTTATGATATAGGGTATGGTTGATAATGTTACTAGATGCAAATTCTGATTGATAATTTCTGACGTAGCCCAAGGTTTTTAATTAACATTTATGCTATTAATTCATATAAAAATAAATAAGTAAATGTCCGAAGAATTAAATTCAAGTCTTGATTCTCTAGAATTAGATTTATACCATAAACCTAATCCTCGTATTAAAACTATACTTAACTATCTCAGAGCATAAAATATCAAATTTTGTACGGACCCAAAGAAGAAAGAAGAAGACTACTATTCTAAACAGTCAGAGACCAATTCCGATATTGATTTTGGCATGAGAAGAAATAGATTTGTAATAAGAGGTCCTCAACGAAAAGGAATAACCATAGTTTCAAACACCTCCTGATTTACTAATATTTGTTTTTTTATGTTTGATTCAGTAAGTTTCTATAATGAGCATTCTAAAAACTCAGTTCTATTGATAAACAACACTAGATAGGTTTCTATATATCAAAAATTTGATTTTCTAAAATATTTAAGTTAATATAAAAGGATATGAAACATGGATTTTAATAAAATTTGATTTTGTTTTAAAACAATGAGTATGATTTAATAATGAATTTTTCAAAATATTGACCAAAAAAATCTAAATTAATTCTTAATGTTAAAATATATATTCAAAAGTTAATATGAACTGTTGGTTAACATAGAATTTGAATTCTTGATAATTTTATTATTATGTTTATAATTTTATTATTGTAGAGTGTATATACATTAAGACCAGACAATTTTTTCTGTGGATTGAGATAATATTATACCTAAGAATCTTATTTCTTGATAGATTAACATATTGAAAAGTAATTTGAATTTATTTCACTTGAGCAATATACCATATATTTTTACAAACAAATCACCACATTTTGCATTAGATATCTAATAGAACTATTAACCAGCATTATCAATAATAATAATTCATATTTTCTCATTAATTTTCCTGATGTCTATAAATTTGCTGAGAATGCAAGTGATTTATAATGGTTGTAGATTTAAGAATTCAAGGTTAAACAAAATTAAACTAAGGTCGATGTTCTAAATTAAAATGATTATTATGGTTATTATGTAGATAAAGCTGTTCAAGGTGGTCATTTGTTAATATGTAAATAAAATCCCTAGAGACAATTTTCATTTGGTAAAACGAATGCAGTTGATAAATTTCTGAATCCTGGATTTATTCATATTTATTTATATTGTAACTTGGACATCATAAGGAAATGTTACTGATTTATGACTAAAAAAAATCAATTTATATCTTTTTAATATTTATATTAAAAATTTATAAATATTTATATTAATTAATTTACAATATTATGATTTTGAAAAGATTTATTCAATTTATTATAGAATCAGAAGGAATTGATTATTGTCAGCAAAATGATTAAACTATTTCTTTAGATTAAATAAAATATAATTTGGAAATCAATTTTGATCAATAATTTTTCATTCTCCCGATCTCTATCATCCACCAATTCATTATCACTTGGAAAATTAAACAATTAATGGATCATTACCTAACTAATATTTTACTAAAATTATCCAGGGTTGTAAGTATTTGTTGCTTAAAACTTAAGTGACATTGGAAATTAAAATACCTATTAAAAATATGGAAACCAATTAAAATGCTGTAGAATTCCCTTTAAGTGGATTAATTATTACTGTAAAATAAGAATATAGAGGGTTTATACATATATTCATCTTTGAGAGTGATGAAGGAATAATTATAAATTATAAAGAAGATGATAATTTAGCATATATTACAATTGCTTAGACCGATTCAAAGATTTTTATTTTCTCTTTTGTTACTTCTTCTTTTACTAAATTTCCTTAAATTGAGATTATTTAACATGTATTTCAAGATTTTGTTACAGAACAAACTTTAATCGTTTGAAAACAGTTATTTAAAGTTGAAATAGTTAAATCTAAATCATTTATGTCACATAATAAATAATTTAAAAATATTATTATAACAAACTATAAGATAATTTAATAATCTAATAATGTTTGTGAGAAACCAATAAAGTATTGTTAAAATCTTTCATATGAATATTTCATTAATTTGATTTTAACTTAAAATTATGATTAATAGGTTACATTTAAATTAAACGGAGAAACATTTTATGTTCCATTTATTGAATTGTATGAAAATTTTAAAATTTTTTGTTTAAATATCATCAACTTTAAACAATAGTGAAATGAATCATGCAAGATTTATTGGATCATTTTTAAGAATAACTAACAAAAATCAAAGTATTAATTCTCTAATAATAAATGAATAGAATGAAGGACTAGAAGTACATTATAATATTAATGATAATATATGTATCTAATTTAATAATATTTCCATTATTTGTATCATAAAATGAATTAACAGATATACAATGTCTTTTAATTTTTAGAGAATTCATTGATCATATTCAAAGAATTTTCATAATTGAGTTTTGATGTGATACCAATACAGTATAAAGATATTCACAAATTAGTAACATAAGCAACAGAGTTACTTCAAACATCTCATTAACAAGATTAGTAGAGATAGTAAAATGATTTGGATCTTGATAAATTGGAATATTTAGATGATTAAAATGAAAAAATGTATATTTTGGATTATGAAAACTAAGATTAATTTATAGCTGATGAAGATCCTGCTATGCAATTATAACAATGGAAGATTATAAACTAAAGGGAAAAATTGATAATAAAAAATATTATAGAGATATTTAACATTAAAAAATATAATGTTTTTAAGTCATTTTAATAATTATTTTATTTTATATAATGATTTATTTTGTATCATACATATTCATTAATGGAATTTTATTATATAATTAGAGTGTAAATATAATTAATCATTAAATGAATAAATATTAAATAAATTATAAATGCAAGCTTCCTAAGAAAAACTGCCTAAATTAGATCTCACAAACCGAAGATCACAATCAATGGCCACCTCTAATCCTGCTTTAAAAAAACTTAAAGAAACATTAATGATTGATAATTAAACTAGCACACGTTAATTGAAAAGAAAAGAAGGCGATATTTTGGATTCTATCCTAGAAGATGCAAATTTAATCTTAGGAAATAAACAGTTAGAGAAGAACATATACTAACTCAAAGAATTAGGATTACTTAAATAATACGATCCAACTATAGCAATTCAATAAGGGTATAAGAAAAGTAATTATGTGATGAATGATTATCATAACAAAAGTACAACAAATGGTTATGCAAGAAATTATGGAGGGTTGTTTTACAATAGATGATTTATCTTAATAAAATTTTAATAAGCAAAATAAATTACTGCTTCTTAATAATATTTATAAATAAATAATTAAACTTCATATTATTTATCTTTATTTTCTAAATTAGTTTATTTATGAATAATTTTCTAATGGCTAGTAGCTTAGTATCTATTTTTACTTTTGTGTGTTCAATTTTCTTTTTGTTTTTTTGTCATATCTTCATTAAGGAGGGTTTACTTCTCCAATTTGTTAATTAGATATACATTATAGATTCATATTTTTATTAGTTGTATTTCAACTATTTCTTTTGTTCCTTAATTTTCGATTTATTGAAATTTACATTGATGTCCAATAATAGATAATCGTTATAAAAATAAATCTTTTGATAATTTAGATTAAAGTAGATTAGGAGAAGGAGCTAAAGTTTGATATATTCTTGGTATCTCTCATATTTCTTAAGAAGATAAATCTTCTAAATTAGATATTTGAAATAATTTTTTATAAACTGATAATTGATTTCTTTGTCTAGATTTATCATCTTTATTCATCTTAGATAAATATTCATTATTTTGATAATGGTTTAATATTTTCATATTTTTTTTAAATATATATCATTACTATATAATTAATTCATATATATATTCAAATATTCTTAGAATTTATATTCTTATTTATTTGAATCCATCTTTCTATCTTAATTCCTTTTAGAGTTAATATATTATTTAAATTTTATTTTATCTTTTCATTTAGATTTAGAAATAAATGTGTATCTCCAAATAAATTGTGTATTCTTATAATTATCAATGTTAGGAAATCCAATTTTACAAATCTTATTTATAACACAAAATACACTAATGCTTCTATTTATTTTATATCTTTTTATTATATTAATATATTAAAATTGTTGTTGAAAATCTTCTTCAAAAAAAAAATAAGAAACATTGGTTAATTAAATCTGTTTAAGTAATAATTAGCAAAACAGGAATGAAATGGTCATAAATATTCTTTTTGGTGTGATGGGTTCATAATCTTGATGTTTGTTATTAGGAAAAATAAAAAATCTTAGATGTCGCTAGAAAGACAGATTCAATAATTTAAATATATTTTCTAGATTTATCTATGATAGATAATCTCTTTCATTAGAGCAATATAAAACGAATTATTATCAATAACTTCTTCTTATTTCTATAAATAATTATATATTCTAATTTTTTCTATGATATCTTGTCCTTGAAGTATATTCATAGCAGATATTGTAGAATTGATTATTACTACTATTTTATTAGTAACTATTAATTTAGGTGATTCTTATAGAAATAGTAATTTATCTTAAAATAACGAGAAAATATATGATATCCATTTATTTTTTTAGTTTTTGTGTTTATACAAACTGTTTATTTTAATAAATAATTTTTGAGGTAATATAACAAGTTTATTTTAAATATTTTGTAAATTTCTCTCTAAATGCAAATAGAAAACATTAGTGATAAAAAAAGTAGAAGCAGAAGTCGTAGTAAGTCCAGTAAAAGGAAAGCCTAACATAACCAAACCTAAATTAAATAAAATGAGAAACATTAAAATGAAATAGATTGTTTTAAAATAGTCAATAAAGAATGTAATTCTCATAATTCTAGTCCAAATGGATTAAAAGCAGAAATCAGCAAGAGTTATGAACATTATAAGTAAATATTGTGTTAATACAGAGAAAGTAAAGAAGAATATAAGATCTTAGATCGGAATTATTAGAATAATCTAGCGCCTAATAATTAATTTTAAATACAATGTGAAAATAATGATTAAGGACAAAGATGTTTAGCTTAAAAGGAAATTGAAAACAACATTAATTAATGTCTTGAAAAGCATCCATCAGAAATGATAACAATAAATGATAGTAGCTAAGATGATAATTAAGATGTCAGTAGTATTGAAAAAATAGCTAGTTCATATGTTGAAATGAAAAAACTTGATTATTAAAAATTAGATTCTTCTAAAATTGATCTTTTAAGACGAAATTCTTTTAAAATTTAGAAACAAAATTTAAAAAGATCTTCCTAAGATCATCACTAATTAAATTAATAAATTAAATATTCTGAATGCATAGATTTAACTAATGATGATAATATCTAATCTTTTTTTGGCCTCAATCATCCTATGTTTATAAGTTCTATGGAATATAATAAAAAAGAATTATTTGAATTAACCGAACCATACGAATATTCATGTGGCAATTTTATGATTAGCTTGGGAATTAGAGATTATTATACTGCTATTGTTACTCTACCTAGTCTATATTAAAAGTAAAGTGTTTATTATCTATTTATGATGTTTTAATATGATCAAAATAACATTTATTGTATGGTTCCTGAAGATGACTAAACAACATTACTGGTTAGTTCTAATATTTAATCACTTTATTACTTTTGCAACTCTGATAATCAACTCAAGAAAAATAATAAAACAAACTTCTTAGAAAGCACTCTTAAATACAAATTTCCCTATATCTATCCAACATTAATTAGAAAATTTATAGTTTCTTATAAAAAAAATGATTTATAGATTTAATATCAAATAAATTATGATTCAGAGGCAACTCAATTAGCTATTTAACATTATTATTAAGCATTACCAGGTTATTTAATTACAGGTACTAGTCATCCTATTTTAAAAATACTATTTTTTAAATCCTAGAAAAATTAGATTCCTTAATTTTACCACAAATTTCTAAGTACTCCCTTATATGTAGGATAATTTAGTTTAAAGGCCCATCTTGAATAAAATGGAGATATTATTGTTATAGAAAGAAAGTTAATTCTTAATATATTTTTAAGGTTTTTAAGTCCTTTCTGTTATGGTATACATTCAATAAAAATTGAAATCAATCGTGTAACTGATTTTATAGTTATGAAATAAATCGGAAAAGATTTCGAAATCTAATCAAAAAATATTAAATTGTTTTGGAATGAGATCCAATAAAAATATCTTAAATTATATCCTTCGTATTAACTTATATTATATTTAGAAAATTGCTATATAACTATTTTGTAGATCTCATACTAGAAGATAGAAAGATTTAAGAGTAATACAAAAAGTGGAATCAATTGTATGATTCTATGAACAAGTCTCAATCCAAATTTAAGTCAAATGGTAAACCTATTACCGTGAATGATAAACAATTCTACTGTTTTTCAATTGAGGAAGTAAGAAATGGAAACAGAATTAAATATTTATGATAAATATGAATAAATTATAGTTCGTCTTTAAATTTTGTACAGAGTCTTAAAAATCAATATATAAACTTGAGAATGCTCAAAAATATATAGCTGATTTAGTTTAAAAGACTGATTGGATAAGTTTCGCAATATCTAAGCATGTTCCAAAATAAGTGAGGTACTTATCAATAATTGAATAAAGATAAGATTATTTGAACATTTGTCAATTTCATAATGAATTATCAAGAATTGAAGAAACCTCTAAAGAAAGATCATTAGGAGTAGGCAAACTTTAATATTGGTCAGATTAAATCGATTAAGTAATATTTCTTAAGATATTGAGATTTTTTTAGATAATCCTTAAAGAGATCCATTATCAATATGTCTTCATAACACATGCAAAAACAATCCATTACCTAAATATTTATTTCAAAAAATGATAAATTATCGCAAATAATAAGTAGAGAAGTAGGAATTTGCAAATCTTGTAGATATGGCAACATCTGCAGAAGCTAACAGAGGGTCATAATTTTTATTATTTTTACGTTTAATGAGGATGGATATTGAAAATCAAGAATTAAAATAATTAACAGAATTAACATCTTAAGCAGTAGGAATTACAGATTATTTAAGAAGAGTGCCTTTCACACTTTAAAATTATAAGCTTAATTTACCTGAAGATATTAAACTTAAACATAGTATAAATGTTAGATCTCTTTGGGATAGAATTAGGGGTAGTATATTATAAGAATTTAGGGGAACCAAAGGAAGAATTATATGATGCAGTTTTAGAAGTGGCTGCATTTGCTAGAACTTAAATGATAAAAACTTCTTAATTTTAAAATAAAATTCCAACATAATCATTTAGAGCATTTTTACATTTAATACCAACAGAACAATATTTAGAGGAATTGGAATATTATAATTTTAAGATATTTGAAAAGTATGAATTCTTTATAAATTAGAGCCATTAATTAAAATTCATATGTTTAATTACCAATAACCTTGTTTAAAAATTGTAGAAAAATGAGGTTTCTAAATAAAGAATACGAATTGAAATGAGTATTATTTTATAGATATTAATTTAATTATATGAAAAAGTCTTATTCATAAAATAATTCAGGAGCTTTTGATTTTCCAGAAGTTAATAAACCAAGGTTTGAACCTTAACTTCATAAAATCAGTGCAAGTACATAGTAAAAAGTTGTAATCTAAAAATTGACTAATTCCCTTAATAATAATAAAATTGTTACATAAACAACTGAATAACCATAAACTATAAGAAGTTAAATTTCTAAACCAATAATAAATTCAGAACGTTTTATGTTTGATTTAGATGCTTCAATGGTTTATATACATAGAGAAAAAATTATGTAATTTGAAGAACTTGAATAAATGAGAATTCAGTAATTATTAAAAGATGTACAATCTAAAGTTCCTTAAGTTAATGATAAAGTAAATCATTTCATAGCATTAGCAGGTCAGTTCGAAAATGATAAAGTTAATCCATTAGTAAATTAATTCATAAAAGTAGTTGAATAATTATTGTAAATATTTGATGAAAAAACTAAAGAAATTAAAGAATATTAATTTGCTTTAAAGTCAACTAGAGAATAAGTATAAAATAATAGTCGATTAATTGAAGATTAATCATAAATGATTAAATATATGGAAAGTTAAAATTAAAATTCTAAAAATGTTGCAAGAACCTTTTAAAGATCAAATGAATTAGCTGTTATAAATGTGCAACTTGAAAAAAAAGTAGAACTTTTGAATTAGAATTTGTAATATCTAATGAATCAAAATAAAGATAGTTTAGCTACATAATTATAATAAAAAATTGATTAATTAAATAAAACAATAGAGAATTAATAAAATAAATTATATGATGATAACAATAAACAAATTTAATTACAGTAATAAATATAAACTCTAAAATCAACAGAATTTAAACATTAAATTTAACTTAGAAAATTAGAGGATAAAATATAAGAATGTGAAACAAAATTAAAAGAATTAACTTTTTAAGTTTAATATTCTAAAGAACAAAGAGATCAATATAGAGAATTATATTATATGACATATGAGGATTTATAAATGAATAAATTAAATACTTAAACAGAAAGAAAGTAAATGCAAAAAAGTTTTGAGAAAATTAGAATGTTGTAAGATAGAATTGATGAAATGACTGTAAAGAGAAGTAAGGAAGTAGATGCTCCATTTTAAAGTAGAGTTGAAGGTGATATGATACAATTATAAGCAATAACTAAGATTTTAGATGAAGATCATGTATTTTAAAGGTATATGATGAGTAGTTTTTTAAAAAATGTTTAAGAATATGATTCAAAATTAGTAGATGCATATGTTGATGTAAAAAGATTAGTAGTAGGTAGAGATGAAGAAGCTGAATTATAAACATTAAGATATAATTATCCACCATATACTTTATTTTTAGAAAAGAGGATAGTTGATTAGGAATCTTAATATTTATAAATAAGGCCTATATCTAATAATTTCATGGGTTTACTTAGAGGTATTTTAGATGGTATGTATATTGAGTTTCAGAAAAATACTTATATTTCTTTTTAAAGTTACATAATCTCTTGGTTAAGCACCTTTACAATTGAAAATCATCAAGTTATTATTTTTCCAGAAGATACAAAAAGAGTAAATATATTAATTTTATATTTAGGTGAAAATAGAAGAATAATTACACACCTTTTATTTAGATTTAATGGTACCACGTTTAGATAAGGTTTGGGAAGTCGTTTAATTTAGACATTTTTTAAATGATATTTATTCTTTAGAAGAATTATACTTTTATCTTCATGTACGTTATTTGTTGAGAAGAGGACCTTGGATTGAAACATTTGATGCAATCTATGGTGTTGTACATTATATGAAAGTACAATAAGCTGAATCCATTATTTTAAGATGTTTAGAATAATTTGATAAAATTAATTAAACATTAGTAATGAGAGCAGTGAATGAAAGAATTGTTGAAGGGAAAAGTAATATTAATATTTAATTAGAGTAGAAGATAGAAAATTAATTTAAACAGGGTTTGTATTATAATTATTATTGGAAATTTTTAGAATAGACAGAATTAATAGATATAAGATTCTTTCATTTGCATTTCCAGCATAACCAATTAATTTTAAATAATTTCATAAATTTGTTAGAGGAAATTTTTCTAAATGCACTGAAGGAGAAGTAGCAGAGTTATGGAGGGAAGTATTTATGATTTCTAATGGTATTCCAAATTTAAATTCTTTTTTTACTGCTGCTTAATCACTTTTTATTAAGTCACTTATACTACCTGCTATATATACTGTTCCTCTTTTAGATACAAATAAAAAATTAGCTTTTGATGAATTAAACTTCACAACAATGAAAATTCAAGAATAAATGAAAGAACTTACTGATTCTGATTTTGATATTTTGAAAACATTAATTCCAACAATTTATTCGGAAGAAATGATTAGAATAGCAAAATAGTTAATGCCAAAAAATTAAATTTAATTTGTAAATCCTCTTGAATATATATTTAAATTTATGAAACTAATCCTTACTTTAAAATATAATTCAATTCTAGCAGATGGTTTAGAAGAAGATGGAGTTAATAGAAAAGGTTTTATCACTGAAACATTTACATCATTTATTACCACAGAAATCAATGAATTGAATAAAATTATATATAAAAAGTAGTCATATATGTCTGATTAAGAAATTAGAATATCAAGATTGCAAAAATATGCTAAGAAAAAAGTAAAAAAAATCTATGTAATAATGTCATCTGTTTTACAATCAAGAATTAAATAATGATAATAATTTCATATATTATCAAAATAATTGAAACGTTAAATTTTTGTTTCTTAATCTATATACTATTAAATATCATCAATAATTAACTATTGTTATTATATTTAAACTTGTGCTTAAGAAATTTATTTTTATTTTGAGTAATTTTATTATTATAAATCCTTCTTTTTTGCTGGTTTTCTCTTTGTTGCCTTATAATCCTCAATTAACTTTTTACTTTTTCTAATTTAGTTTCTTAACTTTTCTTTATAAAATTCTTCTTCTTTTATTCATAAAATTGTATCTCATATAACCTTATATACCTATTATTTATTAATTGTATTATTCTTCTGTGTGATTCAGATTTCAATATTATAAGTCTGACTAAAATTTTATGATCAATCCTCTTATATTCCTCTTAAAGGTTGATATTAAACAAACGTAATATAGTCTTATATCATAAATCTTGTGCAACTTTTTAAAATTTTAATGTATATCTTTGGATTTTTAAATCTTAAGCGAAATTTTGATAATTAATTTTAATATTTTAGACTTTTAGAAATTATAAATTAAGTCTGATTAATAAAAGCGCTTTAGAATTTTATCTATTTTTATTTATTTATATGGAATAATATACCATATCTATTTGTAGAGAATTCATTAAAATTGGATAAAAAACATTTAAAGATATGTCAATTAAAGCTTTCCATTATGCAACTCATTTAAAATTTAATAGCTTTTTTTCTTACTCAAGTTATTCTATATATTCTATTTTTTGATACAACTGTTGATTATTATATATCTAGTATTCTTTTTATCTTTACTTTAATTTTATAAGATCCATAACATATCTAAACTCTTTTAAGTGATTAAATTGACAATTTTTATTAACCATTGTTTAAATTTTATTCTAAATCAAGAACCAATAAATCTTAGTTTATGCTCTAGATATTAATTCCTTAGTATTATTAATTTATTCACTAATTCGTATTATATTTTTATCGAGCTTACTTATTCCAAATTTTACTTTCATAGTATCTTCAGCTAACATAATCAGATGTTTAATAATTTTTTGATCTCCAATATTAACTTTTATTGTCAATTGTCTAAATTTATTCTGAATTTTATTTTTAAAATGTGTTTTAGAATTGTTAGTATTAAGTTTCACATTTATTTTCAATAGAAACAATTTAAGCTTGAATTTCAGCTTATGACATATAAATGCCGTTTAAAATATTTTTATCATCTTGATTAATAATGGATTAATTTTTTATTAAATCCTTTAAAATATGTAATCCTTGAACTTAATTTTCATTTTCAAGAAGATAAATAGGTTATTAATATTATTAAAACAATTCTGATTCTAATTTTTCTTGGTTTTGACTCATAAATAATATAAAATATTATGTAAAATAAATTCATTCATCCTAACTAAACACTAAATCATTGAGTTGTACAAAGAAAGTAGGTAATGTAATATCTTTAGAAGGAATATAAACATCTTTAGCATAATCAAATTTGAAATCTTCATAAACACTTTCAATTAAATTTTTAGTATGTTCACTTACTAACATTTTTCCTTCCTAAAATAGAATAAGTAGAAATAAATACAGAGCCTGATGATTCCATAAGATTAGCAATAGTAACATCTTCACCATAAATATCATATCTTACAACATCTGTACCTACTACTCCTCCAAGTACTTTACCTGTATGTACTCCAATTCTCATATTTAAATGTTAATATTAAGGATCTTTATTACAATCATTTATTATTTAAATCATTTTTAACCCGAAAACCAATACATTTTAAGCCTTAATATATTTATTTATATAAAATACTTCTTCAGCAGGATCTCTTTAATTTAAATCCATAACTCCCATACAAACATAACAATCTCCTATTGTAAACAATTTGTAAACTTAAGTCATTTAACAAAATTCATCAAAAGTTTAAAAGAGATTTCTCAACATTTCTACTACTGTTTCTGGCTCTACAGAACTAGAATATTTTGTAAATCCTGCAATATCTGCAAATAGTACTGTTGCATTTTCTAACACATCAATGAAAGTTTCTGTATTATCTTAATCTGGTTGTAATAAACGTTTTAATGCATGTGGAGGCATTAAATATTATAACATATTTTCATACTTTGCGATTTATAATTATAATTATTAACTTACTTTATAATTTTTTACTAAAATTTGATTTACTTAATATTGAGAATAAAATGTTAATCCAATTATACTCAAACCAAAAAATAATATTTCCAATACAAATTTTTCATACACAGTTATCAAGGTTAATAAAATTATATAGGTTATTAATAATTTATATTTGTCTTGTACTATTAACATTTATAAATAGAATAAATTTATATATATTGTTGTTATTTAGCAAGCTTATAAAATTATTTAAAACTCTGATACATCACTAAATTCTATAACAAGAAGATTCAAAAGATTTATTATAATGAAATAAATAAATCCAAAAATTTTTAGTTTTTAAAAGTTTTATTATTCTCTATATTTATAAATTGGAATCGCTAATCCTAAACTTAAAGTTATTTAAAATAATAAAGATATTAGTAATCCAATATGAGTACTTGCACTTAAATCATCTAATATAAAGTATAATAAATTTTTAAGAACTATTAGTATTAATAAAAATGAATAAGTCTATCTAAGATTTATTAATTCTTGATCCTTATATTCCTCATAAATTTAATAGTATGAAATTTGATCTATGCTATCATAAAAGCTTTTAAATTATTCAGAATCGCAATCTTTCTCAAAATCTAATTTAAATTTTTTGATATTCTTCAATTTCATAAGATCCAATTTCTTCTGAAGCATTGAAATTCCTTATCTTTTATTTATTTCTAACTCTTCAAACTTTTCATATAAGTTATCATTCTACTTTCTTATTGCTGAATCAGAAGATTCTTATTAAATAGGTTTTATAGATTTTTATTTTGTTATTTACCTTTTTACAATTTATTCAGTTTATTAATCATTATTATCAATTTATGCTATTTTTACTATCTTTTCTTTTTCTTTTTCATCAGAAACTATAATTCTTGTACTTGATTTAATAAAACCACTTTTTCTTTATTATACTAAGTCAGCCATTATTATAGTTCCTTTCTTTTTTATTTAAGGCCTTTAAATCCAATTTTAAGTTTATTATTAAGGAATTTAAACTTCATCCTCATTCTTTTCTTACTATAAGCTTTCCTTACTTGGATGTTCAGCAATTAAAAGTAATTGATTTTAAGATGTTTATTAAAAAGAATTAATTAATGGTTATTAATTATTGTTATTATTTTAATTATTTTGGATTTAAATTTAATTTAATTATGGTTAAGTTTTCACATCCATTTACGAAAAATGAGTCATAGAAATTTATTATAAAGTAGCAACATTACCATTATTAGTATTAGTTGCATCTTCAGATTATCTTACTAATCTTTTATGAGCTGATATACTATTCCTCATTGTACTTTTTAAAGCTGGAGTTTTTGCTTTCTAATAAACTTATGATTAATTATCATTCTATTTATGAAATATATTATATTACATCAAAAATAGATCCGGATCTTGATTTTTAGGAATTTAATCTCTTAAAATCTAAATCCTTACAATCCTGTTCAATAGATGATCTTTTTTTAATAATTGCCAAAGGTTATTATTTATTTTTAATATCTTTTTAAATTTATTTAAATAAAACTTATGGAGATTTTGCATCAGTAATAAGACATGCTTAATTCATGATAGAGGCTCTTTTCATTACACTTTTGAGAGGGGTTTTAGTATTTTCTGAATTTTTCAAAGGCATAACTGTAACTTTACATTCAGGTTCATAATTCTTTTCACTTTTTTCAAAACATACTTTTGGAGTGATAATTTTACTTGATTCTTTCTCTTTAGTATATATTTTTAGCCTAAAAGTTTCAATTGTACCTTTTCCTTTTGCAGCTACTGATTTTTACTCAAACTAATATTTGGTAGTATCTTTTATATGATTATAGGCAGATTCACTTAAGGTGACAAAACCAGCTTCACTTGTACTGCATACTCTACTAGTTGTATTAACAGTATCTCCTATTAAAGAAAATTATGGTTTATGTGATCCAATAACTCCAGCAATTACTCTTCCATAATGAATTCCTATTTTAAGTTTGACATCTTAATTATCACCATACTTCATTGTTTTTACTGTTTCCATCATAGCTATTGCTGTTTCTAATGCTCTTGTTGTACTATTTGCATTTTTTTAATCTATTTTTAATTTATTTAATAATACTTATAACTGCATCATAATCTTTAAGACCACCAGCTGCCATATAAGTTTTACCTACTGTCTCAATCTTCTATAAATCATAGGTCTAACAAAGTTAATCAAATGCTCTGTAAAGGGTATCTAAAAAATCTAATATATTTTCCTATTCAAATTTTATCACCTTATCAAATTAATAAATATCACAAAATAGAACTGTTACATCTCCTTAATCTTATGATATCTGAATTTATCCCTTATTCATTCTCTCCTATATAAATCTAGGCATTAATAATCCAAGGATATTGTTAATCTTCTTTTTCTCATTATTTAATCTATTTTAGTATATATAAAATGATCTTTATAAAAATTAGGTTTTCTCAACCATCTAAAAAACTGGATAAGATACTTCTATTAAAAGTAAACTATACTTTGAAATACAAAATATTAGAACTTTATAATCTTTATAATTCATTGTAAATCCATCTGACAGTAAATTAATCACATAATTTATTAATTAAAGAGCTGAATACATTAATATTGAGATTTATGGTTGAGAAGTCATTGCAAATGCTAATATGAATTAAAAATTAAATAAAAATCCTATAAAAGTTTATTCTGATTCAAAATGCAAAATATCAATTATTATTTAAAAAATAAATCTTAAAATATAAGAGAAAATTTATAAATTTTGTTTAACCTTTTTATCATTTATAACTCTAAATTATAAAAATGCTATAAAAATTTATATTACAAATTATATTATAGCAGTTATAAGAATTGAGAACTAAAATGTTTCTTCAATAAATATTTCATAAAAATGTATAATTATTATGCTTATATCATAAAAGATAAATGCATAAACAATATTAAATCTATGATTATTTTATTCTCTAAAAAAGTCTTAAAATGATGATTCTGTTTTTTTGTCTTAAAAACCATGAAGTTTATCCATTTCATCAATAAGAGATTAATCTCCTTTAATTTATTTAGTTATACATTCTTCAATTATATCTTTATTATCAAATAATTAATCAGTTAATTGTTTTAATTTTTAATTAAAGTTTTTAAGTTTCTCATCTTCAAATTCACTAAGAGAATTTGAAGATGTTATATTATTCTTTAATTATACTATTTCTTGATAATTTTAATCAAGTGAATATAAGTCAGATGGTAGTGCGAATTCAATAGAGCATATTTATAAGGTTTCCTATAAGATATATGAAAGACCAAGTACAAATATAGAAATAAAAATAAAAGCTACTAAGTTTTCTGTATCAAACTCTTCAATAATCTTTTATTAATCTACACTTATCTATACTAAATTAAATATAATAATCAAAATTGTCGTCATTATTATTGTCACACATAAATGTATTATGAATTGTTACATCTTTGATTAAAGAGAAAATACATAAAATAAAATTTTAGATTTTTCCAAAATCTCTAAAGCTATATATAATAAAATTATTTATTAAGTCTAATCAACTTTACCATTTGGGGAAACGTAATTTAATATGGAATTTTGAATTAAAATTAATATACAAAAATCGATTATTGCTATAAAAATTACTTTTATTGCCTACTTAAATAATATCTTATTTTTTAAATTTGATAACAATCTTGAATAATTATTTGCATTTTTCAATTATTGTTTAGTATGTAAGACAAATAGATAGTAATTTTAAATGCTTGATAACAAGTTGCTTGGAATCAAATAAAATAACAGGAGATAAAACATATTCATGTTTTTGAATTCAAAATCACTAGCAAAAATAATTAGTCCTATTAATGTACATCTATATAATTAAACTTCCATTATAGCTAGGTAATTTAACATTTAATTGGGACAATAAATAAAAAGCATTCTAAAAATTTATTTCATATTAAATGTAACGAATTTTGGATGTAAGATAGATATTAATGACTTATTTTTCATTAAACTTACTGAAATATCTGATTTAGAAAACATATATCCATTATCTAAAGAATTACCAATAGTAAGAATCTTTTTATCAGCCATTTTAAGTAATTTAATTAATTTTCCTTTTTAGCTACTTGTAAATGAATATGCTCCTAATCCAAATGAAAATTAAACAATTAATATAAAATGATATTTCAAATAGTCATCTTTTCGAATGGTATTAAAAGCTTCAGAACTAACGATAATAAATTTATCATAGTTTTAATTTGTATTTTATTATTCTAATAATGCTTGAAAATATTATTTAACTTTAAATTATAATTATTATTTATCTTTTTCTTTTAATTCTAAAATTTATTCTTTAGACCGGATAATTTAAAAGCTTCTTAAAAATATTAAAAGTTCATCATAATTATATTGTGTAACAAAACATGGTTTTAAATTAAAGTTGTATAAATTTTAAAATATTTTATCCTAATCTAAAATATCATAATTTAATTCTTAAGAAGAGAGTACTAAGCAATTTGAATTGTGTGATTTAATTCCTATAGCAAACATGGGTTCACTTTACTATTCTAATTCAATAAATAATTTTTCTATCTCATGAGACCTATTACCATAAGTTTCATAGATTGCTGAAAGTTTTTTTAAAAATTCATCTGTTTAAACTTAATCTAATTATTTCTTTGTATACAAAAATGTTTTTTATCCATCCCATGTCATTTCTGATAAAAATTCATTATATTTATTTTCCTATTAACCAAAATTACTGGTTTCAATACGTGAATATAATAATGCTCCTTCATCTAAAAGAAAGGATTCAGGATCTCTAACAAGTACTGATAATATATTTTTCCTGTTTTCAGTAGGTTCTAAAAAAGTCAAAACATCAAATATTTTAGAAACATTTGAAATTGTTATAACCTTTTTTATAATAGTTTTCATATTGAATTCTGGTCTTGAGTTTTCAATTTCAGTAGCACATACAAGACAATAATCAAATAATTCAGTAAATTAAAGTATAGATTAATCATACTTATTTTCAAAATTGATTTCTAATTTTTATAATTTTTCATTATAAAGAGTCATAGCACTATTTGTAATTAACATCATTATTAAAATTTCATTATGAATAGTATCATCTTTATTATATAATACATCAATGAAATCTTATTCATTTAGAATATCTCCTACTAATCTATCTTAATTAATTTCATTCAATTTTGATGAAGAATTTTAAAAAGATGAAGAACTGTGTTTAAATAAATTAGCAGTACGAATAAATTAAGTTTTTTATTTTAAGATGGGTGGAGATTAGAATGATGCACTTGGATTATTATTTGATGTATCTTTACTACTATCTTGAGAATTATATTAATTATTAGGTTTTGCAGCAAAAGATTACTCAAAAATATATCTAGAACTTTTTTTTTTTCCTATACCATTATTTAATTTTGGCTCTTATTATTTATAATCAGAAAGTGTATCTTTTCTCATAAATTGTATTTTCTTCATTGATTTTGTAGATACAAATGAATCTTATAAATTTCTTAAATCAGGTACTCTTTTTTCTTAAATTAACATTTCAATATCCAAAGTTTTCATTTCATCTTAAGTTTATTAACGATTCGTATCTAATAACATTTTATCACAATTAGTTTTTTATTGTGGTGAAGCTTTTATTATTAAATCTTTTAATTTATCATGATTAAATTGATAATTTTTAAAATTCTAAACTAATTAAATAACTTTTGGAGATGCTTTAAATAAATTTTATGGATTTTCAAAAACTATAATATCTGTTTAAATTAAATCTAAAATGCTTTAAGGTGCCAAAGTTAAAAATCCACTGATATTTTGTTTATTGCTATTATGCTTAATTATCTTTAATTAATTAGATGCTGGTATAAGACTTAAGATAAAGTTCTTTTTTATAGGCATCAAAATTTTTCTTTCATTTTAGGATGTTATAGATATAGTATTTTCTTAAGTTTTAGTTTTCAAAACCCTAGATTTAGAATCTTTTAAGGCTTATTAAATTTAGTATTTTGCAAATAATTAATTGTTATATAATAGAATAAAAAAATACCATATCTTTTCTACTAGCAATATAGTTTGTGGTAAAATTAATAAACAATAGATTAAGCTATCAAAAAAATATTCAGTCTAAATTAGTGATGAATATATAATATTAGGAATGAAGCATATTGAAAATAATATACCACTTAAACATACTATTTAGGTATGAAATTCTCTTAACCAACTTTTTGATTAAAAACTTTGATTATTAAGACTCTTTTAAACACTTCTACAATCATCACCAACTCTTATAGCCATTCCAAAAATCCAATCTGCTCTATCCATAATTTCTCCTCTCATTATCATATTCTTTTAATTAAATGATGTAGCTTTAGGATCATTTTTCAACTTAATACTTCCAGTTATTGTTTCTTAAGTAGTGAATTAGATTGATCCATTTAATTTAGTTATAAAATCCATAATATTACCTTTATTATTATGATTTACATTAACAAATGTACAAGGACATGGAATTCGTAATTCAAAATCAGCTAATACTTATTCTTAACTTGAATCTAGAATTAAAAGATCAGCTGGACTTTATTTTCCATGTTTTAAACATACTATCTATCCAACTTATAATTCAAACCACTTAATTGTTTAATAGGACTTAAATCTATTTAGTTGATATTAGTTACTCAATATAATCTTAATTATTCTCTTCCATTTTTTAGATTTCCTCATCTGAAATATTTGGAAATTTTTAAAAAATGCGGCATTTATAGTTGTTAATAATAGATTGTTATTTCCACCTTTAATAACTGATAATCAAAAGATTAATTAAATATTGCAATTTATCTAATAAATAACAAATTAAAGAAAATAAAACTATGATTTGTCCAGTTTAATCTTCATGATAGGTATTTCCTGATAGAGCTATTATGATAAGAGTCAAAATTATCAGATTCTCTGTTCTAAGAATTTTATCAACTAATTTCATTAAAATAAGATTAACCTAAAACAAATAGAAATAATCATTACACTAATAAGATTTATTTGATTATTCTAAATCTCAAAATTTACAAGCTTTTAAACTTCTCCATTCGAAAATTCAATCTACTTTAAAATATATTCAATACTTTAAATATCTATTCAATTTCTTACTGTTAGAATAGGTTTTTTTGAAGAGCCTTTTAAAGTTTTTTAGGTAACCATAAATAGCAGTAAGAGATTAGGCGATAAATTATCTTCATATAATTTAATTATTTTTATATTATATACAATATGTCATAAAATTAAGAAGGTGATAAAGCATTAAAAGAACAATATTTGTAAGATCAAGTTGAAAAGGGTTTAGATGCTGATTAATGTGCATAATTTCTTCTGACATTAAAACCTGAAGGTGGTGATGATATAGATAATTGGACTTTAAATGAATTGAGTATATTCTATATAAAAATTATAGAGGATGCAATTGAGTAATTTAAGGAATCTTAAAAATAAGTAGAAGAACAATAACCAAATTAAGAAGATTAAAGCAATTTGTAATAAGCATAACCTTAAGAATAATAACAATAAAATTAATAGATAAATTAATAATAAAATAATGCCCCAGTACTTATAAATTGTTATTAAATCATACCAAATGAATTATCAGGAGACAATGTCTCTGCTAAAATATTAACGTAATATTCTTTAATATAAATAGATATAAAAAAGAAAGTGCAGGTTTCTTTTCTTCTTCATATATTGTATTTCAAATTGAGACTTAACCAAATGGTTGGATTGTCTTTAGAAGATATTCTGATTTTGAATGGTTAAGAGAGTCATTATAGAAATTTTATCCAGCTTTTATTATCCCCCCAATTCATAAAAAAAGATCGAGATCTTTTGAAGATGTTTATCTAAACAAAAGAATGATATTTCTATAAAGGTTTCTCAATAGTATTTTTAAATCCTATGAATTGAAAAGTAATATAATTGTGAAAAACTTTTTAAGTATGACATAGAATAATGAATTTAAAAAATTCCAAGAAGTACTATATTCATATATATGTATTTTAAGAGTATTACTAAAACTGCTCCTCCTTAGACAATTTAAAGAATGTTCTCAAAAGATGGTCAAGTGAATTGTGTTGCTCCAAATGAGCTATATCTATATGCAAATTAAACTTAGGATTATTTCTAAGAAATAGATGGTGTTTATAAAAAAATTAGAGTTTTAAGCAAAAGTCTTAAAGAAATACAATTATAAAACTCTTTAAAGATTTATTGTGTTGGAGAAATATTTGCTTCGCTATTCTCTCATCTAAATAAGTTAAATTAAACGCTCCCAACTGGATAGGCATAAGGATTAGCAGCAACCTTTTTAAATTTAAATAATACAATGATTACTTGGGGCAATATTATTGGAAAATAAATAGAATAAACAGAAGAGTATTTAAATAGTTTTTTTAAATATTAATAACACTACAATTCTTCTATTAAATAAATATATGAAACCAGAGCTGTTATTTAACAAGATCTTGATAAATTTAAATCCAAACTACATTATAAAAAGGAACGTTTGTTTTAATTAGGAGATATTTCTAAATGGGATTTAAGTAAGGATAATAAAATGACCTAATAAGAATTACTATAAAATAAAAAGATTGCTTTCTAACATATGTGTGAATAAGAAACAAAATAAGAAATTGCAATGGAAATGCTTGTAGGTTATTATACCAATCAAATATTTTCTTAAACTTAATAATTTTTTAAACATCAACAGTAAGAATTAGTGGGGCATTTTATTAAATTCTGCCAAGTTTAAGCTTTCAATATTACAGATGTAATTTTTTATTTAATTCAAGCATCATTAATTATGGGCTGATGCAATAACGAATCTATAAAATAATTTATAACAATAAAAATAGATGTAAAAAGTTGTTGTTGAAAGTATTGCCTGATAAATTGAGAGAATTTATTAATAATATTCAAGTCATCCATTTATTTAATTAATAAAATTATTTAGAATTAAATTTCTTATTTAAATTTTAATTCATTCAATTTTTAATCTGATGAAGTTGTTGAATATCAATTTCAAAAATACAAAATTGAAATTCTTCTTTAGATATTTTACCGTTTTAAAATTAATTCAAAAATTGAAATACATGACTAAGCACTACATCATTTTTACCTTCTGGATATATTTTCCTAACAATAAATTTTGTTTTGATACATAATTAATTTATCTAATTGTGTTTTATTTAATCCTCCTGTAGATTTTGGATCGTATTTCTAATAAAGTTCATCTATTTTTGTTCCAAATTTATTCATAGAAGCTTTTATGCTCAATAATATTTCAACAACTTCTGGAGAAAGCAGAGATTTATTCTTTATTTTTTTTTTATCTAAACTTGTAGTCCATCTTAGAATAGGCAAATTTTTAATTTAATTATCTTATTCTGTTTATTCTAAATTCATTAATGGATAATGATAGCCTCTATCTCCTTTTAGCCTATTTTTGACTCTATTTAACCAATTTTGAATTTCTTTTTTGGAAATATGAGTAGCTTTAAATCCTGCAATTTCATAGAATAGGGAAGTAATTTCTTTAGAAGAGGAATTTTTTGCAATTTATTTTGCGCTTGAAATAAATCTATATAGGATTAAAATAAAAGTACTCATTTTTTGTCAATTTTTCGGTATTATCACTTTATGAACTCATTCCAATCAACAAATAAAGATCTACTTAATTACATGTTTATAAGAATTATTCCTTAAATTATGTATAAGTTTATTCTATTTTGACATCTACTTTAATTCCCAATTAAATGTTGACAAAAGGATGTTAATAAACTTGCTCCCAACTTAATCTTTCACTTTCAGAATATTTAATGCATTGAACGATAAAATCATAGATAGGATCTTATGAATAAGTTTTAGTGAATTCAGGTGAAATTTAGGTTTCATTATTGAAAATCATTGGAACTTAAAGTAAACTTATATTTTACCCGAACCAACTAGACACTCATACAATATAATTCCAATAGACCATACATCACATTTACTAGTATAAATTTGATTGAGTGTTTTCTGAGGTGATTAGTAATTTGTTTAATCATTTTAACCTAAGAATCTGCTAATCATATAACCATTGCCCATATCTATAAGATATATAACTATAAATTACCTGAATAATAATATTAATTGTTCTTCTTTAAAATTCCTTCTGGTTTAATATCTTGATGTAATACATTCTAATTAATAATAAATAGGTAGCCATCCAATAAATTTTTACAAAGAATTTTCACTTAATCTAATGAAAGTCTACAATTATCTGCAAGATTCATTTCTCTAAAGATAAGAATAATAATACTATCTTAAATTCATTTCTGCAAATTCTGTAATCCAATAGACTGAGTTTTATGTTTCTTCAAGAGCAATAAATTTAATAAAATTTTCTGGTTGCATCATCCTTAAAAGTAATTCTTCTTATTTAAGAAGTTCTCTTAGATAAAAATTTTTATCATGAATTAATGGTGATCCAAATTTCTTAATAGCAACAATAGTATTGTCTTTAGTGTTTTATCCTTTATATATCACACTTATTCTTCCTTCTCCTAAAACATTTGTTTAATTCCATTAAAAATTTTATCCAACTTTGCAAATGTCTGATTATTACATTAAGAAATAAAATTAATGTAAGAAATCTTTATTGGTGTCGATAATTCAAATTATTTAAAATTTGATGATGGAGAAGTATTGGGTTCTTATCCATTTCCTCACATCATCTCAAGAATAGATGTTGAGTTTAACCAATCTCATGTAATTGGAATTAATGTAACATACAAAGTTGGTAATGGATAACAAGTAATTGCTATTTTTATAATATAGGTTTCTGGATAATCAAGTATTAAGTTTAAAAATACTCCTGCATATACTAAGACATTTATAGTCCCTGAAGGTAGTTTATTTGTTTTATAAATAGGTGATTTTTTATAAGAAATAAATGGATGTTTTGAAAATGTGATCAATTCCATAGGTTTTGTTACCTATAAAGGTTATAAGGAAATCTTTGGTAATCCTATTGGGGTCTCATTTCGACACTTTTCACCATAAAATACTTTCACAGCTGCAAAAGGATCATTCGATAAATGGTTAAATTTCATAGCTTTTAGAGTTGTACCTCTTCCTCCTTACGCAATGCAATAATTTGTATATTTTATTTATAATAGTCAATAGTATCCAACACAAAATCCATAGATGAATTAAGTTCCTCTATAATAGCCCCCTTAATAATAGATGAATTAAGTTCCTCTATAATAGCCCCCTTAATAATAGATGCCTTAAGTTCCTCCCTAATAACCACTTTAATAATAAATGCCTCCATAATAATATCCTTATCCTCCATCAAACAGTTATCCGTAATAATAATAACAATACACTTCACCTCCTCCCCCTCCTACCTAATAGGGATATGTTCCACCTCCTCCCCCTCCTACTTAATAAGGGTATGTTCCACCTCCTCCCCCTGCTTAATAACCATATACTCCATATCCTCCTCCATAATATCCTTAATATCCAGGTTACCCTAATTAATAACCATATCCATATGTATTTATCTATTAAAATTTAGCCAAATTATCAACCATATCCTCCACCATAAAATACGACAACCATTGTTGAAGTCATAGATACTAATCCATATGGAGGAGGTTATAATTAAGGCTATAACAACTATTATAATAATTAAAGACCAGGAATGGGAGTAGGAGCAGCTATGGGTTTAGGAATGCTTACAGGTATGGCTGTATCAGATTTGACTCATCATCATCATGGAGGAATTTATGATGTTAATGTATATGGTATAAATCATTTCTTATCAAGGAGGACATCGCCATCATCACCATCATAGATATTGAATATCATAATTTAATTAATATGGAAAATAGAAAGTTATTATTATAATAAGTAATGTGGAATAGTATTTCAAACCAATTTCTAGTTATAAAGAGATATAATTTATTTAAAAATGTCATATCCACCTCCAGGATAATACCCACCCCCAGGATAATACCCACCAGGACAATATCCTCCTCCAGGTTAATATCCACAATATCCACCACCTGGACAATATCCACCACCTGGACAATACCCACCTCCTGGATAATATGGATAATATCCTCCTCCCGGTTAATATCCATATCCTCCTTAATCATATCCTTAATAACCAGGTTACTATCCACCAGGAGGATATCCTTAATAAGTCCCAGGATAATATCCATAAGGAACCACCACTACTATTATCGAAATTTAACAATAACCAACTTAATAACCCTATTAATAACCCTATTAATAATAATCTCATGGTGGAGGAGCTGCAGTTGGAGCTGCCTTAGTTGGAGGAGCTATTCTTGGTGCTGCTTTAGCTGACAATCATCATCATCATCATGGACCAAATGTTGTTGTTATTGAAAAAGGACACAGAAAACATTATTGATTTATTGATATTAATGTTCCAACATATAAACAAGTTCATATATATTGTATTCTTCTTATTTTATATGTTTTTAAAATTACACAAATATAAACAACTTATAATTAATTAATTCATTATCACTTATTATTTAGCCATTTTTTTTTATTTTATATTCCTCATAATATTATCATATTAATTTCATTTTTAAATGGATATTTTTAGTATTTTTTTTTATCTGCATTTGATCATCATTATTACTATTAATTTATAATTATATTGAATAATTTTGTATAATTATTATAATTATATTTAAAAATGTCTAAAGGTTTTAGTCTTAACTTCTAAAATGCAAATGTCATGACTTTTGAGTAAGAAAATGACTTATTTGCTGGACAAAGCATAAAAGTAAATCAATAATATTATCTAGCTTTTATTTAAATTGTCAGATAAGTAATTTGATTTAGAGGTAAAGATTATTTTCTTAGAACAAGTTAGTTTAAAGTTGGATAAGATGTGGAATGGGCTAAAAAATGTGTTGCGGAAAAATTAGATTGTGGAAGAAATGACTTTGTAAGATTATTTAAAATTTATGGAAATAGGACTTGATATTTGAAGAAAAGGTAATGCCAGAATTCTTTTCTTTAAATGATATTCCTAATCTAAAGGATCAATCATCCATTTAAATAAAAATGAAGATATGATTTTATCAATATAATGTATATACAAATCAGATATTCATAATCTAAATTTTCTATTTCGTCGAATTTCTATGTATTTAACCCTAAGATTAATCAAAGATATCGATATTTGAAAGATAATATATCTCATAACTTTTAATGTGATACATTTCAATAAATGGAATGTGATGTAAATATTATGCTTTAAAATACTTTATTAGAATAAAATTATAAAATTCTATTTTGAAATAAATATTGTCTTATGGAATTAAATCTAATAAAAATTATGTGATTGGCATTTATTCAATTATACTTAAATTTGATACTAATTGAAGATTTTTCATATTTGAAATATTTTAACACCTCAAATATATAAAACACGATTCAATCTTAAATTTTAATAAGACTAATTTGTCAATTTGGAATTAATAATACTTTTAATAGATATCTTCTATAATTGAAATGATTATTCAACTTAAAAATCAAATTTACAAATTAATTTCAACTTGTCCATTTAATCCATCTGTTTCTCGAACGATAATCATCCTTTTCTTACAAAATACCATTGCATACATTTTTTTAAATTCTTGATCAATAAAAATACATTTTTTTCTCTTCTCTTATAAAATTATTGAATTTTTCAAAGTTGATATTTTTATTTTCTCAAAATTATTTCCATTAACAATATTCTAATCAATATTTCCTATCACAAAAAATTGCACAATATCTTATCCTATTATTTCTGGTAAGATTCCAGCTTATTTCTTATCGCCATTGAATCATTTTATAGATCTATTTAAATCACGCTTATTTCTATAAATACACAAAATAGAATCAGCTAACAATTAAAGAAATTGTGTTGATCTATTTAAAATCTTTAAAATAAGAATATATTATAAATAATAAATTTCTTTTTGTTTAACTTTTTCAAATTTATAATGCTTCCCTAATTCATAACTTTTATATAAAACTCTAGTTGCAGTAATATATCTTTAATGTAATCTGCTGTATTGCTCAGTTGCATATATTAAATACAGAAAAAAAAATCAACAATTTAATTATTTTTTATAAGTAATTTATATATTGTTATTAATTGCTTGAATTATAGGTCAAGTTTTATCATTTATATTTGAACAATTATGATTTCATGCTATGATATTTTAAAATAGGCTTTTCAACTGGAAAAACATTATATTAAGGACTAATTGGATGATATCCCTCAAAAGGTTGTACTTCAGAAACAATAGTTTTTGCCTTTGGTTCTTCACTTAAATAAAACCGTCCATATTTCTATGAGGAAGACTAATAATCATCTAATTTATTATCGCTTATATTCATGGGATCTGATCTTAAGAGATATCTTTAGCTATATTTTCCATATCTATTGATGTGACCTTAATTAAAAAAAACTATACCTTAAGTAGGAATTGGTTTAATGGGTTTAAAATCAGTAACTTACTATAATAGAAATTAAAATTTACTTTATGATGATATATTTTGGGTAAAACTAAGCTTTAGGACTCTTTTATCAACTATTAATCACTTTCTTTTTCTAAACACACTTCTACATCTGCATTCTTCCATGTCATATCTATTTAAACTTTATGATTTTAATGCTCTCAATTCACATTATATAAGTACCTTAATTCAATTTTTTTTGATAATTTCCTTCTCCGTCATACATTATAAATTTTGCCATTGGCCTTGACTTAACTCAATATTTATAAATACTCCAAGAATTTTAGTTTGAATTTCTTTAAAGGTTCCATCTTACTTAGCCTTTTTTATTTCAAACTACTCAATACACTTTCCACAATTTTTATGTTTCTCCAATTTATCCATTATTATTTAATAAATTATTTATATATAATTGAATAAGAATGTTAACTTTTACAAAAGATTCTTATTGTCAAATTTTTAAACGAAAAAATATATAAAACTTCATTAAAATTTAATTATAATCGAATCAAATAATTTTCAGAATATGATTAATTTATTAACTGAAGCATGAAATTATTTTAATCAGCAATTCAACTAATTAACTACTTCTTAATTTTTAATAGATAATTATTTACAATATTATATCAATGTTTAATCAAATATATTAGAAAAGTTTATTACTTTTCTTTGTCTCTTAAGCTTCATGATATAATTTTAAGCTTTTTTGCTATTTTTAATGTTTTTTTTGTTAGAGACTAATATTTTTTTAATTTTTTGCGGTGATACAAGTTATAATTCCATTTTATTCATCAAATATAGGACTAGTTAAAAAATAATTATTACGTTAGATTTGAGGAGTTTATTTTTGTGGAGAGGAAAGTTTAAGAAAATCTTTTATTTGAGGGGATTTTTTGTTTTGATTATTAATATCTGATTTCGTTTTACTAGTTTAAGTTTTCTTGATTAATTGTTCTTTGAGTATAAATAAAATTTTTGAACTCCATCATGCTTTATTGTTTTCTATTTAATAAGCCCATTTTCTTTTAATGTTTTCTAATAATGTGATCAAGATCTTTAATTTATAAATTTTTATTTGATTCTTCTCCAATTTATGAATTATTTGTAGTCTATAAATTTTTTTTATCTTCATCTTACTGCATTGATGATTCAAGAGTTCTTCTTGATGTAATAGGTTTTTCTGAATACTTAAGAATTTCTTCATTTTCTTGAATTTAATCTAATTTCTCCAAATTTTTGAAGCTCAACTTTTCGTTAGTAATTTATTATTATTTTTAAATATCCATTTTTTAAAGCTTTTCAATAATTTTAAAATATCTCCTTGATTTAAGTTTTATTTTTTCCAATTCTTCTCTCTTTTGATATAATTGAAATAATACCTTTTAGCATTAAATTAAATCATCAGGATTGGTCATTAGTTCCTAATGCTTTTCTTTGATTTAAACTTAAATATTTTCAATTAAAGGAAACATAGATTATTAAATTTTTTTGCACGTTTGAGAATAATTAAACCTTTATATAATTAAGTTTTCAATACTTACAATTTAAAGCCTCATCAAGTTCGTATTAATAGGTGCATCTGTTCATTTCTTTATCAATTTTATTTTAAACTTCTTTAGATTTAGAGAGAGATAATAAAACTCTACTGAATTTTTTGTATTTTTAAGTTGTACTCTAAATTTTAACTGGGCCATCTATAATCTATTTTTATGCAATTAAACGCCTTTATAATTGTTGTAACTTAGGTTTAAATTGATTTGTCAATTTAAGGAAATCTTAAGTATACTATTTTCTTCTTTAAGAATAAAATTCAATATTTTCGCTAGTTAATAACATAAATTAATTGATATGAAAATAAATCAAAGACTTAAATTTACTAATATTCTTTTTTTATTTTTTAACTCCTTTTTTTAAACTCAAAATACTTAATAGAAAGTTAAAGAAATATATAAGTAACAATAAACAATTTGTTTTAAAAAAAATAATCAAGAAAAATATATCAACTAATGATAATCACACACACTTTCTTTTTCGAAATCAAGTTTATTCCCATTCATTAGAAACTCTTACTATATCTATTCTTAAGAAATAAGAAAATGAAAGTTATAAAGATGATCAAAATAAAATATTACAAACTATTTAATTGAATTGAGATTAATAAAAATAAATGGCATTTCAAAAATCATTGTTTTTATAATAATTCAGACTTTAATGAAAAAAAGAATCCATACAATAAGTTTGATGTTCAATATAAGATTTTGAATAGTATAGTTTATTTAAATTAAGAAAAACCTTAATATAGGAAAAATCTTGTAATTTATAGTGAAGAACTAATCTTTTAGAAAAAAAACAAATCAGCAGGCATATAAAACAAAAATGAAACAAGTTAATCTAAAAATTAAGAGAATCTCTTTATAGCCTCTTTCAAAAAATTTCTTAATCAAAACATATCTCAAATCCTAATTTAAAGTTATATTTTTATTTTATTTTCTAAAAAGATTTGGAAAATATTGAATAATAATATTTGATTTACTCTCATCTATTGACCAAATCAATTCAAGTTAGATTTTTTGGTGATTTTTGTCACTATAAATGATAAAATAAATAATTGAAAAAAAGATCCAACTTAACAGACATCGATAGAGGAACTTGAATGAATATATATCTTTAATGAATAATAAATTAAAATACTAATATTCCTTGCTAGCATAAAGTTTAGTATAAAAAGTATATTAATTAGAATTATTAGAAATAATGAAAGAATTAAATAACCCATAAAATGATTTTAAAATTAATTTCATGTATATATATTTTTTATTCTACCAAATGTTAAGGGAGTTGGGTACCAGTTCACCTTAAGGCACAAATGTTACGAAATTGCGAAAGCAATTATTTACAATGCCTGAGTAAGTTCTGAGATGCCGTTATTTCGAAAGAATATGAGGCTTCCTCCAGAAATCTATTTCATTCTGACTTAGAGAAGAGGATTGATTCAATCTGATCGTTAGAGTGAAAGTGAGAAGGGGGCTTGGCATAGCATATTAAGTGCAATAGGTGATATTCAATTCAATTCAGGCTACTCGGTAACCAATTCTCCCACTTCTTTTTTTAGATAAAATTAAAAAGTTAATTATTTGGTCACTCAAAAAATGAAAAATAAAAAAAAACAAAAATTTTTAAATTTAATTTCAACTTGTTGATTTTGAGATATTTCGAAATATAAATTTTGAATCTGTGGATTAAGAATTTAAATTTTCTTGATTCTAAGTTATTTTTTATCCATTTTTATGATATTCTAAAAAAACAGGAATTTAGTTAATGGGAGGTAATTCACAATTAAAATATTCTACATGAATTTCTTCCTCATTATGATGTTGATGTTTTAAATTTGAAGTTTGAGTATGATAGCTAGACATTAATTGAGATAAACCGAGAGGTAGATTTCTAATACTGTTTCTAAAATTCTCCCTAAAAAATGAATGATGTAAAGCAGAATTAGCATTAATTCTTAATCTTGGATCTTCCTATAGCATTTCTGAAAGTAGATTTTAAGCAGTTATTGAAATATGAATGAGAGACAAGTTTTATAGATTAAATTGACATCTTCTGTTTGCTGATAATGTTTCATTTTATGTTTCTCCTTAAAATAAATCTTTCCTTAATAGCCTTATAAATCTGATAATAATTTTACAATTTATAGAACACACATCCTACAGAAAAAATATCACTTTCTAAACCATATTTTCCATTTTTTAAATTTATAATCTCAGGAGCTACATAACCTGGAGTTCCACATTTTTTAAGTTCCTTATTTGATTAAAGTTTTACAGAAAGACCAAAATCTACAATTTTCAGATCTATTTTTTTTTCATAGATATTTAATATTATATTTTCAGGTTTAATGTCGCGATGCATGATATTTAGAGAGTGCAAATATGCAACACCCTACAGTATTTCCCATAGAATATTCTAAATAATTCTTACATTTAATTAATGTTTTAATTCTTTAATGTATGAATTTAAACTTTACCCTTTGCAATACTCTAAAACTATATAGAAGGTCCCATCACCAACATAGAACTCTTCAAACCGAAGTAGATTTGGATGATTTAACTGCTTAAGGATATTTAATTCATCGAATATTCCATTCTAATTTATAAAAACTTCAACTGTACCATTTTATCAACCGAGTTCTAAATTGTCTCTTTAGTAATACATTTAGTGACAAAATTATCATTTCTATCGCTCTTTCTTACAACTTAATAAACTTGACTATTGCTTCCACTTGCCAAATGTTCTGTAGCTTCATAGAAGTCTTGTACTTTTGTAAAAGAAACAAATTTGGAAAGAATCTTCTTTAAAATTAGTAAGTCACTTTGTTTAGCATGAAACCATTTATATTTTTTAGGTGAAGTTTAAAAGCCAAAAGCATTTTCCTTAGATGTCAGTTACCAACTGATTTATGAGGACCAATTTAAAGGGACGATATACTTAGGAGTGTCAGGTTGTTTTGGCTTTTCATAGAATTTGATAGAGATATACATTTGTTAATGTGAGAGTATTGTCAGTGAATCTAATCTCATAAATTTAATCTGCAATAAGATGTTTACGATAACAAATGATGATTTCAAGCATTTACATAATAAATAAATTAAAAAATTCAGAATCTATGACATTAATTCAGATAAGATTAAACTTCTGTAAAGAAACGACTTTAAAGAGCTATAATTTAAATATTCTCATACATTTATGTTCTTCTTCAAGAATATCTAATTCGTGATGTTATGTAATAATTTTAAGACATTTTTTTTTTATATTTTTCTAATTTTTTTCTTGGTTATTTAACTACATAAATGAACATAGCATTTTATCAAAATTAAGTATTTAAGGAATGTTTTCTTAATAGATAGTTGTTTTTGGTGGTTTTACTACATATTATTTTTTAGGTTCAAGTGTTCGAAGTTGCAATTCTTTCTTTTATACAAGAAAAGCTTTTTATTAGAAAGAATCCATTGATTTTTCCATTTTTCGTTCCATTGGTTAGGTTGAATTATACCTTCTCTTAAAATTACGAAACATGTTTCTATTTTCTAATAAAACAGGGAAGAAAGGCTCTTTTTCAGTTAAATGCATTATAATTATATTAAAATAATAAGAGGATCTAAATATAAAGAAACTTCAATAAACATATTTGATATTGAGTACTATGACATCAAAAATTCTTTCATCAATGTCAGTAATAAAGATACGTACTAATTCCTCACTACCAGGCAATACTCGGATTTTAAATTGAACAATTTCATTAGGTCCTGTAGATATGCTTTAATCAATAATCTAATAAAAAATGGTTTTTAATAATTTACTTTAACAAATTCACTTGAAGATATAAGATTATATTATGTAGTGTAATTGACTTAATTCTTATAATTTACTTAATGTCGAGACTCTCTTCCATCAATACATCTAAAAAAAAGGTAAATAAATCAATACCTCAAATCATAAGTTGCGCTTGGAGGTTAAGGTTCAGCATGTACATTCACTAACCAAGAATAAATTAGTTCTTGAGAGTGAATATCTACTCCATTTAATTTAATTAAATGTTTGCCATCTTGCAGTGCCAAAATATTGATAGGAACTAAATTAATTTTACCTGGTAACATAGTTATTTCAGAGTCAAATGGTTTGACAAATGAAATCATTTTATTTGAGGATGTCATTTTAATAATACGAGTAATATCACAAGGAAATGTTATTTTAGTACACACTTTTTAACCTAAAGGTACTGCAATATCTATAGTAGATAAACTATAAACTTCTATTTTCCAATTAGCTATTACTTGATGTTGATATTAATCTTAATATAAAAGTATGTTAAATATTTTAACACTTTATGGTTCCCCTATTCTTAGATTTAATCTTATTGAGTTAAAATCAGATGACCATTCTATCATAACATCAGGATCAATTATATGTACATGAGGTTATTATTGTAATGGTTAATTGAATAATCTAGGAATAATAAGTCTTGTTTAACGATTTTCTCTTTCATAAAATCTTAATATATGATCTATTGGTTATTAATGAGGTTCAACTATTATACGTAATCCATCCATCATTTTGCCATCCTATTGTAATAAAATAGTAATATGACGAGATTACATATATTTTTTGATATATTCTGGAGTTCTCTCATGATCATCAACTCTATAATCATATTATCTAAAACTTATAAATTTAAATAATAAAGTAACTTCTTAGTTTGGATCTAAAATAAAATAATATTAAGTTTTTCCTTAATTTTCTTTCATTCTAATTAAATCATAGTTATCTGGTTCTGGATATTTATTAACAGTAACCCAATATTTCCATTCAGATGGATTGCCAATTAAGAAGAATTCTTAGTATTCTAACATTCTGCTTTCAGGATCTTCTATATTAACAGTAAATTATTCAGGTTTTGGATGTGTATTTTTAAAATAAAGTGGAACAATTTCGCATTTACCATAAAATGAATGAACTACTTTTTCATTTTATAAGAATCCTTACATTATAGTTCTTACTAATGATGGTTTCTTAATTTCTTTGTATTTAAGCACTTCATTTAATGATCTTTATTAGCTTTATTTATTTTTATTCATTTCTTATAAATTTTATTATTTAATCTTTTTTATACGATCTTAAATACTATTTCCTTAAAAAGTTTGTGGTGGAACTTCCATTCTATTTACAGGTTTTTCAGAAACTAATTTCTTTTTCTGAAATCCATTTTAAGTACTTTCTAAAGGAACTGTCCTACTCATGTCTTATTAACCAATCTTACCAATATTTTTAATCACAATTTATAATGTTCCTTTAACCCTCTTTGATTAAGGATCTATAATTTCAACATCAGCCATAATTTATGCATTCTATTTACCACCTCTCAATATCCCTCTTAATGGTATTCTTACACTACCAAAAAGAAATAAGCTTTCACTATCCCAAATATCTAAAATTAAATGTTTATTAAATAAATATCTTGCAAAATCCATTTCTAAATTTGCATATCTTTGTAGAGATGCTTCAACATTAAACTTACAACTAAAAATTTCATTATTATATAAAAGTCTTAAAGGATTTCCATTTTCTAAATTATATTTAAAATTTCTTTCATCATTATAATATTCTAGATTTAGAAATGGTGATTTAAATGTTTACAAATCATAAAATATAATTCCTATTTAAACTGATTTACAAATAGGATATGGTCCTAAGATTTGTTTGATAGATACTGGTTATATTACAATTATTTAATCCTTTCTTTCATCAGACTATTCAAGTGCCATCAATCTATTTTCTTAATCAATTGATACAGGATCATCTATTAAAGCTGTAACATCTGTTCTAGTAATTGGTTTTAATGTAGCTGATGGTACTGGATAAGCATAAGAATCTATTGGTTTTATTACTGTATTTTATGGTTTTGCTTCAGCCAAAACAACAGGAGGAGCAGCACTTCTATCAATTACTTTTTAATCTTTTATTAATTTTTCTAAGCCTTCAAATTATCGAGCTTATGTAAATTGTAATAATCTATTTTCTTCTCTAAGTTTTTCAATTGCCTATAAATATTCTTATTATTTTTAAGGATCTGAAGATTATTAAATTGCTAATCTTCTCAATCTTTCATTTTCCTCTTGTAATCTTAATAATTACTATTCAAAATCTTTCAATTTTACTTAAGTACGTAGATCTATTTCTGATCCTCTTACCTGCTCCTATCTAATTTATGCTTATTACTAATTAGGTTAATTTAAATTAGATTATTATTAATATGCTAGTTATTAAGGAATTTATTATTATTATTATTATTATTGTTAAGCAGCCCCCATATATAAATCTTAGATTTAAAACCCTCCACCTGAGAGATTTAGACTCCCTTTTATCTTAATAGATGAATCTGAATTAGAAAATGATACAAGTGGTCTTCCATCTAATGTTTTTCCTGGTCCTACAATGAAATCCTCATCAACAATTTCATCAGCACCAAATTTATTATTGATGTATATTGGTATCCATCCAAGTGTCAATTACATTGTTTCTTTAGTCACATTTGATACTAAAAACATAGCTTCATATTCTAATTAAACTACAAGCATTCCAGAATTAACAGTTGGATCAGTTGAACAGACATTATTAATATCAATAACTCCATGATATGCTAATTGTTTATATTAGATTTATTTTTGATCAACAAATTCATTAACTAACATTCTAGTTTCTCCAAGAGGTACAAAATTATTTGTGCCTCTAGTATTTATGAATGTCCAACCATTATGAAATGCAACTATTAATCTTTTATTTATAATCTATATATCTCCCTTATAATCTTCAGGAGTTCTGTATTTATAAGTTCTATATTTCTACACTTATCTATATATATCAGCTTCCATATTATCAGGAATGAGAACTTAAATTTTGCTCATAAATACAACCATACTTCTCTACAATTCAAAATCTCCACCAACAAAACTCTTTTTAAGTCCAGGTAACTCATCACCCAATCCACATAATGCATTTTCTGGTGCCAAATGCATACTAATCTAGAATTCTTCACTTTATACTATATCACATGTCATGGAAATACCAGAGGATTCAAAATTAACTTATTAACCCAATAACAATATTCTTGGACTACCCTTTCTAAAATTAAGCTTAGTTGATTAAGTAGTGATTGTTAAAGCTTACAGTTCACACCAACCTAAATGCATTCGTTTTAATACTAAATCTTATTGTGATTCATAAGCCTATACTTCTAAAATAATCAATAAAGGAACATCTTTATTATTTAGTATTCTAGTATGATAATATATTGGTATTATTGGATGTTCATAATTTACTCCATCAGGTCCAAATTCTACATTTAAACGAGGACTATTATATGTTCGCCCAAAAAAACATTTCTCTCCTTGTTAATTTTAAATAAAAAAGTTAGCAGCTACTGAGAATTACAAATTCAACACAGGATTTTAAGGACGTCTAAATCCACCAATTCTAGACACAATTAATTTGTAAGCTTTTGAATCTAAGCCCATTTAGATTGGAATTGAAGAGGGTAAACTCTTGTGCATCTTTTAAAATTTTAGAAACTTCTTTATTGAATTGATGTCTTCGGTTGACATTTTTATTATTGTTTGAAATAAAAAATATCATTACAAAATTATATTATTATTATTATTTAATCAGACTAAATAAAGATGATTTAATACAAATCAATCTCTACTCTAAATTACATTCTAAAAATCAAAATAAGTTATACAATTTATTTATAAAATAAGTTCATCTATAATACCAAATATATCATTATTTTGAATCCTCATTATCCCATATATTATCCCCTTCAAATACTTCTCCTTATTCTTAATTTTCTTCCTCCATTGCCAATCTAACATACTCTTAAAATGCAAATCTATCCCAATCTGTAAAATCTGGATGATCTACAATATCATTTCTAACTTGAAAAGGATCTCTGTTCTCATAAGCAATTAATTTATTTAAATTAGTTAAAAAATTAAAGAATACTCCACAAACTGTCAAATTCTATTTAAAATGACTAAATTTAAACATTATATCATTTTCGGGATGTAAAAGATCAACCATTTAACAAACAAAATCATGGAATAATATTGGTTCATGATTTAAACAATCCATTCTTTATTTTAATTCTTCATAGAAATAATCCATTTCAAATCCTGTAATAATTCCATTATCATCTAAATCAATAATTTTAAACCAATATTCTATAGATTATAAAGTAGTCTTATCTTCTTCACATAAAATAAAATAAATAAAATCTTCGTATGACATCTTTTAATCAATTTAACTTCTAAATCTACGAGGAACTTGATCAAATATTCTATCAACAACTTTTCTACTTAAACCATGGCTAGAATAACGAGAGAAGTCATCTTTACTAATGTGAAAATCATGATCACCATCTAATTCCCAGAATTTGCAATAAATTACATAGAAATGTTCATACGAAAAATATTATCGAATCTATTAAAGGAACTTAGAAATAATACTTTATTAATATCATCTTCCTTTCCCAAAATATCCAATATATCAAATAAATTACTTTATTTAAAGTCACGCCATGTTATTTTATTGTTATCTTTACGACATAAATGATAGAATATTCTATGAATTACTGTGTCTGCATATCGTTCTTAAAATTCCGGTGTTGCCTACAAAAATTCCAACCCCGGATGCTATTCAAGCAAAACTATTTTTTAAAAGAGAATGTACTCTTCATGAACGGTTTAAAATCATCAAATTAAATGAACTCATTTTTTGGTTTTTTGAGAATATGAAAACATCTCTATTTTGGTTCTTTTTATGCTAATTGCTAATTCCAATACTTTATAAACGCAGTCTTACTAATTTTGTTGCTTGTACCTTCTACTGCTGTCATTAACATTCTTGTGAAATATTTACAAAGACCACATAAATTTGTAGTGATCTACTCGAAATGACTAGCATCAATATGTTCAGCTTTACCAAAGATTTCATTTATAATTTTCTAAAGACCTATTGATATAAGCATCATACATTCTATTCTTATTGTAATTGTAAATTAATCTCTTATGTGGCAAAATAGAATTGGGGAACCAAATCATAATTTTACACTTCTTCAACTCGAAGTTTTTTCTGAATTATTTATGATTATGTCAAAGATTATGATAAATCTTCTGGAATACGCTATTTTGTTTCATGAAATGAGTCTGCTCGAGGAGGGGTTGAAGGACCTTAACTTTTTTTGTTAGGTGAGCTGAAAAGTGCACTTTATGACATCCCAGACATCGTCATTTTATTTGTAAAAAAAGCATTAGGTTGAGTAATAAGATTATTTTACTTCCCTTCCCGCACATCTTTAATCAATTGATGTACTAACTTTTATGTTTAAGGTAGAGTTAGCCATTTAATAAAGAGATCGTCAACTCTAGTTTTAGCCAATTAATATCTAATATTCTGTGTTAATGGGAAACCTGCTCCGACTCCTTCAGAATACGATTTCTAAAGCATAAAATAATTAAAATATCTTTTTAATTCGATGTTTGCAATCACAAAATAGGCATTGTTTAGGTAATAAGCAATGAAACTCATGAATCGTTTTGCAGTAGTTGCTAATAATAAACCAGAGAAAGGTCCATCATAAGTAATATTAATTATTAAAGAGAAAAGGGCCATTTGACAGATAAATACACAGTCATAGATCATACATATGATGCAGTAGTTGTAGGAGCAGGTGGAGCTGGATTAAGAGCAGCTTTTGGCTTAGTTGAATTAGGTTTTAAGACTGCATGCATATCAAAGCTATTTCCAACCAGATCTCATACAGTAGCAGCTTAAGGAGGTATTAATGCAGCCTTAGGTAATATGACAGAAGATGATTGGAGATGGTATTAAATATAAATGAATATAGGCATGCATATGATACTATAAAAGGATCAGATTGGTTAGGAGACTAAGATGCTATTACATACATGTGTAAAGAAGCACCAAAGGCTGTTTATGAATTGGAAAGTTATGGCTTACCATTTTCTAGAACACCTGAAGGCAAAATATATTAAAGAGCTTTTGGAGGATAGAGTTTAAAGTTTGGAACAGGAGGATAAGCATATAGATGTTGTGCAGTAGCTGATCGTACCGGACATGCTATGTTGCATACACTGTTTGGTAGAGCATTAGGTTATGATTGCATTTTCTTTGTTGAATATTTTGCATTAGATTTAATGATGGATGAATAAGGGTAATTTTATATTTATTAAATATTTCTAGAGCATGCAGAGGAGTTGTTTGTATGTCAATGGCTGATGGATCAATTCATAGAATTAGAGCTGGATATACTGTTATAGCAACTGGAGGTTATGGAAGAGCCTTTTAATCATGTACATCTGCACATACATGTACTGGTGATGGTGGTGGTATGACTATCAGAGCTGGTTTACCAATGGAAGACTTAGAATTTGTTTAATTCCATCCTACTGGTATTTATGGATCTGGATGTCTTATGACTGAAGGATGTAGAGGAGAAGGTGGTATTCTTAGAAATTCTTTGGGAGAAAGATTTATGGAAAGATATGCTCCTAC